TTCGGGTTGGTTGGATGTCGGATATCCTCATTTCTCCGATCATGAGTTTGGGAAGACTTCCGTTACCTACTCGCCGGTTTGTTGTCCTCCGCCGTTCCCGGATCTGAGAGCTGCAGTGCCTAGATCCGTCTGCAACCGTCCCGGATGAGGATGTCTTCACCGCGTTTTCAGCCGTCTTCGCCGATTCATGGCACCGGCCGACGGAAGTCTCAATTTACATATAGGCAACTAAGCCTGTTGGCATCATATTCAACATCATCTCCTCTGCGCGTCATCGCCCATGTCGATTTAGATGCGTTCTACGCCCAAGCGGAAATGGTGCGACTAGGCATTGCTGAAGACCAACCTTTAGCTGTTCAACAGTGGTATTTACTGCTTCTTCTATCGTGTACCTTGTCACTATAGACTCACAAAATCATAGGCAAGGGCTGATTGCTGTCAACTATCCCGCACGTAGCTTCGGCATAGGCCGACACTGCACCGTGACTGACGCGAAGAAGCTCTGCCCAAAGCTCATCGCACAGCACGTCGCCACTTGGAAGGAGGGCGACGAGAAGTGGGCGTATCATGATGACGCAGCGTCTCACATCGGAACACACAAAGTTTCACTGGATCCTTACAGACTTCAGTCGCGAAAAATTCTCGCATTAATTAAGGAGAGCTTACCACCCAACCTGCAGAAGGTCGAGAAAGCCAGCATAGACGAAGTCTTTCTCGACCTATCCGCGCATATTCACTCCATCCTTCTGCAGAGGTTCCCGGAGCTTACGAATCCTCCTCCTTACGATGACCCTACGGAGAAGCTGCCTCTCCCCCCGATCACTGCTCTTGACTGGCAAGCGGACGCGCTCATCGACCTCGAGGATGCAGAATTAGAGGCAGATGACCCGGATTGGGACGATGTGGTCATTCTTATTGGATCAGAGATTGTTCGAGATATACGAGCTCATATCCGCCGGGCGCTGGGATACACATGCTCGGCGGGCATAGCGGGCAATAAAATGCTCAGTAAGTTGGGCTCAGGCTACAAGAAACCCAACCAGCAGACAGTCATACGAAACCGGGCTGTGCAACATTTCCTATCTGGCATGAAGTTTACTAAGATTCGTAACCTGGGAGGCAAGCTTGGCGATCAGGTCGTGTCAAGCTTTAATACGGAGACAATTAAGGATTTACTACCAGTTCCAGTGGAGCAGATGAAGCTAAAATTGGGCGACGATACCGGAGTCTGGCTTTACAACACGATCCGCGGAATCGATCCTAGTGAGGTCAATTCGCGTACGCAGATCAAATCCATGTTATCTGCTAAATCATTTAGGCCCAGCATAAATAATCAGGAGCAAGGTATCAAGTGGTTACGGATCTTTGCCGCAGACATATTTTCGCGATTGGTGGAAGAGGGTGTTCTCGAAAACAGGAGGCGACCGAAGACTATCAACTTACATCACCGAGGCCAGGGGGGTCAGACCCGCTCGCGACAGAGTAGCATCCCGCAAGGGAGAACGCTCGACGAGGCAACCATATTCGAACTTGCCAAGAACCTGTTCAGCCAAATTATCCAAGAAGCCAGGGTCTGGCCATGTGCAAACCTAAGCTTAAGCGTGGGAGGGTTTGAGGACGGGGTAACTGGCAATTTAGGTATAGGCGCTTTCTTGTTGAAGGGGGATGAAGCTCGCGAATCAAGGGGGACCAGTCGGGAGGCTTCGGTAGGGTCCTCTACGCATGAACGACCGGAGAAAAAACGACGGGTGGATAATCCCGGCATCCAGCGATTCTTTCCTAGGAAGGGGAGTTCCTCGGGTGGGGACGTCGAGGAGAGTCTCGACGACGACGTAGTAGATACGGTAAACCCCCGGATTCGGACTAAGGAAGCGTCGCCGAATCGAACAGGAAATGGTCCGAAACCAATCATGGACAACTACATCAAGGTATGTACGCGCTGCGATGCAAGGCTTGACGACGCCGAGGCCCTCCAAAACCATCTCGATTGGCACTTCGCCAAAGACCTTCAAGATGAAGAACGTGGCAAGCGGACATTTGCCAACAGTCACTCCACGGTATCACGCGGTCAGAAGACCGCTACTGCATCGTCGTCTTCGTCTAAGAAACCTACGAGAGCTAGTGCCTCTAATAGTAAGCTCGAGCATGGGCAGAGCAAATTGAAGTTTGGATGAATTGATACCTGGCATGCAACTCAGACTCGAAGCGAACGCTACATGCGCCTCGGTGGACTCCATCTTTTCCATTTGTCCAGATGAAATGCTCTGCTTCTTCATCTACGGCATCCAACAGACACGAACTCGTCTCCTAGTATGAAAGTACGCCTCGAAAAAAGCAGGTCCACCCCCACACATGCACATTCCCTATGTCTTAAGTTGGGTGATATGATACTAAGGCACCTACGGGATTTACCCCCTGAGTATTGATGACTTGTGCCGATGATTTATGTTGAGTGCAGTGAGGGATTGCTTCGACGTTCACTCGCTCGGCACGGAACCGAAAACCCTCTCTGATCTAGCAGAAATGTCGGTCTGCACGACCCACTGTGCAAGGCACAAACAGCTATAGCGCGACGGTGGTCCGAACAGAATTAATGGGTTGCTCGCGGATTCGCACTGACGACTTCGAAATTCTAAAGTCGCTCGCGCTTTAGATGCATGAGCCGGGAAACGTGTACATCCGTGATCCAGATTCGGCGAAACAGCCCATCGGTATCACGAGCACTGTGGCGGCATACCTACTACCGGCGAGTTCCTTGAGGATCACATGCGGCAAAAGGGGGACTACTACGTAGGGAAAAAATTCTTAGGAGGCTCTACGGACGAGGTGTGTGTGACAGCGACGCGCTGGGTGGTAGGAATGGTTTGGTACGAGAAAAGAGGATTTGAATTACATGCCGCCCCCCGCATTGCAGTTTGACAGGTACGAAGGGCATATAGAAGGGAGATTCGACGTGAAGCGAATGATGTCGCAAGGCAACCTGACAGTAAACATCTACTTGTCTTTTTCATCTTACTAAATACCCAAGTATTTGCCATTGTCATCATGTCACAGGAAGGGGAGGGAGGTCGTCGATGATTGGCTGACCTAACCTTCAGGCATCCATAAGACTACTACTACTTTGGGCTCAAGTGCATAGGGCATGTATTGATACCCAACGGCGAGAACACATTTCCAGTTTTTTTCTAGGAGCCTGCTTTTTGTCGCCCATTTTTCCTACTGTGTGCCACGTCTTTGGCCCATGATGGACAAATGCCTAATCGCTTCAAGCGGGATGAGTACATTTTCGAGTGGCGGGACCCATCTCGACTTATCTAGCCACTGAGACCGGAGCCGCTCGTGATTACAGTCCGTCACAACCTTGAACGCTTCTCATCCAGAATAGAAAAAGCATTTCCGTAGATACATAATACGATACCCTCTTTTCATTTGGGAGAGGTGTTCGATCGGGTAGGGTGTCAATCCGAACCACGAAGGGATGGAACAAGGCAATTTAGGATATTGCTCGATCGAGTGGGATTAGAATCCCCCCATAATCTAGAGGATGGGCGTGTGCGTGTATAATAGGAAGTCTAGAGACCGCGTTCCCTGGCTGCGGGAGATTTCTAAGAAAGTTCTTGGTCTTCTTCTGGACGAATTCGCAGAGGCAAAACGAACCGGTGTGAGAGCCTGAGAGGAAGTCTCCTCGATTTCCATGTTTTCATAAGAGCCAAATCAGCCCAAACCATAACGGGCTACCGAACGAACGAAAAAAATTGCTCCACCGACAGCTTTAAGTAGTCAGAACTGCAACGCCAGTTTCTTTCTTGGTTAGATCCTCGAAAGCAACGATTTTGGATTTTGCTTTTTGCTTTTTGTTTTGTTTCTCCGTCCCAGGAATCTTTGTGTCGGTCAACATCAAATTTTAAACCCTACGAGGGGGAAGGGTTATCGATTATATGTACGAATACAGATTATTGAGCGATCGTCACGAAGAGTTGCATCGAAGAAGCGGTGCGCGTGTTTGCTGCTGCCATTTAATGCGAGACATACGGGCACCAGCCATCCATCCTTCCCACATTCGGAAATCCTAGGGCCAGGTTGCTCAGCCTATCCGACTCTATCGGTCTATCATCAGCCACATTTGTCCAGGCCACCCTGGCACATACGCCAATTCTAGTTCGAGAAATCTGAGTTTGATACCTACCCGAGCGTAGGGATTTGGATAACGATAGCGACGCTTGCTGCGTTTGATTTCCAAAAGCCAAAGCCAAAAAAAGTCTTTTCTTCTGCCCCTCCTCCGTTGCAACGAGATAGATCATTTCCCAGCTTTTCGGACCCGTACCGCTCTGCGCGTCAACCACCTGGGGTATCGCCGGGGGTTCACATCTACCTCTTCCGCTTCCAACAAAAGCCGCCCGCATCAAGCAGCCCTAGTCAGCCCGGGTGAGTCAATCTCACTCTTGCATCTCGAACGGCGGCGGGCTGTAAGCTCTGCACTACGCAATACACCCGACTGCATACAGTACATCACCACCTACTGGCATAGTGCACATACTACGCTATACGTACTACTTAACGCTACCAACGCTACCCGACCTGCTCTCATCCCTTGGTCGCGACCTAGACCAGGCCAGGCTGTTGCCTCTCTGTGAAACTATTCGATCTGCCTTGTTATTTGCTATTCTTTCTAAATAAGACTCAACCACTTAATACAATATACTGTCTACCGTTAATAATATTATTCCTGCTATTATCATCCTATTAGCATCCTCTCAACAAGGCTCTGGTTCCCTCTCGGCCAACCAAACGCTCCCACGCGCCTGACACAGTGACACCGCTCCACCGTGTCCGCGCACAAGACCAACTCATTGGTCTCGCTGCCTTCCAGTCACCGCACCCGGGAGAAGACATCTCTTAAAGTCTCTCAGCTGACAGACATCCGCTTCTTAATCCAACTCTTTTCTTCTTGTCTGCCGCTTTCGTTGTTGTTGTTCCCAACAAGTCGCATCCCGGTCTTGTTCGGTACTACCTACATCTTGTCTTCAGGGTTCAGCTGTTTGTGACCCTGCAAGCCTTGTAGGTCACCTATCGCCACCGATTAAGGATTGGTTAGGGATTGGACTCCACGCCACGCCACCATCCCTGTCGGGGTTCGAGTTGGTGTTGCCAGTGTCGCCAATTGTGCCTTGTCACTTCTCCCACTTTCCCCTAATAGGCCCCTCCTTTCCCTCCTTTCGCCTGCAGTACTATACTAGGTGTACATTGGTCCCTTGTATAGGTACTTTTGCGGGTACTCTTATAGGTGGCCACACACAGCATAATAGTGTACATAGGACTTATTTTTGTGCCGCGGGCCCTCTCCGTCCACTCGTCCACTGGCCGGTGCCACTCTTCCACTCTGTCCAAGGACCCACTAGCAAAACTGTCTGCTGCCGCCCTTTTCTCCTCCCCACCACCCACACTTTACTCCTCTTCATCTTCTCTCGACTATTTCGCTCTTCTATCCTTTCTTCCCTCTTTCACGTTTTTTGTCCTCGTCCACCGTCGACTTCTTTCCTTCCCCTTTTACCACTTAATCATCGTCGACCGGTAAATCTCTTTATTCCTCGGCCAAAATGTCTAGACGTCCTGCACCATCAGCGAGCAGTGCCCTGCCCACTCAAAACCGACAGAATGAGTATTTCGTACCAAGGGACGGTATCGACCGCGAGGTTATTACCGCCGACATCTGTCGCTACCTTGGAAACGATGCTCTCGTCCGACCTGGCACATATGAGGTATGATTCTTGCGATCTAGAGTTTTGTCAAGACTCAATATTGACATTGTCTGCGCTTCAGAACCCTCAAAGTGGCCAGATCATCCAGGGCTACTACATAAACGCCTACCGAAACTTAACAACAGTGAGTCCCACCGCCCGACCGACGACGTCCCCATATGTGATGGCTAACCAGCTTTCGCTCCATTGCAGGCCATGATTGAAGACTTGAAAGCAGACTCGGCGCGATGGGATCAAGAAAGGCGGCAGCAATCGGCCAGCCGCAATAACGCTGCCGGAGGTACTATTGCCTCGAGAGACTCGAACAGCGTATATGTCAGACTCTCTAACTCCCCTATAGTCCAATACCGCAATTCGGACACGCACCAATCCCGCCAGTATTATGGGCCAACCGAAGGCGGATTTGCATCAGCAGACCCAAATCGTGATCCGTACGGTGATGCCACACCCAGATATCCAGGAACTGGATCTGCAGGATACACAGGAGCCGCTGGCTCGTATACTGCTCAACCGTATCCTCAGGGTGGGTATAGCACTCAGCAGGGGTATACTACCCAGTCGTCGCAGTTCCAAGCCCCAGGTGCAAGTGTGACTTACCCCTCTATGCCTCCGTCAGGATTTGGCCAGGCCGGCCAGGAACCTCCTTTCCAGCTAGTTGGAGCAGACTCAAGAGTGGCAACCAACCCTCAGTCCATGTATAATGACCCGTACGCGGCCTCCAGAGATCCCAGGGACCAGAGGACACCTATGACTACTATGCCTCCCAGTAGGACTACCTACCCGACCTCAGGAGCACCCGCACCACAGGGCTATCCGCCGTCGTCGGCGCCTGGCAGCTACTATCCCTCGAACCCGTCACCTTCGAACCCTGCCTACGCGCCAACCGTTCAGCCTGGAGATCCATTTTATGGACGCGGTGCGTACACCACAGGTCTTTAATTATTACTTCCCCAATTCCCTTTTCTGATTGTTTAGCGTCTCCAGCAGGCACAACGTCCTACGGTTCAGCACAAGATCCACAGTATGAGACAACCCCTGCCCCATCACGCCCTTCAGCAGCAGCCAGTACTCAATCATCAACTAGTGGATCAGTTTCAGCCTCGCGACATCGTGACAGGGATAGCGTCGATCGTCACACCGAATCTAGGCACGCCCACCGGCCTCATCGCTCAGGTCGATAATTAAACCGCTGGAGCGTGTACGGCGGCCTTCTCCCGTCCTGCATGTGATACTTCATTGATTAATTGTTTCATTGCCGAGATTCCCAGGATTTGGAGTCCAACACCCGCATCGTGGTCTTTTTCCGGAGCTTTTGCCATGCAAAAACAAAAACAGGATAGACCGGGATTTGAATTTTGCAGACCTTCAGTTGTCTTGCACAGTTGCAAAGTATGCAACTTTTGAAATAATGTTGTTACCCGATACCTCTGAGAACCTGGATCAACCATCATCATCATTCCCACCTACAGGACGGCTTTTTACTACGAATTACTACTCACCGCACATGAATCATCATCTTTCTTGGGGCCAGAATGGACAACGGCGTACTATGACGGGGATTTCGTTACGACTTGCATATGGGTGGGCCTCAATTGACTGAACGACGACCATTGTTTCTGTTATGCCTTTGTACGGAGTTGGCTTTTGCCACAACCTTTTATACCACGCTTAATGCCGGCGGGGAAAAGAAGTTCTCTTTTTATTCGGTTAGTATTTCTATCTACGGATCAAGACTCCTGCCACAACTTGCTGTCCGGATCCAGCCGATGGAGGCTATGACTTTTATTTTCCCTGGTTTTTTGCGAACTCCATGGCCAAGTTCGCGGATGTGCATTCATGGTGAGATGCTGGAATGATTTTACTAATAGATAGGGCTCGAGATCCGGACAGCAAGGTGAGCACTGGACGGATTGTATATATATGCCAACCACTCCTGCGAGGGATATTTCCAAGACTTTTCAATATTTTAGCCTGGTATTTCCTTTTTGGATTCACTTCACGCATTGTGCATGTGCTACTAACAAAACAGGTTTACCCGGAAAGGAAATCCAGCATCGGTTCCATGATCACTGCCAAAAGGACACATTACCAAGGATACCGGTTGGAACACATCACTCTGGAATTCTATGGATTGGTCAACAAATCTCCTTACGGATTTGACTTAACTGGACACAACTTTCCCACCTGGACAGCTCCTGAGACTCAGTCCGATCAGGGACAATTGGCGTGCCAGCCATGGGACTATCAGCCTAGCCAAGGCTTGAAAAAAAAAGAAAAGAAAAAAAAGTTACTGGAAGATGTCGACATGACACAGGTAAGAGCTCCATTCCTACGATCCATCACAGGATTGCCCATCTCCCATTCATTTGATCTCCCCGTGATTTGATATCATCAGCTATGATCCAATTGGGAAGAGTGCACTGATACCATCATCTGGCAATCTATGGTGAGTATCCAACCACCCAAATCCGCTGACGATGGAACCTATTCTACTTCCACTCAAGGAGTACCATGGGTACCTAGAACATGTGCTAGGATTCATGAAGCCTGGTCGAGACAGTACGGACTGGATGATTAGTCCATTGCCATTCTGTTAACTGGAGCTACATCAATACGGAATATGTTCAAGGAGCTCTAACCGGAGATAGGAACACTCCTGAGATATGTGAACCAGAGAAAACCTTCAGGAGTACCTGACCATCTTGGTGGACTGGACTATTCGACACTTTTCTTCCTGGATACTTTGAGGATGAACAAACAGTTCCCTTGACGGATTTTCAACCCTTAGGATAACCAAGTCAACAAATGGATTCTCCACTGTACCTCCCTATCAATATTGAACCAGGATTCGAAAATTTTCCAGTTAAATCAGTCAGTCACAGTTCACCCTTGTGTTCCTGAGCGATCTGAATTCTGCTACTTCCTGTGCTTGTATCTTTATTTCCGTGGTTGCCCTCGGACTCCCGGATTTGCCTTGCTTTTACTACCTACCGGTATCGGATGGATGGATGGATACCTATCGACATAAGATCTAGAGTATGGAGCGTGTATCTGCTTTAGTGGACGCTGGGGCATGTTGAAAGAGGTCGGTGCGTGTATAGCATGTGGGTGTGTGGATGATAGAGTGCGTGTGGGAGCAATACCTAATCACGATGACCTACGGGATGGTGTGAAATGACCAGGCGTGTAATGCCTAGCAAGGTTCCACCCAATGGCCGAGGGATTTTCCGGATGTCTATCTTTTTTTCATCTCACCTTATTTCATTTCATGTACTACGAATATATGGAGCCGCACGGGGACTGAAGTTTATTTGGACGGACCTACCACTTTAGGTTGGGCTCGGTTGGGCTGCCTGGGCTTGGGCATTAGCTCTGTGGGGACGGGACGGGGCCTGGGGTCTATGTGTATGGGGTTCGCCTTGGCTGTATGGGGACAGGGTCAGGGGACGTCGGGTAGGTTTGAGTTAGGCATATAGGGATCCTACGGGGGTGGTAGAGTAGGGTAGCTTGGGAATGAATACATCCATGAAAGGGGTTGTATCAACGACATATGAATGCGCGCTTTGGCTTGTGACTATTCGTGCCTGTCTGTGTTGAAGGTGTGTGGTCTATGTTACTAGTGTACTATGTAGGTATTATGTACCTGTATAATACCTCTTCGTATCACCCATGGCTTGCTAATTTATCAGTATTAGTCTATTAGGGTATCTGTCCATCGAGCGATGCGTCCTAACAATGTCGTGTGTGATCTGATTCATATATCTGGAAGTATGTTGTTAACGTTATTCTATGTGATGTAATATGATAGGACTGTGACATGGGAGATATACATAGTACATTTGCTTGTTTAACAGTCATATCTGGAGTTTTATGTCGCGAAGACATATAGACTACGTAGGCAACTCATGCAAGTCAGTGATACGAGCTACTCGTAAGCTACGAGGGTTGGTACTTGTGGAAAAGGGGGTGTTTCAGGGCAGACTAGAGAGCTGGGTTCCTCACTTCCGCGGAAGAATATGCCGAGGGTAAAGAGGGTTCTGTGTAGGTCATGATGAGTTTATCGGCAGGGCTAGGGGAGATTATCTAGTGGTTGAAGTTGTGGTGGTTAGGGCTTGGGGTCGTAGACTTCGGAAAAGGGGGCGAGATGGGATGAGGGGATATGTTGTACGACCAAACAACGTCGCTTCCAGTGTACTTTCACGTCTCAATACAGACTCATTCAATTTATTGAAGGTAAATATTGCTTATTGATTATTTTTGTAAGTGGTAATATGTTACGGATCCCTGACTAGTACAGACTTACCTATCTGATCTAGTAGCAGAACAAGATCTATTAGCATGGACGGAATCTCAACTCCGACGACCTTGGAGCACCATCAGATTTAGCGAAGTAAGAGCCTTGATTCGATGATTCGGATGCCTCATGTTGTGTTAACAGGCAGATTACGTACGTTGGATTCCCACCCTGACCTTCTATTGGGATGACTAAGATGCACGAGGGATATTTTATACAAACAGCAACGAAGAATTAAGTAATTCTCATCACAGAACATACCTAATCGGTCACCTACTACCACGCGCTTCCATAAGCCGTGAGGCTCTGCTCGGTACATACGGTTTGGGTATAGGGGGTTTAGGTGCATAGCCGCGTGGGGGTTGCTCTCCGCAAAAGTTCCTACCCGGTAGGCAGGCTGGCAAGCATGTAGGCAAGCAAGAAAGTAGGCAAGCAGGTATGTAGGTAGGGGACGGGGACGGGGACGGGGGACGCTAGGGAGGCAGGCAGGAGCCTGACTCCGCGCAGAGCCTCAATACCTGATACCTGGTACCTAACCTAGCCTAACCTAACTTAACCGTAGCCGGCAAGGCGGACGACGCGTCCTTAGGTCCTACTTACATACCTACCTACTCGCACGTTTTACGTAGTAGCCGAAGCGTCGGGTCCCCGTCATCAACCTTGCGTACATGCGCATACGACATATCCGGCTGACGGCGTGCATAGCCGCATACCGACGGTTTGGGTCTCGGGTCTCGGGTCTCGGGTCTCACAGAAAGAGAGAAAAACCCTCTCCAAGGAAAACCAAAAAAGACCGCACGTCTGCTTTGCTTTGCTTTGCTTTGCTTCGCTTCGCTTTGCCAAGACGATAGTTTCGTCGTCTGAACGGTTGCACTGCCCGTCTGCGAGGATACTCTGCTCTTACATACGACCCGACCCCGACGGGAGAGCGGTGAGCGAGTGAGGCATTAGCGGAAGGTTTTTGAGATCGATGGATGTCCTGTTCTTTTTCCTTTCAGCTTTTTTGGGGGGGGACCTCTAGCTTTCCCGATGTCGGACGCGGGCCGAGGCGGCTGAGTTTGGAGGGCGGGTTGGGTTGGGTTGGTTTAGGTTAGGTTCCGCGGCTGACTTTTCCGATTTCCGTTTTGGACTTCGAAATCGTGGCGAAGCGAGGCGAGGCGGCCAGCTGAGACGGCCGGCAGGCTTGAGACAGCACGTGGGTTTGGGTTAGAGATGTTGGGAGGCCGGTGAGGGTGGCGGAGGGGCTGTGCTGGTGGTTAGCTTGGGGGATTGGGGGTGATTGGGTATGTGGAGAAGCTAATATAACGCTAGATGGAGATGAGATATCGGTCACGTCGATGTTGGCTGGAGGATGTTGAGTTGTTTCGGTATGTCTGGAATGGATATATCGGAGCTGTTAAGGGGCAGTGGTGATAACCTCCAGACGATCACGAGAGGTGCTCGTTCAGGTGGTAGGGCTATATAAGGGGGGTTTCTCTCTCCTATCCAGACTTCTGCAGAACCAGAGTTGGATATATCCGTTCACATGACGTTGTTCTCCTTGCTTGTCACCACTTTGCACATTTTCTAGTGAGACCATTAGATCAGCCACGAGCTTCTTAGGAAACCATGGTAATATTTGCAAGTTGGATTCGAAAGAAAAAGACGGTGTCTTCTTGGGACCATCTTGGCGTATAGTGTAGGTCAAAGACTCACCTCCATTGCAGTCGTTTCTCGGTTATAGATGTAGGACGATATCTTCGTTCCTTTATGCGGGAGGTATACGTCGTTTCGTACCCTTGTCCTAACGGAAAAGGTTGTATTAGACATCTGCGATATAGATACATCTTCGGGGTAGTAGTACTTATTGACCGTTTATACAAAACCACGGTATGATAAAGATCGGATTACGAATTGTGACTTCGCTTTTGTCAAACGGCTACGTCGGCGGTGATAAGTGACGTGAGTGTTCGTAGAGAGAATTTGGATAGGGGAGGCTTGTAACGGAGGATTTACCTACATGATAACAGAGTTTGAGCCTAAACCCCGGAGGTCACCCAGACTATTCAAGGCAATGGCCTCCTTTGGTAGACTCTCATTGTGATTTTCCCCATAGCCCCTGACTAGGTAAATAAGATCGGAAGAAGTATATCAGCGACCTAGCTGGCGGATACCTACCCCTTTCCTTGGTAAATTAAGGACCGATCACATTTGAAGTCCAGGAAAAGATATCGAACCCATCCAAGTGCGGTAACGATTCGACTCGTGTAAGATTGCAGTGTATGAGAATCCATCTTCTATTACTTGTTGTATCTTGCCTAGAATAGACTATTTCGGTACTCTTAGTGTGATCGTACTGATCTGCCCTATAAACCTTAGCGAGATATAAGTCCGAGTTTGATTTGAGACTCGAATACCCGAACGAAGCTGTTCTCGTGAATGACTTTACTAAGGTAACTGCTGCGAAGCTATTTCCCATCTGGGGACCCAGGTATCTTTAGAGCAGTTTGCGTACACTCACAAAATTTTGGGCCATTTTGCTGATTCAAATACATCCCCGGGGGCCAGAAAGCCTTTCATTGAATGTCTCTTGGCTAGCGTGCTTGGATTCGCGGTAAAGAATGTTTGCATGTTGGTAGAAGCTGTGTGTTCAATAGGTATCTCTTTGAATAAGTCAGTCTATAAAATCCCGTTCTGTATGCATTAGGCTTGTATCGCTTTTCGTACTAGGCTACTAGGCCAGGTGAACAGTATTTGGGGGGAGTAAACTTGGGCTAGGCATTGTGAATAAGGGTCAAGCCCGAGGAAAGACGTATCACGGAGTTGGTGATATGGACCGAGTCTCATTGGTAGCAGGAATAGCCCGAAACGTGCCTAGTCGATATTGTGATAGTATGGTATGACATATCTTGCACCCGGATGTGAGTTTGATGCCTATGTAGCTAGTCCCCCCAGGTTTATACGTCAAAAGGTGGTATTCTGGGAATATCCATATTTTCATACCCGATGTCAACGAGCATAGGGATAGTTGTCGCCCTTCTAGGAGTATATCGCGAATCATACCAGAAACCTACCTGAAGAAAAACGTCCCTCAAGAAGAATTCTAAACTATCATTCTTTATACCAGTGACATGGAACAAGCCATCTCCGATTTCGACTATCGTCAAATGTATGACAAATGGGGTTGTATTAGATGTTAGACACCAGGGGATATGAAAGAATATGACAGTCTTGGCAGGCGAAACAAGTGTGAACCACCTGGACACTTACTTGAGTAACTAGGATGGCATGCCTTATGATTTATGCAACTAGAATGGTAGGAGAATAATTATCATGCTTCGTTCTATAGCCCGGTTTAAGTTTGTTATATGGGGGATCAATGATACGACGATAGTGAAACTATCACACGGCATTAGTCATGATGTGAGAGATGAGTTGTTTCGACCTAGACCATGTAATTGTTTCTAACATGTAGACGTTATGAAGCTGTAGGTGAAACTCTCGAGTAATCTGGCTGTGGATGGATTGGTTGCCATTTATGAGGCCGAGGAGGATTGCTCAGGCGTAACTAACTTATTTGGTCAGTCTTGTACACAATTATGTAAAATTCGAGCTCATCCTATCTCATGTTTCGTAACCTGAAACGGGCTATATGTTGTAGATGATATATGGTACTGACCAAGGCGAGACTTGCCATCGTGTTGTGGATGTGGAGATAAAGTTATGTCTCGGGTAAAGGGGGTCAACATCGGAGAGACGTATCTACGAAGAGCGTCGCCACAACACTCAGGTTTATTATCGTGGCTAGTTGTTGGGGCTGATGCGATCGCAAACGTTCTCATATTTCCCCTCTCCATCCCTTACTTAAGGTGACATGACGTAGGTACGAATTCGGGCCTGCATTCAGCTTCACCTATCAGAAAGCCGGTCGGAACGGGTCTGATCCAACTAGCGACCAGGCACGTGGGTAGAACCATCTTGTTGGCGACATCGCATCTCTGTGCTATGTGATAGGTAGAACTCGGCCCGCTAGACACCATGCCAGCTCCGGCCGGAGCAGCGCGGGTACCGATAGTCCGTTTTAGTACTAATTAGAGGATTTCAAATATGTATGGCGACTATTATGTTTAGGCCGTATTGAAATAGCAAGCTGAGAATTAGAGGTTGATATATGGTTCTGGTGTCAGGTTCAGGGGCGCGTTTCCTGTCGATCTTCCGTCGACGTGCGGTGACTTTAGCTGAAGGATACTGAAAGGAGCGTTTCTCCATTCGCTTCATTGGACATTACATGGCGAGTCCCAAGTCGCCTCTATAGATTTCACATATTCCCACCGAGTTCACGGGTTGTATCACTATTATTCGCGAGGCAAAATCGAGCGGATAACTTGGCTTGGGGTCACGTTGTTTTTCGATCTCATAATTAATGATATATGGTTCTATCAGGCGATTTCGTCGAAGAATTTGAAAGAATATGGTCCCTTTGATTACTACACATTGCCATTGTTACGACAAGTAGTAGGTAAACGTGGTTTGTTAGGATATTCGGAAGGGAAGCCGGGCGGCTAGCCACCCCATTGGAGAGGCCGTAATAAGTACCATGGTTTTGAATCCGGCAAAAAGTAGCTCATGATATCAACGCGCATGTCGATGGTCACTACGTATTCAAATCACTCTTGTTCTCGGGGAGAGGTGATATTATGTAGTATGTAAGGTCGTGGTAGAGGTGATCTTCAGGGGAGAGATATTAGTAAGATGTAGCTGGTAAGAGGTAGAAATAAAGTCAAAGTCAAGAATATCGATCCAAGTACCGAGGTCGTGATCAATCCGGATTGGATAGGTGTATGTAGCTGTAGCTGTCCATATTAAAAAAAAGGCAATATTGATTCTGTGAAGCAAAATAAAAAACATCTGTGCGGAGGTGGGGGATAATAATGATAATAATTCGCCAAGATCGAAGACGTGAGAGACGGCGCGAGCATAACCCTGGAATAATTCAATGCAAAGTCAATGCAAATTCAATGGAGGGGATTAAGCAACCAATAGAATTTGATTAAGGGGCGGCAGGCGTGGGTGATGGGCAATGGGGTGACGGGATAAGGTAGGAGTTGGGCTAGTGCACTATAGGAACTTGGAAGTCGTACACAGAAGCCATGAAGGCGGTGACAACCTCGACCGCCCTCGGCTTGCCATGTTTAGCGCCATTTAGCTTCGAGTCGATTGGTCCCTACATGTATTTAAACGTCAGCGAAGACTCGCTATATAAATATATATATTATCATAGGTATGTATCGAATCGAAATGCATTACGTTAAGATGCTTAGTGTTTATTTTTGACGATATAAAATCCTTTAGGCTGGCACACGTAGTCTGGAATTCTTTTAGCATCCTCAATTACAGAATAGGCGGCCTAAGTATTGATTCGGTTCAAGGTTGTTGTCTCACCTGCTGCATATCACGATTCCTTCGAGAGGTGTACCCTTGTGGCGCATGCGAAATCTTGTGGGTCTATTTCCTTTAAGGGCCTTATATTTAATATATTCATATCAATTCCATCCAAGGAAGTACATATTACTATAGGTACATTCCGTATATGAATACGTCCGAATAAGGACGAGACAAACGCTCACATCAGAGTCAAATTAGGTGCATAATATTGATGAATGATGAATGATGTATGTCATATCGAGTCCAGTCGAGTCGTTTTCATAGGTAGTATGCATCTACGAATATAAATAAATTCGCCGTCTATGTGTTTGCCGGGTTGCCCTATCGAGTGTACCTCGACATTCCAACTCACGTTTTCGGTTGACATTGAATGTTACCTATAAGCGGAAGAGCAATGTATGTACCTATCTAGGCATAGTTACAAATTTTCAAATTGAAATTCCTTAGCAAGCGTCGACGTGAACGTAAAGAATCCGCTGCCTTCCTCCTACCTAGTAGCCCTCAATTTTTATAGGCAACAGCATGAAGGAAGGTAAGTACCTGAATTTGCGCTGAACCTGAACTTTATCGACTTTAGACTATCGAATTCTGCCAGCGCAAAGTTTTAAGGTGCGTGCTCAGTAGACCCTAGCAGCCCTAGCAATAAAACCGTGCCCAGCTACCAGTAGGCCTGTGACACGCCCACTACAAGGAGACTACAAGTTTCGATGTACCGCTATGGTTTAGCGCGAAGATTAGGTACACGATTACACATGAAATAGTGGGAATCAGTAGGAAGGCACCCAAGCACGGCACTAAGCTTGTACCGAAGTAGACAGAGACCCTTCCACCTTCCACGACTTCAAAGTGTGCCCCGCCATTTTCGGACGGCGCAAAAATAACGAAGTAACCACTGACAGTCTAAACTTCACATTAATTTTTTACACACCACAATTGGGTGCAGCGCCTGAAGCTGAACCATCATCGTCACAAACCGTATTTCTACCGACGACTCACTTCGCATTTTTTCCTCCTTTGCACTCGTCGGTTTGACCCCGTCGACACGGGTAGCCCTATACCGAATCCTAGCCGAACATCACAACGTCATTACTGCTCCATCTATCAACACGTTAACATAAAAAAAAACTAGAACAGCAGATCAACATCCAAGCTGAGAATCCATCATGAATGCCGAGGCCATTAGGGCTCGCATCGTTGCCACCCTCTCCCCTGACGCCAATGTGCGAAGAGCCGCAGAGCTCGAACTCAAGGCGGTAAGTTTACATTGTTTGCTTTGCTACAATGCTATGTTATGTTATGCTATGCCATGCCATGTCATGCTACGCTTTGCCATACCATGCCGTATCCGCGTGTTAGGCTACGCAATGCGATGCGATGCGCCTTACCTACACCTATCTCCCACATCCCATGTTTGACGCGTCTGTTGTTGGGCACGAGTATTGACAAAACCTTTTCTGGAAACAATAGGCCGAGGGGCATGCCGGTTTCACCGATGTCCTGCTCGACGTCTTGACTGCTGAGCCCGACGACTCTGTCCGACTCTCAAGTATGATATTACCCCCGTATCTGGACTACGGAGCTATCTCGCTGACACTGTTGATCCTCCAGCTGTCATCTACCTCAAGAACCGGACAAATCGAGGCTGGTCGAAAAGCGACCATTACCCCGACGAACCGCTCATAGCGGAAGATGAAAAACAACGCTTTCGCGACCGCATCCTCCCCATCCTCGCTGCCTCTCGCGGTCCTGTCCGCCAACAACTCCTGCAGCTGATTCAGCGCATCTTACACTTTGATTTCCCCGGGAAATGGCCTAGCTTTATGGACGTCACGTTGCAATTGCTGCATGCAAATGACGCTCCTTCTGTCCTTGCTGGCTTACAGTGCTTGCTAGTCACCTGCCGCGCCTACAGATTCAAAGGACCCCAGGACAGTAGTCGATCCGAGTTTGACAAGATTGTCGAGGCTAGCTTTCCTAGGCTCCAACAAGTTTGCAATGAATTGGTCAACCAAGAAAGTGACGAGGCTGGTGAGATGCTGCACATCGCCCTCAAAGCTTACAAACATGCAACCTGGGTACGTCTGCTACTCGATGACGACGGTTCGCTCAACCTTAATCCTAACGCTTCACTTCAGCTCGAACTTTCTAGCTTCCTAAAGCAACACGACGTCAATATCGGGTGGTGCACAATCTTCCTCCATACCGTTTCGAAAACGATACCTGCGTCCGCTATGCTCGAAGATATCGACGAGCGTGAGCGCCATCACTGGTGGAAGGCCAAGAAGTGGGCCTACTTCAACCTCAACAGACTCTGGATCAGGTTGGTTTTTTTTTATATGTGGACATAGGACTTGCCTGCGAGATGGCTAACGAATAAAATTTCAGACACGGTAACCCTGCATCTGTTACGCCTAAGAACGACGAGTCGTCCAGATTTTCTAAGGAATTTGAGAACACTATTGCGCCTGAGATATTGAAGCACTACCTGCAAGAGATAGAGAAGTGGGTATCTAAGACGGCTTGGCTCAGCAAACCGTGCTTATCCTACACTCTCGTTTTCCTAGACGAATGCTGTCGCCCGAAATCCATGTGGAACTTGATGCAGCCTCATCTTACCAATCTTGTTACTCACCTAGTCTTCCCTGTCATGTGCCTGAGCGACGAGGATGTGGAGAAGTTCGAGGATGAACCTGAAGAGTATCTTCATCGGAAATTGAACTTTTACGAAGAAGTCTCAGCTCCCGATGTTGCGGCGACTAACTTCCTCGTTACTTTGACCAAGACTCGCCGAAAGCAGACGTTCGAAATCTTACAGTTTGTCAACGGAGTTGTGAACGAGTATGAGCAGACGCCCGATGACAAGAAGAACCACATCGCGAAGGAGGGTGCGTTGAGGATGATTGGCACATTAGCTCCTGTTCTCCTGGGCAAGAAGAGTCCGGTTGCTGATCAGATCGAATATTTCCTTGTTCGATATGTCTTCCCCGATTTCAAGAGCCCCCTAGGTTATCTTCGCGCACGAGCGTGCGATACTATCGAGAAATTCGAGCAACTTAACTTCAAGCATGAGAACAACTTGCTCATAATTTATCGACACATCCTGGACTGCATGGCTGATTCCGATCTGCCCGTCAGAGTCACGGCTGCACTGGCTTTACAGCCCCTGATTCGACACGACCCTATTCGCGCCAATATGCAACAGAGTATTCCAACTATCATGCAGCAATTACTCAAGTTGGCTAATGAATGTGATATCGACGCCCTAGCTAACGTCATGGAAGATTTCGTCGAAGTGTTCGCTGCAGAACTTACACCCTTCGCTGTAGCTCTAAGCGAGCAGCTTCGAGATACTTATCTCCGAATTATTCGAGAGTTGCTTGAAAAGAACGACGCTCGCAATAGTAACGATGATGACTTTGGCGACTACCTAGACGACAAGAGTATAACAGCCTTGGGCGTCCTGCAGACTATTGGTACCCTTATTTTGACTCTAGAGAGCACCCCGGACGTGCTATTACACATCGAGGCAGTCCTAATGCCCGTTATTCAGGTCACTCTGGAGAACAAATTATACGGTTAGTTACACAAGATTTTCTCATAACTTCACTCGGCTGACACGTAATATAGATCTCTATAATGAAGTCTTCGAGATCATCGATAGCTGCACATTTGCTGCCAAGAGTATCTCGCCCACTATGTGGCAAGCTTTCGAACTCATCCACGCTACCTTTAAATCCGGCGCTGAGCTGTATCTAGAGGACATGCTTCCGGCTCTAGACAATTTCGTGCAGTATGGTGCCAGCCAATTAGTTCAGAAGCCCGAATACGTACAAGCCTTGTACGGGATGGTTGAGGATATGTTCCAAGATCAGAAAGTCGGTGGAGTCGACCGCATCTGCGCTTGCAAGCTCGCGGAAGCTATGATGTTGAGCCTTCGCGGCCACATTGACCAATCCGTCACCGGGTTTATCACCATGGCCATGATTGTTCTTAGCGGCCACGATGTCAAGGTCAAATCGTATAAGATTCATCTCATGGAGATGGTTATAAATGCTATCTACTACAACCCGATGTTGACTCTAGCTGTTCTGGAAAGTAAGGGATGGACAAATAAGTTTTTCAGCCTATGGTTCATGAACATGGACTACTTCAGCCGCGTCCACGACAAGAAGCTTTGCATCGTGGCTATCGTCTCTCTGCTAAGTCTAAACGCAGACCAGATCCCTGCCAGCGTTAGCACTGGCTGGCCAAGACTCTTGCAAGGGATTACCGGACTCTTCAAGACATTACCTAACGCTTTGAAGAATCGCGAGGAAGCTCTGAAAGAGGACTTCACTTACGATTCGAATAACTATGATTATGACGATGACGATGAGTGGGCCGATGAAGATACTAACTGGAATGGCGAAGAAGGAGCGGAGGGCGAGCAGAACGAAACTCGGGACGAGAGTACGGCATACCTCGAATTCCTCAATGAAGAAGCCGCCAAGTTCAGCCAGATCGAGAATCAGTACAAGGACCAGGGAGACGAGTCTGAAGACGATCTTGGTGAAGACAGCGTGTTGCTCGAATCGCCCCTGGACAAGATTGAGCCTTACCAGCTCTTCCGAACTGTCCTTATGAGTAAGTATCATGAAATCGCCGCTTAACTTTTCAAGTTACTAACCCATTGCTACGTAGAAATGCAACAAGAAAATCCACAGCTCTACACGAGTCTCACGTCAAACCTCTCAGCTGATGAGCAGGGAGTTATTCAAACGGCCATCCACCAAGCTGAGGCCAATGCCCAAGCTGCTTTGCAATTGGCAGCTCAAGCCGCACAAAATCCCCAAGGGGTTCCCGGGGCTTCTAACGGCGGCGCTATATAGAACTAGCTGTCACGTAAACGCCAGGAAGCACCTAGGTAAAATTGGAGGTCGCTACGGAGATCACATGAGGCTCAGCACTATAACTCACTGTGTTGATGACGCAGTGTCAGCTCTTTCGCAATTGTCTAGCCGGGTAGGCGAGACAGCAATTATGATGAGTAGTTGTTGAGAATTGCGGACTCGGTAATCCCAAAAACTGTTTCTACAATGGGCGGCATCTTTGGGTATGTCACAGGTGTAATAGGAGTCGGTCCCCATGCCGTTGTTTGGCAAATAGGAAGGGGAAGAAATCGTCGCTAGGTAGGTAGGTCACAACACCCCATGCATATGTTGCGAAGGAAAGGAAAGGAAAGGAAATTCGGGGAGGATATATCCGGAGGTCGATGATGGACCGAAGATGGATCGAAACTGAGGCGATTGTGTCCCAGAACCACTAAAAAGATTTTAGATCGTGCAAACACATCCATACAATATCCCCCGCCCTCATCCCCACCAGCACCCCCCCTTTACCCCCGTTCCCCCAGTCAGAGACCCCAAATTTGATAGCATCGTGTTATTTCCATGCTTTCGCCGCTTAGTCCTCGTGAGTGATTGGATATATGGGATAAGTAATGTTGCTAATGGATTAACGATATTATTGGTACAGTAGCTCGTCTTCAATATGAGTTAAGTAGGAAGTATTATCACTAGAAGATCATTGACGATTTGTAGGCATTCAGGCTCTTGATTTGGATTTTGAGGGGATGTCCTGGTTGATAAGTGGGATCTAGTTGGGATACAAGCAGAAAGGGGTGTTCAGGGCGTATCCGGAGGTAAGTTGTAGAAAAGAAGAAAGGTGTGTTAGATGGCCTCTTAGAGTGCCTGCGCCTTCAGACCGCGAGGCTTGGTAGCGAGCCTAAAAAGCGTAGACTGGTGCTTGTAGTATACCAACCTACCTGAAGTATCAATTGCCTTAGGTAGATTGTTGATGTACAATGCAACATTTGCAATGAGCTACGTATATCCAGAGACCGGTATTTGCCATACCTACCTAATTAACAAACTTAGCTATATCCCATCAGGGGATTGGGCGTCCTACGTTTAAAAATGACGTAGAAGACCAGAGCTCTTAGACACCCAAGCTCCAGGATTCTTGGGAGCTTCTTCGATGATAACTATATGATTTCCACTTTGGGCAGGATCCTATTTCTGGATAGGGGGTTTAATACTTCCGCCTGTTGGGGAAAGTCGATAACATGATGGCTTTAATATAGGTACCTACCCCTTTATAAATTTATAAACTCACATAACTTGAACTAGAGTCAATCTAATCGAATGACGTTTATAATTGATGACTTATTAGCGAAGACTTGAGGAATGAAGTTGGCAAATACACATCACGTGATACCGATCCTCCCCCCTTTTTCTTGATAGCATCCCCTAATCGCCCTGACGTAATTGAACGGAGATCTGAAGTACCAATAAGGATATAAGAATTGATAGGAATATTATCATACCTATATTATATCGATCTGGGTCTGAACTGGTTTGTCTATTTCTCCGACGTACAAATTATGAAGCGTTCTCGGATCGTTGCCTCAGCGAATCCTGAGCATGTTACGAGTGCAATAGAATACCAATATAATTTCCCGGGGAACCCCCTAGGTAGTAATATGAATATCAACATGGTTGGAAGTTCAGTTAGAGCTCATCTTGAGAATAATTTCATTGAAAACGGGAGTAATCTACTGACAAGATGAACACCACCGGGCTCGCAATTGGCCCAAGACTTGTATATTTGAGGCTAGTCATACTAGTATTAAGATACTATAATTGATCTCTATAATTGGACAGATGAATACCTACCTATGTGATTAATGATGTTGGAGTCGAACTCATATGTGATTATTAGGTATTTATTTGTCTTGAGACTGGTCATTGGGGCTTGAAAAGGAGTATAAGTAGGTAAAGAGCTAGCGAACCTATGGGGAAAATTCTCAGTCGTTGCAGTCTCGGTTTTCTGTGCTAGCGGAACTGGGCATGACACAACCATTTCGAATTGAAAGTTAGGTAGCTAACTAGGAGTCTTCAGGCACAACTAGTTGCTAGACGATGTCACATGCAATGGAGATAGGGTTGGTGGGATACATCGAAGCTGGATTAGCCAATGGCAATCCTCACCACAAGCCCTAATATCCAGAAAAGGAAAGTTCAATAATCCCTATTGTCGCTTTGTCATTGAAGGCAACGGGCATCTGTATGGCGACCTGACTTTCGACCCTGATATGGAGTCCTCGTTAAAAAGAGGATATCTTCACTCCTCTTGAATAGGTACCAATAAGAATTGTAATATAACGAATTGAAGAAAAAATATGATGCATCAGCCGCGAATCGAACGCGGGGCCCATCGATGGCAACGATGGATTTTACCACTAAACCACTGATGCCTTCTCCCTGTTAAGCCCAGTTGTGGGTAATGGATGAAAGCGGGAATTAGTTATTCCGTTATGAATGCATGTTGAGTATTACAAACTATATGTATCAAACTGATTGTGAAAGCTGAGTGGCTCGATTGGTTTGTCTCCACTAGACAAAGGCTGCTTAATATGGAGTTGAGAGTGAAGCATCAGCCATTATCACGATAGCACTGCATGTGGAGATTTCCTATGTCTTTATTACTGTGGTGTTGGAAAGAGGGATAACTTATATACTGCCTCAGAATCTAAGAATAGAATCATATAGATGATACAAGCTTAAATGCCTTGCTCTGTTGGTCGATAATAAGTCATGGATATGGATATGGATATCTGTTGTAGCATTTTCAACATGTCGATGAATTTAGACAAGGATCCTGCCTCGACTTCCGTTTTCTTTGCAGGCAACAAACGGTTCATATTGATTAACTACAGTGTCACACGGTGCGCCTAGGATCTACGTCATGCATTACAACGCTTTCTCAGTTTGAGAATACATAAATCGTCGCTTCCAACAGGGGCAAAACTGGCTCAAACAAAGTTGCACCTTAACCCCCGCATTCAAACGCAGACTAGCGCAACTGCCACAGTCGGATATCGGCACTGTGCCATAGGTAGGCACGATTATACCTTCGGTAGGGACTGCAGGTGCGTTGCCATTATGGCACCACCCTGCAGCTGATCAGGACCTTCCAAGTTACCTAGGCAGCTGGGTTATGTATGTTTCCGTGCCTAGCTTCGGATCGTCCCTTCGACATGGCATTCTATTCCTCAGGTGACGACTGGGCGAACCCTTACATATATGTCAATCGTCAATCGCTAATGGTCAATTGGAATGACTCCAATTCTTTGTTCTACACTCCTCACAACCAAGGACCCAAGGAAACGTCATTGACATTGCGAACTCATTCACTTTCATCAACAAGAGATTCTCAAGCACCGAAAAAGACATGATGAAGTCTATCCTGGCATTAGCAACAGCGGTGGTTGTGGCTGTTACGGGGATTGGAATTGCTGCAGCTGTAAGTCGTCGGATCATCCAAAACTGTTTATCTTGGGTACTTATACCATATAAGAGAGTACCGTTGGGCTAACCTGGATCTAGGATGCAGACATCGATGCCCGCTCGCTTTCTCTCACATCGGCAGATGTGCCGACATTCAGTTCAACTACCTATTATACTCCGACGTTGACCTCATCAGGCTCCTCATATGCGTCGTCTGGATCTGACACTTCCACTGGTTCGTACTCGGCACCGACGGTCTCGACAACTCCATTTGCAAACGTTACATCGGCTGGGACTGCGACGCAGACTCTCGGTGGCATCACACATTCTGCAACGATCAGCGGGTCCTTGACCGAAACCCCGAGCACATCATCAACATCAACATCAACATCCAGCGCTGCTGCATCACCTGCTAAGAGTAGAGTTGCTGTGATGGCTGGTATATTCGGCCTCTTGGTTGCGTTGTGAAGTAGCCGAGATGTCATGGATGAGGATAGCCACTTGGAATTGGTGTTGGTTCCGGAGCTCTGGAGTTGTTAAAGACTATTGTTACGTTTGTCTGGAGTTACCGTGTTGCCGAGAATGTTTATGAACTGGAGATTTTTGGAGCAAGGACCTGGATATTGATACCTAGATCGGAGGACTTGCTATGAAAAGATGTATATTTTGTATGGGCGAGAATACGTTTGCTGGACCACGCAGAGCACCACATCATAGGTTAACAATTTGGATGTAACCCTATAGTAATGGTAATAAAAAAGCCGTCATATTAAATTGATCTTTGATATCTGTAAGGAATTGAAAATATTTAATCTTTGCGAGGAGGTGCAGGGTGATCTCCGCAGACAGTAAGAGATCGATATATGTACTGGACCAATTACGCTTAGTCATCCACATGCTGGCGCATCCAATACAAAATTCCCCACACAAGCTTTCATGTTCGCATTTCAACCAACAATCAACTTCTAACGTCTTTCACTGCTCCTAATCTTTCATTATACACTTCCATAACTTTGCCAAATCTCGCACTCACTCATTTAACCTCTACCTACCCAGTGGCTTCTTTTGAGGAGTACAAGATGGACGTTAAAATGGAGGACTCGCCTCCTGCCATCCCGGCCGATGACGAGCCGAAGTATGGTGGATTCAGTCGCTTTGAAATTGAACTAGAGGTGCGTCTTTATACCAATCCAAGTCACTTTTCTTCCCTTCCATTTACTTCGCCTAGCCTACTGCGCGTCCACATTCGCTAACAAATCCTCTACTCTAGTTCGTCCAAGCCCTCGCGAACCCGACCTACCTGAACCACCTGGCGTCGCAGAAGCTCCTCAACGAACCCGCCTTCATCGCGTACCTGTCCTACCTGCGCTACTGGTCGCGCCCGCCCTACATCAAGTACCTGAACTACCCGGGCCCGACGCTGAAGCACCTGGAGCTGCTGCAACAGGAGCGCTTCCGCCAGGACATCATCAATCCCGGGCTCGAGCAGGCGCTAATCGCCGAGGGGGCCAAGGCGGCGGTGGACTGGCACAAGGGTGATTAGGAAGCCCGATGTTACGGTTCGCAGACGCTGCCTCTTCGGTTGCGCTTCGAAAAATCGAAGCCCGGACAGCCTTGCCCTCCTCCGTCTTCAGCTACGCTTCCGCAAGTGAAGACAGGGGGAAATACTCCTCCCGGCGTGGCTTCGTGGTGGCATGGCTTAGTATCGTCGCCTACGCAGCGAGTTCGGGATCAGGGTGAATGCTCCCCGACTTGAGATATTCCCTGCTAGTCTGGGGTTCACCATGGGGCTGATATAGTACAGTTCCACCCACGAACAGTGTGGTGAAGACGGAGGTGTGAAATGAATGCGAGAACAGGAAGTCATATTGGGTATCATCATTATTGGGAAGTCGGCCTAATCAAGATGCGACGCGATATGAACATTAAGAACGAAAACCTCACAACTCCATCTTAATGCCATCCTTAACGCCGTCCAATGTCCCTCGCAATGCTGTCTAGTGGAATTACCACCTCTACCAACCTCCCATTGTCTCGTCCAATTGCTCTAGTTCTCTCTCCACCGGTGGCCGCAAGTCATGCACTTTGTCCCAGTTAGCAGTTATTCATATCCACCCATCACAATGACTAGCACTTACCTTAAAGAAACTTGTCATAGGTTCATCTGCGCTTCGGATCTGGATCTGGTAGAAGGCGGCCTCCTTGCCGGTGCATGAAGAGTTATTACATTGCACCTTAGTCTTGTCGGCATTCTCCCAGGCACCGTCACCACCGAAGACATCTTCGCGCTCCTTCTTCTTGAAGTATTTCCTCGCGAACAGAGTCTCCGTAATTGCGTGTTGGTAGGGACAGGTGCGGCATTCGAGACGGTTGCGCCCAGACTCTGGAGATACAGAGACCGTCAGGATGTTCGAGCACTCGGGGCAAACTGTATGATGTTGTTAGTCATTGCTTTTATGTATGCGACGGAAAGACTTGGAGGGCTTACAGAGAAGCATGGTGGCTTCATTGACTACTCCTTGTTGCTTGTAAGATCTTCTGCCTTCTCCAAATTAAATTGAATGTGATCTGCTTGTGAATTGTCTGTGATTTGGTTGATAAAGTATTTAACTTTGAGTGAGTTGGAGATAGGTGACGAGAAGAATGGATGGGTTCTAAATTTTTGCGGGACTCGCAACTAGATGCAGGGATATCGCTGTTGCTGTAGGCCAATGCATGCTACGCTAATCGAGAATCATCCCGCCGGAATTCGCTAAAATAATTGCTCCGTAGGACCCCGCGGTACAGGTATGCACAGACGGTTAGCATGCTCACTGCTCAGCATTAAACAGACGCGTGGGTTGGTGGGGTGTTTTGGCGCTAGGCCTGGGACGTCACAACCGTCACAGCCTCCTTTCTTTAGCTTTTCTTAGCTGGTTAGCGCTTGTGCTTCCTCCATGCATTGATTAGGCGCCGTCTAAAGCCACACCGGTGACGACTACGTACCTCGTACCTTACACGGCGGATCACTCCTGGCTTATATTCTAGCTCTCTTCCGGTGCTATTCCTTCGACTTATAGCTAGCTCTATGCTATCAGAACGGTATACCGACCTTTTGGCTTGACCGGTTTCCTAGGCTCCGATATTCGAAATACGAACGGCAGGCAGCGAACAACGACAACCAGTCTCCTCCTTACAGTTGGATAGAGAAGGACTCGGATAGGATATCAAATATGGCGGACGATCAGGAACATGAAGTAAGGCCTACTCACCTCGAACGCCCTCGCACCTCTATTCTGCAAACATATCTACAACAGCAAGCTGACAGCACACGACAGGGCGCCTCCGTCAAAGAGCAGCTGATCGAAGCCTGCCGGCGAAACAATGTCGACCTTCTGAACGAGATCATCTCGAACTGCAAGAACGACGACGAGATATCCGACCTCCTGAACAACACCACCACCGTCATGGGAAACCATCTATACCACGAAGCCGCGCTTCAGGGGAACTGTACTCCCCCCTCCCTTTTCTTGCTTCCCTTGTCCATAACCATCATGCCATACCTATTATCCTTTGCCTACCCATGTCTCAACAGCATATTATACCACACCATTATACATCGCACTCAACCCCCTTCCCCAATCCACACAAACCCGCATATCTCCTCGTCCCAAGCCTAAGCTAACCTCCTGCCTCCCCCAAAAACAGACGAAATAATCGACACCCTCCTCGACCAGCCGAACTTCGAATGCGACCCGCTGACGCGCGCCGAGGGCGACACGCCGCTGCACAGCGCCATCCGCTGGATCAACAGCGAGCCGCCCGCGCAGCGGGACTTCGGCAACGCGCTCGTGGGCATGATGCTCGAGGCCGGCTCGAGCACGCGCGCCCGCAACAAGGCCAAGCTGACCCCCTACCAGCTCGTCGACCCCCGCAACGCCGCCCTGCGCGACCTCATCCAGAAGCACGAGTACGCCGAGCTCAACGCCGGGGACTTTGTTGATGCTGGTGCCGATGTGAAGCCCGCTAAGCCTGCTAAGGGCGGTGCTGCTGCTGCTGCTGCTGCGAACGCGAATGTGGACGTGCGGCACGATGCCCCTAGCGACGATGATGATGATGCCGAGTTCTCTGGCAGCGATGATGAGGAGCGTGCGGAATGGGAGCGGCGACGCAAGAACAAGGGTCGGTGAGCGGGTTTAAGGGTGTGTGGCTAGGTGAAAAAAAAGAGGGGATAAACCTATTAGAAACTTAGGGAGAAGAAGAAGAGGGAACGGTAGGGTATGAGACGAATAGGGCCACGGGTATAGACGTATCTTGAGATGCGGGCTTGGTGTCGCTAACCACGGGAATCGAGTCATATCGAGCCATGCGGGCATCGTTTAATCAGCACATAGAAGCAAATCATGCATGATATCGCCGTTTCCGTGTCGACTGGGTGTGTGATTGAGTGTCGACAGTTTATACCTCACATCTATGAAGGAATCAATTATGAGCCTATTGCAGAAACCCCTGGGTTCCATTGAAGTGACTTGGTCTCCCTTCTTTATCGTTGCCCCTTTTCACAACTGAGACGCCACAAAGAACGACTTCAATCGACTATTTGAAAGACTTGCTCTCCTAGTAAGTCAGATATCAGATGTTCACAGGGTGATGGAAACACAGGTTGGTTAACATAGATGCACACAGAATGATCTCAAACAGAAAGTCAAATAGACTGCAGGAGATTCATCATTTAAACGCAACGAAACTGCCTAGTGGGAGCTATAGATACAGCAATACTCACACCCGTTTGAAACCCAGTGTATACCATTCACACTGAACATATTCGAGCATGAATGACTACCCCCGTCTCCGCATGTCCAGCAACTGTGAAATTCCCATCTAAGCTCCATGAATTCATGTCGCCACTCTTCCTGTATCTCGACCTCTACCATGTGCAATCATTCCACATGCTCCGTGGACCAGTTGATGAGCTATAGTTTGAATAAAGCATGGCAATAAACTTCGATATTGCCGAAATGAGGACTGCTAACATAAGTCGTTGTAAATGCCAAAGATGTTTCGGTTCGTTCTGTCCATGCTCTGGACCAAAGTCTCTTGATGGTAAATTTGCGCAAATCGTCGGAAGTCTGAATGGATCGTGGGGACCTCCATGTTGACGAGATATCATGGACTTGTACTGAATAGTCCCCAAGGCGTCTGAGCACTAGGAGAATCCTGTGTTGCAGAATTACCAGATAATGCATAATGATTCGTAGGCCCATCCTGACGGCCTTGGCTTTTGCCGCCCTTCTTGGCTGAATCGGGACAAGTAACTACTTCTCCTGTGAGGTTGGATAGAAAGGTATCATTGCTACCATCGTAACGAATAGCCGCCCAATCCTCTGAGAGCTCGCCATCAACTTTGGCTCGTTCTCTTTGCTCCTGATCCATAATCGTTTCAGGTCGAATGTGGCGACATGTCATAGCAAACCGATGCTTGCCGCAGTTGGTGACTGAATGCTGTTCCGGATATTAGCGTCATACTTCAGGAAAACGAAGAATTGAATATTAGCACATACTAGATATAGTTTCTGTATCTCCGCTCCATGCATCACGAGTATGTCGCCGTGCTTCAAAACCAATGATAGCATTGGTGATCTTTCCTTCTGGTCTTTGCCGACATCATCACCAAGGTTCTTCTTCATCTTTGGCATAAATTTCATGACTGATTTCGAACCGAGCGACATCGAAGCTACTGTCGGGCCTAATTCTATCTCCCCATCGTCGTGAGCCTAACGTATTTGTTAGACATGCCGAAGGGGATGGGGGTAGGATAGGGGCACGTACACTGATTACAGACTTTTCGAAGTACCCCAAGACTAGAAGTTCGTTGAACTTCTCAAATTCGTTTGGTAGTACACCATCTCGGACGTCCAAATTCTGATTTCTAACGAGCTGGGTTGTTGCAGCAACAGCCATCTCACCTCCCCAACTCAAGCGAACGTTCGTCTCTACGATGGGATCAGGAGCACCCTGAAAGCCATTTGTTGTCTTCACGACAACTCCAAACTTGTATGGAGCACCCTGTAGCATTGTTAGTTGATGCAAAAGTCTTATACACTCCCGTATAGGGACTCACATAATTTGCAGTAAAATGCGATGTAAGAATTTCGACTCGTTTCCCTAGAGGGGTTAGCATTAGCCTATTTGAATAGTATCTCGTACCTGCTTACCTGCATGTCTAACCGGTCGTCTTTCTAGTGGGAGTTCACATTCTTGTAACCGGGTGTACAGCTCATCGAGACCTCCCGCTCTCGTGAATGCTTTTCTTGTTGGACGTATTCGGATTACCGTACCGATGAATCCACCTCGGTTTTTCTCATCCGGGAGAAAATAGATGGCAAGCTTCTGCTCGCCTGCAACCATCTTGTACTTCAATATGCTTTCATGAACAAACTTGTTCTTATTCTTTCCCTTCAGGGTTTCGTTCTCCTTGACAATGCTTTCAGCGGGAACCATTCGAAACGGGAGAAGATATTTGAAATCACAAGCAGGATTCTCGCAAAACCAGCCATCCCATTTGATACGTCTAATACAGCAGCCGCACTTAGGGCATATAATGCCTTCTTTGAAACCCTTCTCGGTCCCAAAGGCGTCTTCGCCGATTAGAGGTAATGGTGGTGCAAGAGGTACCGTGGGCTGAACTCCTGGAAATCGTGTTCGTTTACGAAGGAAATTCTCGTGATATTCGAGTTGGTCTGGATCGATATTTGTAGAATTTCCTTTGGCGGTGATTTTGAAGAATTGCTTGCAACCTTTGTTCAAGCATATCCATCCTTGCTTGAAGATCATGTCACTTGGCTCTCTGCAAGTCAAACAAAAAGCAGTCTCACAAGAGTAACTGCCAACTTCGAATTCACCTGCATCGTGAGCATTTGCCCCCTCTGGTCGCCACCATGATCTTGACACCAAGTCGACTTTTTCTAGTCTGACTTTATAGGTTTTGATAAACTGGCTCTGTCCAGAACGAATGCTTTCAGGCCACATGTCGGTGACATAAAAGTAATCTAAAACGTTATAAAAATGAGGGGGGTTGATTGGGAACAATGGATTTCTTTCACCTGAACTATCGTTAGACCGGGTTCATAGATAGGGGTGGTGTAACCTAGGTATGTGTTATTACTAACCAGCAATCACCACAAATGGGATTTTCTCCTCCAAAGCGATCTTGAAAAACTTTCCGCCGCGGGTATCATCGCTCTGGTCTTTGGTTCGCACCATTTTGCCGCTCTCCTTATCACGGATACGGCCACCACCGCTATTTATGCTGTTAGAACGATGTGACTTGATGGGTTCCATCATAGACTTACGTTGTTGTGATGATCACTTGACTACTGAAGTAATCACGGACGCTAACTTCCTCATCAATCAACATGCCTAACATACGACACTTATCTGTGTAGAGTCCGCTCTGGTGGGATTTGAAGTATGGTAGAGTTTCTGCGATAGCAGAACGTTTCTCGGACCAGGCCGGTGGAAGGCCTTCTGGCTTAGGCTTTGCTGCGTGCAGCCCAGACGCCGTAGTAGCTAAGGATTTGGTTTGAGTCGGGAAAGAGCCAGTCGCATCGCCGACCTTAGGATGGCTGGACTGACTTTGTGAAGTGGATTCCTTGTCTAAACGGGGTCGCTTTCGCATACCCCCGTCTGCGTTCTTACCCTTGCGTTTTCGCTGAGGCATTACCAAATCGCCGACAATCTGATCATGGGTTGGAGCAATTTGCTCCATATCTTCGGCGTGGGGTTGAGGCATAGTAGTCAATGGTTGTGCAATGGTAGACGCCGTCTGTGTTTCGATGAATTCCTCAGGGGTGTCGGCGATGGGCCATATGTCGGCGACTGCCTTGTGGCTTCTTGTCTGCATGCTATGAGACATTTTTCTCCTCTTCACTGTGATCTGGTGCCCTTAGTAAATATAGTCATTCCAAATGATATAATTTCAATTAAAGGCGACATGATTGTTAACAAATGGGTGTAGAAGAAAACAGACCAATACCGGCGACCAAAAAGGAGGATCGGCGATGAGGTCTACTTACTAGATCTGATTCGATATGTAGTCTTGATCGAAGTAAAAGTACTTTCTACTAAGAATGCCAGCCTAAAGTCACAAATGAACAACTGGGGGCTAAGATAGTAGATGAGTTAGTACAGGAAGTTAAATTAGGAATGTAAGCTGATGTTAGGACTTTTAAAAACAAGAATGGGATATTGAAGCTATTCTTGTGCAATAGTACATGATTTAGGGGAATCAATTTGGGTCAGAGGAGGCGAAATGCCATGAGATGCTAAGTCATGAAGGAAATATACTGAATGATGTACTTACTATTGGATTAATTGTGTCTTCGTGAGTAGATGCCGTGCCCCCTTGTCTGATGTTGCTAATAGTTCTATTGTTGGGATAGATCGATGCTTGTGAATAACAGAATATTGGCTGGATAGTAGAATGATAGAATTACCACCAGAGCAAATGACGAATGGTCTGGAAGGTAAGGTTAATAATGTTAATGCTCAAAGTGAGGCATAGTTTATGGTAGGAAGAAGAAAGGTGTGACTTGGATCTAGTTGGTTTGGAAGAGAGAATTTATCGAGGTGCGAGGGGAGGATCAAATGAGTACAGGAAGATAGGATGTATTGGAACATTTACGTTAGAGAGATCGATTTAATTGTAAGTAAAGGTAAAATATATTTAGGAATGGAAACATATTGGAGACGGAGAGATAACAGAAGACGGGTGGGTTATAGTGGCAATGAGTTATGGGAAAGTGTAGCTGGGGAGGAAAGAAGGCCAAATTGGTAGGCATTTAAGGTAAGACAATTGAAGGAAGTAATGATGCGAGTATGGTATGCTGTGATGGAACAGAGATGGGGTCGTCAAATACTTCTGTTAGATGTCTGGGTTGGGAGTCTTTTTGATTGAGTTTAAGGCAGAGATGTGGGAAGATGGAAACATTATAGACGATGATTTTTGAAATACATGACTTAAGAGATGTTTTGGAGAATATTTTGGAAGAGGGAAGGGAAACATTGTAGATGGTGAGATAAGCCGTGTTAGGAGAGGTTGGTGCACATGGAGAATAAATTGAGAAAATTACCTGATTGGGGTTTCGGAGAGGATGTTGATAGGTGAGAGGGAGTATTCCGAGGTTAGATATGAGGTAAAGTATGTCACGAATGGAGAGTTGAGGTTATTGAGAGACAAGTTGAAGACTGAAGTAGGCTTGGAGAAAAGACGTTGAAGAGAGAGTAGGTATGTATGTATGTAGGTAAGTATGTGTATGGTTGTGAAGAAGGAAGTTGGATGGTTTGGAGGAAAAGAGAATCAAGTTCGAACTTGAGGAGGAGAGTTACGGGATTTATATACCTTAGGGTGAATCAGTAGCTTGACATAACAGGAGGGTGCCTGCCCGTCTCTTCATCAAAGTTACGCAACTAACATTAGGTAGGATGGATGGGATGAAATGGGTGTGCCTTCCCAAGATAGAAGTCGACGGGAGCCACAAATTCAAAGGGTACCATGTAATTCTTGTGGGGAATCGACGGGAGAAGGAAAGGAGCGGGTGCATGGGCCAGCTAGAGATAATTCATAGGGGGATATGAAATATGGACTTACAGGTCGTATGGCTTTGCAATGAACCTTCTAGTATTAGAATTGTCTCTATGTTGTAAACGTGTCCGGCGAAGTATCCCTTCTAGAAAATCTCATAGAAAACAGTACAAGTCTACATCAAGTTGACTGAGAAGTACTTGTGTATGATTATGTGGTGTAGAAGAGAATATTGATTGCAATTGATGATCACCGGCAAGTTGATCAAATATTCGATTGGTTACTAGGTAGATAGACGAGGATCATTGAAGACTTGGGACTGATATGTGACATATGGTTATGGAGAGAAGAAGAAGAATCAAGTAGTAGTCTAATGCGTATGGGATGAAAACTCGGGAAGTTTATACTATCCTAAATGGAGATATGTGGGGTGCCGAGAAATAGGGGTGGAATTTTTACATTAAGGAAGGAGCCGTTGATACAAGCGAGGATTGTATTGTCAGCTACCGTACCTACTTGATATCTGTAGGTACCTGGGTATATATGTATATATGGAGTGATTTCCTAAGCGGAAGCCTTGCTAGCTAAGTTCAAATATCGTCTATCATTGAGTTCTAGTGGGCATCTTTCAACTGTACCTATGATATCTAGGTATCGTTGTACGTGGAGGTACAGGTTTCGAGACGTTGCTTTACGTTTCCGTCCATGCGTGATCTGAGTCTTCAACTATAAACAACTGACTACTGATTAGCAGAAGAGAGACCTAAGTTGTGGGATTCTCTAGTATATAAAGTACAACATGTAATACCTTCTATATCTTAAGTGAACCTCGTCATATTTTCAAGCGGGTTTGGCTAGATATTTGGCTTGCCAATTGCAATCATGGTCATATAAACTCAAACATTACTTTACTAGCTGCATGGTTTGAAAGGGTCAGGTATGAAGCTTGACTCTATGATTCCCACATCAGAATCGAGGTTTGAATGTTTAGGTAGTGTGTGCGTGTAGGTATATTTCTCATATCTACATAGATCACTTTATCTAAGTATTTATAGTCCAGTGTTTAATAGATAAAACATTGAAGTGCTACTAAGACCTCGTATTCACGAATATTAGCATCCACTTGCTAGTTCCACTGGATTCACAGGAAGGTGGGATGAGAGATTTATTATCGCTCTTATGGGATTGGGGAAACGCATTGTTATTAGACTATATTTGGTTATCGTCCGAATCCATTCTGACGAGAAAAATTAATAGGCATCGAACTTAACTATCTACTTAGGTAGAAACTGTATATAAGAACGTCATATCCATCATCCCTGCATAGGCAAGACTAGATCCGTCGTCTTAAAAGGGATCATATGGCAACGGGTATCCAAAAGTAAATGTAACGAATGTTTGATAGGCTTGTAATGTAAAGTTCCTAATGCAAATATTTATGACATTGGCCCTTGAAATCATAGATTCTTCGTTTAATTTTTAGCCATAACGCGCTAAGTACTCGTTTTCTCTCAATCAAGTGCCTGTATCGCCGACAAGAAAAACGAGAAAAGGGAGGACAGCGTTAAAGTAATCCATTTTTATGAAGATAAATCTGGAAACCTTAGTGATATATTTTGAAGGAGGGTTGACATGGACTTGCCACGTGTTTGAAGGCATCTCGTAGGGCAAGGCGAAGCATCGGGAGATAGATTAGTGCATGTTCTCATGGATCATTTCTTCCTACCAAATATCTAGAACCCTACATTGTGACGATTCTTTAAGATGCTGTGTAGATGGATGAGCCCAAATAGTCCAATCGTCATCTAGTACCGGAGAGGCTCAAGTGGTACTGGCCACCCGGGCAATTCGTTGGGTGCATATGACTACCTGCCTACCTATTTCTTGGAGCAGAAAGGTGAGAAAGCGTCTGGACTCAATTTTCTCTTCGTCACAGCGAAAATTAAGCTTTCATCAGGAAGCAAGATGCATCCGATGAGGCTCGAGTCGCGGCCTGAAAGCTAGGCGACGTCGAAAGATGAGACAGGGGTAACCGTACTTTGCGATCCTCAAACGCGACCCCGTACGTGGGGTTGTCGATCTTGAGGAATTCTCCTATTGGCCAACCGGGATACCCCAATGCCAAGAATGTGACGGTGGCTTGACTAGGGTATCCTGCCATTTCTGGGGTCTAGCGTCCTCGGTAAATTGTGGATTCCAATGCTCCCCCAACATTCCCCAACCGAGCGAACCCGAGGTCCTACATCGGGGAAGGGATGAGACGTGATAGGATTTACATATTACTGGTGCCTGGATCTGTCTACATGATCTTCTCGGAGGAGGTTGGAAGGTGTCTGTATGAGGTTATGAGGTCCCTTGGAAAGAAGGAGGTAATCCAATGGAAATGGACAAGCTCTAGAGATCCAATTAGACTTTGATCGGATCGTATCTTTGAGTAGTAGCTAAATATATTAATCCGGGGTTGCCAAGTGCGGTGCGGAATCTATTCTACTACCGGCTAGCGGAAGACTCGGGAGAAATTGCGGGGGGTTGGGGGGTGTTGAGAAACGATGGTTGGTGGAGTGGTGGAGTTCTCAGGTAGGTAGGAACTGACGAACCACAGTACAGTAAAAGTCGATCCTTCGGCATCTAAGGTCGCACAATGGCTGCTCGTCAAATCTACGCCGACGTTGACCGGGGCTAATAATCCTATTTCTTTCTAGTCTCAGCCTCCCTTTGTGATCGTCCTACCAAAGGCTTTTTGTTTATGAGAGCTGTAAAACTGCGCTCTTTTCCTATTTCCTCCGTACACTCGCTCAATTTGTACGATATTTTGTAACATCTGTACATTCCAACCAGTCGGTAATTGCTAAGATGGTGTTTACCCCGCCGGCTTGGGTGCCTGAGTTGCCCTTCGGTGAGCTCTATGCCATTTCCTATGGAAGAGGACAGTGATACTTACGAGAGACTTCTAGACCCTCCGGACTCAATCCCTCTTCACGAATTCTGGAGTAGTGAGAGATATGGAAGGCAACCGCTCGCTAGGTCACGGAATCCCTACACTTGCGGAGTTACGGGCAAAACCTATACGGCCACAGAGATGACTGAGCGATACCAGCTGTTAGCGAGATCGTTGTCAAAGCGTTTGGGTTGGAGAGCTAACGAGGAGACACCGTGGGACAAGGTTGTCGGACTTTTCTCTCTTAATTCGGTAGGTTGAACGCCGTTAATCGTTTAGTGGGCTTGAAATTGACATTTTTCTAGATTGACTTCATGATGTCGACATTCGCAGTACATCGTCTATCGGGCATTGTAACACCTGCGAATGCTATGTACTCAGCCGCCGAGTTAGAACATCAACTTAAGTCATCTGGTGCGAAGGCACTTATTACATGTATCCCCCTACTAGAAACAGCACTGAAGGCAACGAGAGCGTGTAACATCCCAGATGACAAAGTTTTTATAATACGACTGCCGGGGAAGTTCGATCCAGTGCCTTTTAAGTCACTCGACGATCTAATCGACGAGGCGAGGTTGTTTCCGGAACTCGAGCCGTTAATTTGGTCAAAGGGGCAAGGTGCTCGACAGGTTGCTTACTTATGTTACTCTAGTGGTACATCTGGACTTCCCGTAAGTTCTCGCTACTATGATTTTGCAAATCGATGGACACCTAACTCTTAAAATAGAAAGCGGTCATGATTGCGCACCGAAATGTGATTGCAAACATGATGCAGCTCCGATGGCACGAGGATCCAGGAAGGAGAATGAAAGGCGTTGAAACCCAGGTCCAGCTCGGCCTTCTACCCTTCAGCCATATCTACGGATTGGTAGTGACAGCGCAAGCTGGAACCTACCGAGGAGACGAGGTGATCGTCTTGCCGAAATTTGAACTTACAGCCCTGCTCGAAGTTATCCAGGGGTTCAAAGTTCAGTTCATGCATATTGTACGAGCCACTTACTTCCAACGGGATTGGTTGATATTAATGAAGTATCTAGGTCCCTCCTATCGTCATTCAGATGCTGCGGAATCCGCAAATATGCGCCAAGTACGATCTCAGCAGTCTTCGGTTTGTCTATACAGGCGCTGCGCCACTTGGTGCTGAAACGCACGAGGAGATGGTTAAAGCTTTCCCGTTTTTGCAGGTCGGTCAGGGATATGGAATGACTGAGACGAGCACTGTCATTACAAGTACTGGCGAAAATGATGTGGTGGTTGGAACGTCGGGTTCTCTTGCGTCTGGGTGTCGGGCTAAGCTGATAGGCGAAGATGGCCACGAGATTACGGAGTACGACAAGCGTGGAGAACTTTGGGTTCAGTCGCCCTCTGTAACCCTTGGCTACCTGAACAATGAGAAGGCTACCTCGGAGGCCTATGTGTGGGATCAAGATGGCCGTTGGATGAGGACCGGAGATGTTGCAATTGTTACAAAAGCACCGTCTGGACACGAACACATTTCCGTTGTCGACCGACTGAAGGAGTTGATCAAGGTCAAGGTTAGGCATTTCCTACGCAATAACTTTGACCATAAATTGCGAATGAATTACAAAGTGCTAACATAACCTACCTAGGGTCACCAAGTCGCCCCAGCTGAGCTGGAAGCCCACCTCCTGAGCCACCCAGACGTCAATGACTGCACAGTTATCCCCGTCTTAGACGAAGGGTCTGGCGAGGTGCCTAAAGCATTTGTTGTTAAGTCGGCTATGGCAGCATCGAGACCAGATAACGAAGTTGCTAGGGAAATCAACAAATGGGTCGAGGACCACAAGGCCAGGTATAAGTGGTTGAAGGGCGGGATCGAATTCATCGATGTGATACCGAAAAGCCCAAGTGGAAAGATTTTGAGAAGATTATTGAAGGATAAGGAGAGAGAAAAGAGGAGAGCGAAGGGAGCGAAGCTGTGAGAAGTTTTGTATTATTCCATTGCTCAGCAGGCACATTAGAATTGTTCATATCGGACTGTATCTTAATAGACTCAAATTTTGAATAATTATTAGTCTATTTAGCTTGTTCATCTATCTTGTATAGAAAGCTATAGATGGGCTATTGATAGGCTATAAGTGGATTGCCTGTATCCGCAAGTTCCGACCGTAAGAAATCCTGACATGCCCATGAGTCTATTTCTTGTGCTTTCGCTTTAGGTATTCTTCCTCCTCTGCTTGTAGATCTGCATCTACCTTGGCGCCCTTGGACGGTTCGTTGCCGTGTAACTTGGCCTAAAGCAGGAATAAGCTGGTGAACCTGTATTGGGAGGATCAAGGATGGCTTACTGGTAATGTGGGGTCTTGCTTTGAGGCTTTGGTTTCTGGGTCGTCTTCCTCACGGTTCAGTTTGCGCTAGGAATAGTTAACTTCTTGCTCGTAGCTTATGTATGGATATGTGGCAGCGGCGCGTAGTACCTCTTCGTTGGCTAGACGGTTGGCAATGGATCGTTCATCCTCTAAAATAGGCATGATTAGTAACTTGGGAACGGCAAGGGTAACCGAAACAAGAAGAAAACTAACTAGAGTCATTAGGAAGGTGAGAATGTTCTACACCCTCCTCATATCGGGGACGACTTGGTTCCTCGGAGTTCTTCAGGTTCTTTTGATCACCGTCCTGATACACGGAGCTTTGACCGACGTTAGAGTAGCCAGACATGGTGAATATGTGTGAATATGCGTGAATATGCGTAGGGTTTAGAAATGGGAGACTAGAATTGGATGTTTTACTGAAGAGAGATTGTGAGAGCTTCTGGGATGTTGACGAGACGAATATGAGTCAATGTAGAAGAATAAGGAGCTTGTATTCAACTTTTATAAACGGTTTCCGTACCTGCCTGCTCCCCTTCCCTACCTACGTCATCTTGTTGATCAGTGTCGATTACATAGGCAGTTACACACATGCTTCAAAGTTTTCTTAGCGTCTCATAGAGTTCTATTGATCTTAGATCTGTTTGCAGGAACGAACAAGCAAACGTCATAGATCAAGGCTGCACGTTGACGTTCTCAAAGTACTTAGGTACTGTGGTACCCCTGGCAAAAAAAGGGTCCGTGGGGCTTTTGAACCGCTAGTCCGATTTCAGGCACGTCATAACTTACTCGCAGCTGTCCTCCAATCTTTTCGGCCGTTTCCAGCTGCAAAGCCACACTCTTCAGAAAACTGCGGATTGGAAAACGACTCCAAAACTTCTCAAGCTCCGATACAATTCACGACGCCGAGGATAAAGCTCCGTCAACACCGCCAAGATGTCGATGTTCCGGGCTAAGAAGCTCGACATTGGCTGCTTCGTCAATATTAAGACAATCCGAGATCACTCCAAGAGGAAGGCTTTCGCTCAATTCGAGCCTGAGAGGTGTGAAACAGTGTAAACCCACTCGTTTTGATCTATAGATTCTAATCTTAGTTGCGCAATCGGACAGACAAGCTCTGAGATACATCATCCGAAACACCACGCTTCCCGCGCGAACGAGAGCCGAAGCCCAGCTACAGCTGACGCAGATGCACTGCTACACTCGACCAACACAGATCCGAGGGCGATGTCTATTAGGTGGTAAAGGAAGAGGTATATTGCGCGACTTCAAACTCTCGCGAGTAAGTCATACTGCATGACCCAAGGGAGTTGGACGAGTACTGATTCTTTGCGCAGTATAATTTCAGAATGCAGGCTCTGGCTGGCAACATTCCGGGTGTGCGTAAGGCCAGCTGGTAAGGCCGAACCCGCGATGGCGATTATTGTAGAATACATGGCCATACTACATCGGCTCACGATCGATATGCCGCAAGCAACGAGTGTACATTATATTATTACGACGACATAAATGAATGAACCTCCGACATTAACCGCAGTGCCTATGACTAGGTTTATGCGGAATGAAGATAGGACAAAGTAATTGTTCTGTGATTTCTAAGGCGCTCCCAATCAATTTGTTAACCGCTGTTCGCTATTCGGAATATAAGGTTGCCTCTGATGATGCGAAAACAAGATTCGAGTTGTTCTTATTATGAAATTTCTCGGTTACTAATATCTTAATATCTACTAACAGAGGAGGTAGTGATGACCCAGTATGCAATACGTAAATCACTTGCTCTGCGGCTTCCCTCATCTTCACCAGTGCAAACGAGCACTTTGTGCCCTGATTAATACTTTAATTCTTTCTGAAACATTCTTTTCACACTTAATTCTTTTCCCTACCCGCCTTTCAGTGTCATATTAAACGGTGGATGACAAATAATTCAGACAGTTGCGCACCTAAATAACCAAACAAGTCTGAGAAGCAAATCTAGGTGTGTTAGCAGCGACGACACAACTTGGGCCTTCATTTGTAGATCTGCGTGGATTTTTCAGATCTGGCATAGCAAATCTTGAGGAGCCTCGGCCCTGCCTTTTAATCTTCCTCAAAACAAATACAACATCAGGACTCTTGCCTTCTTCCATCACCCACCAACCAACACACGAAGATGTTTAGACGTAAGTGGGAAGGCCTGCCAGCAGACCCTGACTTCCCTGTTGATCTGGAGAAGCTTGGGTAAGTAGCACAACCTGGAACTTTATTCTCACTCTCATTTCAACATTGAAGAAACTTCGCTGACAACATTTCTCTCATAGTTACTTCATCAATGAAGAGGATGAGGTCCGAGCCATCGACAACCCGAATAACTACTTCAAGTTCTTCCTGAACCGCAACCCGCGATGGAACGAGCGCCAGCGCTTCGCTATGAACCGTATGTAGACCCCTCTATCTTCTGCTAACTCATTGAAGAAAGCGAGCCCTCGACTAATACAAGAAATATGTAGAGGCTCTCCAGGGCGTCATCTGGGAGCGACTTGAGAGACTCGGCATGAAGAAGGTACTGCTTCCTCTCGGCACGGAGGATACTTCTAAGCCTCACGTCCCCATCTTCGTCAGTAAGGATATCGCCTCCGCGTCGCGCGTCGTCGTCATCTTCGGCGAAACAGGACAAGACCTCGGCGTCCTCGCGCACCGCGTCATCGGCGGCCCGGGCGGCGTGAACAAAGGATCCATGGTGTCCATATTATCCTCGCTCATGGAGCAGAGCTCCTCGTCTGTGGACCTGCGCCCACCCGGAGTCATCCTCGCCAACACGGGCGAGCTGATATGGTGGCCGGAAGGCAATCGCACGTTAAGCCGCATCGCGTTCAACGCGGTGCCCATGAAGAGTGCCGTGCACCTCGGCAATCTGATCACCGACGCGAACTTGGTCGAAAAAAACGAGGACGCGTTGCACCACATCTCCCACATGTTCAAGACAGTCATCCCGCACTTTGTCAACGACGGTGCGAAGATCGATATCATCGGTGTGGGCGACGGCGCCGATCTAGTCGAGACGTACTTGGATCACCTGCTAATTAAACATGACAAGTGGAAGAGTCGCATCAGTTGTCTTGCGCTCGTCGGAGGCACGCTTCCCGCGTGGGAGTTGAAGAATGAGGAGTTTGCGAAGGTGTTCTTACGAAAAGTAAGCTTCATTCCAGTCTTTCTTGCCTTCTACCATGTACATTCTTATCCATATCTTGTTTCTCTTCGTTATGTCCACCCCTTTTCCTTATCACCTACGTGTTATATAACTAACCAAGATCTAGAAAGCTCGCGCCTACGCAACGTCCACTGAACCCGCGGGTATGATCATCTCGGGTCCCGATGGTAATCCCAACACTACGACCTTCACTGAGCAAGGCTGCCCTGTCTTCAGCAGCGGTTCGGAGCACTACACTGAGTTAACCTTGATCAGGGCTCGCGATATCGTTCTCGACTGGATGCAGGAGGTAGCTATGACGCCCGAGGATGAAGAATACACGAACCCCGAGTATCACGTGGTCTACTGCGATCCCAAACTCGATCTAGGTGCCGAACCTGACTGGAGCCAGTGGGAGGATGAGGCACTGGCTGGTGGTGGTGAGAAAGAGGAGTGCCAGGAGGCTCAGGTTCAGGAGGGTGGAACCCAGAAGGGTGAGGCCCAGAAGAGTCTCGAGGAGCCGGTCAAGGATAAAGGCAAGGAGGGCAAAGCAGTAGCCTGGGACCCTCGTCTGGTTATTGTGGAGCCACCTAAAGCTGAGGAAACTCATAACGACAATGTGGAGGTTGGAGAGGGCAAGGATGAGAACTAGGCGGCACTTGAATTCTTTGCTTCTGAGTAGCTAAAGGCGATCTCAACGATGGATATTAGCTTCCGAGATGTGCAATACAGGTCACAACTACGCTACGAATAGGTGGCAAGTGAATGAAAAAAACAAACGATGCTTTGAAAGTTATTCGTATTCCTAGCATAGCCGCGTAGATGAATTTGCAACGTACAATATCCTAACAGTAGCATTTTACATACATCGCGTTAGCGAGAGTACTCTTCCCAGCTCCGTGCATCACAAGTAGGTGACCATCTTTTGGCATTGTATATAACACCGGCATCTTGGCCCTTCTGATTTCGTCGTTTGCGTTGTAAATGCCCCCTTCCTTCGTCAGCAGGGATTTCTCCAGTAGATAGCGCCGCAATACCAGGACCATCAGAATCATAGGATTATGTATAGACCCTGATTGCCCCATCATAGATTTCCTTAATGACAAGCCGACAACGCGGGATATATCCTAGATTTATACGTTAGTAGGTAGGCAAGTAGGATACAAACCCCCCATCCCATCCTCTCCCCTTTTTCCATACGCAATCCCTCTCATCACGCTTTAAACGCAGACAAGAACCCAGCCTTCGGCGCCTCCACATCCTCCAGGACCTCCATCGCCCGCCTCGTCCGCTCCTTGACCACGTTCTCCTCCGCCGCCCACCGGCCGCGCACGACGTGCTCCGCGCAGCCCTCGCCCCACAACCCCGCCAACCAGCCTCCGCCGCCCGCCTTAGCCGGCTCCCGGGCCTCCCTGTCGCGCTCCTCGCGCGCCAGCGTCGCGACCATCGTGCGCCAGTTCTCGAGGCCGCTTCCTAGACACTCTTTACACGTCTTCTTGGCGTCGGCCTTGGCGCTCTTTTTATCGGCATCGCTAGCGTCGTCCTCGTCGTCTTCGCTGTTGAGGTTGTTGTTGTTGAGCCGGTGCAGCTGTTCTTCCGCGAGATCGATGGCTTCGCGCGTCCACGCGAGCCCGTCTTCGCGGTTGCCGGGTTTGGATGACGAGGCGTAGATTATCTCCCCGATGTACAGGTTCAGCCCGGCTTCCTCGCAGAGCTCCTTCGCGTCGCGGACGGGCGGGGCGGAGCCGTCGGGTGGTGGGGGAGGGTACACTGGTGTGTAGATGAAGCGGCGGACGAAGCCGATCATGCTGCCGAGGGACCAGGGGGACGTCTTAGCTCGCTCGGCGCCGGAGTTCTGGCTGGGTTGCGGAAGGGGCAGGGAGCGCCGCGCTCTGAGGATGGAGATTAGGATGGGGAGTGCGGTGGCGGTGTCGCCGTTGCGGGCTTTGTGCGTCGCTAGGGCGGTAAGGACGTTCAGGAGGTTTGCGGAGGGGTGGTGCGTGACGTCTTGGAGCACGTATGATTTTATATCGTATGGACGTGGTGAGTTTTCTGTGGCCAGTGCCAATGCTTTGTCGTACATAGCAGAAGCAGCTTCAGGTGAGCCCTTGAAGTCTAGGTACGAGGCGTACTCCAAAGCGGCGTCCAACTTCTGTTTGAATGTAAACCCTTTCGTATCTAGGATCTTCTGGTAGACGACACCTGGTTTTACGTATGCCGGTTCGCAGTCTTTCTCGTGAGGAGCACTCGGAGAGCCGTGGCGAATGGGCTGCGGGTTGGGGTTTGACGGTCCTATGACCTGGTCGGCCGGGAATACATAACGTCGCGTTTTATCTACGACTTGGTCATCGAGGTTCTCGGCCGCCTTTGCGCATAGCATTAAAGCCTCATAGTAGCCCCTCCTCCATGGTTCACTTTTCGCTGTTATGTCGTATGTGACCGTCTTCCCAGACTCGTTATCGGCTGTATCCAACACGGCCTTCAACCCTTTTCCGTCAATTGTCTCATCCTCTAACCTCTCAAGAACACTCTTGACGTAATTCCCAATTGTAACCCAGTCGGTCTCTGGCAAGTCTGGCCGGTCAGGAACCCATCTCGCAAGTCTGAAGTGCAATCGGGTCCAGAACGTCCACTCGTCCGGTGTTGGGTATTTCGTTTCTAGCCAATCTTGCTGTACGGCCCAATAGACTAGAACGGACGAAGTGCCGACAATCCAGAGAATGATAGTGTACTGTAATCCACGGTAGACCTCACTGGCCAACCATCGCTTTCTCTCGGTCGTCAGGTATCGGAATTGCTGATTCCTGGTTAGCGGGACGGATAGAAAGGGAATCTGCGGTCGCCCAGGAGATGAGAGATTGGTATTCCTTGTGAATAAACGGGTGTTAGAACGGGGGATCGATGGGGATTTCGTAGAGCGGAGGACGAGGAGACGTCGTAGAAGAGTGCGCGGCGGTAGCATCTTGAGCACAATTGGCGCTGATTACTTCAGATCTGGTTCCTTGGTGTGTGATCCGCGGTTCACCGTCGAAGTGCACGACTAGCACACATTATGTAACGACAACCTCTTAGTGCCTGGTTATGAAGACTTAAAACCATCCAGAGAATATTAGAATCTGTTGTTCAGTAACTGCATATGTGACGTAGAATGATGAGTGCAATAATTAGTGAAGCTCTCCCGAAGTTCTCCAACTTGCAGAGTCGAAAAACGTCCGTGCTTTCGATAGAGACTTTCTATGCCCCGCCTTCATGAAGGCCCTAGAACTTAGCGGGGGTCCAACAAATTAGCGCTACGTTAAATCACCCCGGTTCAGGCAAAGAAAACCCATTTTCAAGATAAGTGCTCAATTATCATTAAATACAGGTAGAATTAGGATGATCAATATTTTTCTGTAAGCTTTCCAATCTGTTACAATAAATGGATATATATGATATTTGTTTTAATATGTCGAGAGATATATACTCAGAAAATTTCGTCCATTTCAATCCGTTAAGGGGGGATCCGGGTGTTCAACGGCTCCGTTTGGTTGCCGAGTTCCACAAAAAATGGATGCCGCCGGACACGGGAAAGGGGAAAAGGGGAAAAGGGGGCAAGGGCACCTACAACTCGGTATTCAAATAATAAGTAGAATCTAACAACAAATCCCGGTAGCTTTTTAAATGATCCAATTCGTTTAATACTATCAGCTGAGTCTCTTTAAACGAGTATTATCCAATTTCGGTAATTATCCCCATTCCAACATTCAAAACTCCATCCATAACCCGTAACGGATACGTCCTGCTCGCTGCAGTGGCGGTCCTGTTCGAACACACAATCACCTCGGAAAATCTTCATTCATAGTTCATAGGCTTTATATTGTATCCTGATTCTTCATCGTAAAATGTATTTCTTCATCTGAGCCATAGATTTTCGACCTGTTCGTTGAGGTGCCTGTATCTCTAGACCTAACCTAGCAAACTAGGCCGCCTATTTTGGACCCGGGTTCACGACTACAAATTTCATGATCTTAACTGGGGGTGGTGGAGGTGGAGGCGTGTGAATTGGTGCGAGTGGTCGAAGCTTGGATTGGCCGCAATTACAATTCGAGTCCAAACCTGGATTCCAACGACCGCAATTGCATTTCCACGCATATGGCACTGGGTCAGACATCGTAGCAAAGGAGGAGATGGAGTATAAATAGATATTGTCCTGACATGTAAAGACCTTAATGTAGCATATTTCCAGTCACTTTCTCCAGAAATATCGACAGACTTGATTGAGGTAGGATGGAAAGAAGAACCTTCCTGACCAGAGCAGGAAGAGGTTGTTAAATAAAAAACGGCGAATACATGATGATTCGAATGCTTCGTGTTGCCATAGTCATGGTATACCTCGCGAAGTCATCGTAGAGTATGATCCACGGCTGGTGAGACAATGCGTAAATAAGTACTCAAGCGATGAGAAAGGCCTAAGGATTATTGTGGCATACCTTCGAATCACCAATCTGAGTGATATCGTATCATCTACCTCCATAGGATATAAACCACCTTAGGGGGGTTGCAAGATTTAATACGAACCTCGTTAACATGACTATTGTGCTGGAACATATGCCTACGATTTCTGAGGTTTTTATTTGCACTGGCAAGGCAAGAATATAAATCGAGTTAGCTAGATCTAGAGCTGAATGGGAACAATGGAAACAGTCCATGGAAATCCAGAAAATAATGTAGTAACTCATTGCTACCAATAATCTTTCCCTGTCTTCATATCTTCATAGTATTCCATTCATAGCTCATGATGAATACATATGTGCCGCAGACTGCAATGCCTGTATGGAATCATAATCACTTCCCCGAAGAATCTCTATCTAAGCACCGGGGGCCCTAGAGCTCGTAGAGTCAGTAGTACCCGTATTGCCCGTATTAGCCGTGGAACTCGCGGCGCCCGAATTAGACTCGAGAGTGTACCCTAACCCGTTCATGGTAGCATACGCCTGTGCCATGTGGTCTTCGGTGTTGAGACGAATCGTTGGCGGTGGGAGAGTATACCCAGTTTGGGTTGATAGAGTATAGCCGGTCTGGGCTGGTAGAGTGTAACCAGTCTGTGCCGGGAGGCTATATCCAGTCTGTTCTGGGAGCGTGTATCCAGTTTGTTCCGGGAGAGTGTATCCGGCTTGGGCTGGGAGCGTGTATCCAGTTTGGCCTGTTCCACTAGTCCCAGAAGACGACACCGACATAGCTAGCTGAATGATATGAGCTGCGTCGCTAACCGAGCCATTTGGCCTGGATCTGGGCGGAGGCGGGACAGGCCTGAAGAGGCCACAAACGCAGCGCCTCTCGCTCGACGACATCCAGCGTCCGCACTTGCATTTCCACGAATGTGATACATCCATCTTGGTAGTATGATTCGTAGATCTTGAAACGTTATCTGGCTTGATTGACTTGTTTCTGTTAGTTACGTATTGTGGTGATGGTTGCGGTGTTGGTAAATCTTTTGCGTGAAAGTGACAAGAAGTTTCATGAGAAGAAGGAGATGGAAGCTTTTAAATCCAAAAGTAAACAGCTTCTGATGTGGAATTTCTTGACAACTAAAGCAAGTGAGTAGACTGCCTTAATTGTTAAATTCTCACGTACATGACTCTGGTCTTTCGTGTTGTCGTACCTATTACCTGGCTACCTACCTAGGTACATATCACACGAGACCTGTAAGACATGATCAAGGACTGACAAGGCAATGAGTACCTGGATATACAAGCAATGAGAAAACCCCCAAGGATCTCTCATGACCCACAGGCAAATCGACCATATCCAGATTCTCCTTTTATCCCCGCATTTACCTAGATATCTAAGGGTATCTTGTTATTTGTAATGGGGACAAGCAATAACAATAAGCTCTAGTGTAGTTAAGGATCGTTAATAGGGCGAGTCTGCTTAATAAAGTGACCACCGCCAGAACCTGTTTCTGCGGGTTCTAACTCATTCATCAAAAACGTGACCTGGCAGAATGGAGTAAGAGAAAGTGCCCCATGTGCTAAAGGATTGCAATTGTATTGTACTGTAACTTAAACCATCCCCTATTTTGCCCACATAGGCAGCTTATACGTGTTGTAGCGTGTGATAGGTGTCGATTATGCAATTCAGGGGGTAGATTGAGCTACAGTGTAATACGGTAAGATTAGCACATGGGGCACTTTTTCTGACTCCATTTGCCTAGCTCAAGCACGTCTGATCAGGTTAATCCAGCTACAGTCTAGCTTGGCGTGGGCCATATCTGGCCTCACCCGGGACCACCCTAAGCAGCTACAGCTCTTTTCAAGCAGGTAACTTACATATCTTAGCCTTTGCCCGAGAATTATTTCGTATCTCGATCAAAATTCCGGGAGAGATTTGTCCCCCTTTGCAGATCCTTGCTCTGATTGGCTCTAAAAGGGACTGAATGATCTGATTGGCTCAAAGCAACGAAAAGGGTTTAGCTTCCACGGCCACGTTCAACTAGTTGGCCATTTGTCAAAATAACGTGAGACTTGATAATTCAATTAATTGTAGAAAGAAAATTCTATCTTCTCAATCTAAGAGATTCTGGCCAAGACTAACTGCAAAATCTTCAATAGTCTCCATATCGTGTTTCAGAGGAGATCACGTGAAAGCCAGAGATTTGAAGGCATCAAGGCATCAAAACACACGGACCACCTGATAACACTAAAATTATGAAATTGTATCTGACACCATTCGTCAGAGGCTAAGAGCAAGGGTAGCAGCGCCGTGGCTGCAGTCTTGTGTAACATCTACGAATATATAAGGGGCCTTTGGCCCCTAACGGGTTTTAGAGGAGGTTTAGGCGTCAAACAAGATCACTCCCCACCCCGTACTAGCGATCTACCAGCTTACCTCTTGCTTCTAGCTTTCACTTGAGACGTAGCTTACAGCTGCGGCGCAATCCACAGCTGCAGGCAATTCCCTGACGCTGTTCAACGGTTGATCAACCACCTTGAACAGGACCGGGGCGGGCTCGGATCAGATCGGATCGGATCGGTGGATGGGGGCGGAGCCTCATGTGTTCGTGATAAAAATGGAAAAAGATCGGGATTAGTATCTCGGCACCTTGAAGTTAGGGTAAGAATTTTTTAATTGATCATGGTATGGTTAACATGTGAAAGTATCCTCAACGAGCGATACGAAGGAATACCAACAAATGAAATATTCCAAACAATAGATTACTAGGTAAATACCTAGGTAGCCACCATACTGATGAAGTCTTTAGTCTAGTCGTCGTCAAAGCCACCGCCTCCTACAAACCCGTTTTCTTCATGATACGCCTTATGGGTAAGATTCAAAAAGCGTGACACGTTTCCACCATCTAACACCCTCCTGCCCTGCTCGGTGCTGTACGCGGCGCTTCTAGAAAGCGCATTGGTCTTGAGCACGAAGACAAGCGCAACCATCTCTTTTTGGTCCGCCTTGCGCTTGTATACTCGCCCTGCGATCGCCGTATTCTCCAGCAGCTCCTGATTGCCGGGGGTGGTCTTCCACTCCCCTGGCTCTCCTTTGTGCTTCGTCAGGATGCCATATTCGTTCGCGCAGAAGACTTGGATTGCCTAGGTAGGTAGGCTTGTCAGATTATCTAGTCTCTCATAGCTACCTGTTACGGCTTCGGAAAGGAGATATAATCGGGGTAGCATGGACGAGGAAGTAGGAGGACTTACATTCTCGCTCGGCCGAATCACCGCCGCCAGCCCTGATCCCCTCTGTGCCTTGAAGAGTGGACCGCCTACTGACCACGACCCGGTGTACTTGGCCATGTACACGTAGCTGTCCTCGCATTGGAAGAACACGAAGACTTCCGGAGCCGATGGGTTTCGAGACACAGCGGCAATGGCCGTACCGCTATACGGTCGAGTACCAGCGGGGCAAGGAAGGGTTTTACCAGCGTACCAATCTTGCATGTAGTCGCGGCAGTGCTCGCGCAGAGAGCCATCGGACGCCTGATATATGACGCGCAGGTAGTTGGCCCAGTATACGGAAGCCATCTTGGAATTTCCCGCCGTCACGGCCGAGTGTTGGTTAAGCTCACCGCTGAACCAGGTGCCGGCGTTCGCTTTGGTAGTCGCGGGCCATCCTGAGATGCCCCCGTCCCAGCACATTTCTCTCATGTAACACATGTCGTCGAGGTGGTAGAAACGGATACTGTTCTGCGCAATCCCTGTGTCTTAGCAGAAGTCACGAGAACGGCTCCGGATGGAAATGGGCAGAAACAAGTTACTATTATAAGGATACGAATTCAACGGAGTAGGTGACTAACCACGTCGTTTTCGGGATGATCCTTTCTGGAGAACCATTGCATGGCAGCGAGCGGCGTCGAAGTCTTGGCCCTGAAGATGATGTCGGACTCGGTGCCGCCGTCCCACCTGCCTCGATCATAAGTACGTTGGCGGACGCCGTGGCTCGCGTCTGTGTAGTATATAGCCGAGTTGTCGCCGCCCCAGTTGGCGATTGCGATGCTGCCGTCGGTAGGCATGCCCTCGCACGTCGTGAGAGATTCGTCGGTCGCCATCGTGAATATCTACCTGTTGACTCGATAACCGAGGGGTAACAACTGCGAAGTTCTACACTGAAAATCTAATTTGAATCTGGTGGGGAAAGGAAGCAAGGAGAGGGCTATGAGGAGGAGCTTAAAAGATTTCAGGGGAACGGGGGCACGAGGGCACCGTCTCATGCCATCGGTTGATTTCGATTATGATTTTGATTGTTACTTCTCCTGTGGCAATATGTGATAGACGCATAGTCTCCTTGCAGAGTTCTCGTGACCGTTTCAGCTCATCAAGTTTAAGGGAGCGGCCTTGGTGTAACCTGTCTCGACGTCAGGAGATGCAAGATTCCAATAGTTTACTAAGTACTCGCTCTACGCCCCATTTCGTTGGCTACCTCTCCAGCGTTGTGATCTCTGGCTGAAATGCGATCTACACCGCATCAATGATACCTTGTCCAATGGCCGGCGCGGGCCGTCCGTGTCGGCCCACTACCGTCTCAGCTCCCTTAGTGTAACTTAGTCCAAGCCACGCATGCCTATTCAGATATCTAACGGTGTCGATCCCTCCGCGGCCTGTATCCCCCCGCCAATATATGTTGTAAGAGGCTTGAGTTATTGCATGAGACAATTCGTGCCCGACCAAAGACTCAACTGGAAATTGGAAAAAGATTGAACTGAATCTTGGTACATCATCTTGTGAAAGCTGTTGCAGAAAGTCGGCTAAGAAGGTTTCTTCGTCTAGCTCTTAATCCACCGGGCTTTGCTGATCGCGACATCTCCTTCATGGCTACATGCCTTATACATCGAGACGTCCGTTTATCCACCAAAATGTATAAATATAAGCTCATGTCGCCATCTTGTCAGTCGCTTTACTGACCAAGTCGATTACAAACTATTGCTTGTTCTATACGGCCTTTACCAATCTAAATATGGCTCCCGAAAAAGAGACCCCTAGTGGGTCAACAACTGTTGAGGATGTCCTCAAGAAGTCCGAATTTCTTCTCAGGTTCGATCTACAGTATAGTAACCGAGCAACATCGACAACACCAAGCCAGCTCTCTGCCATTCTTGATAAAATCAAGACTGGATCCAAGATTACTACTGTGTCTGAGATCCCCTTGTCTTCTCTGCGGTCATGTGTTCCCGAGATGTAAGCTACGTTGTTCTATTAGCACAGGCTGTTGACTGATGTCAACTTATCTTTCAGGGGCGCCCGGGATCATTTCTGTCTCGACGACAAGCAGACTGTTGTTAGCGGGACGATGACCTTAGCGCAGTATTTGTCATCCACACAAACGGTCAGTCCACTCTTCCGCCATCTTGTTGTCTACTTTTCGGTCTAACATTTTATAGAACACGGCCTTGCTCAAGGATCATGCAGCGGGTTCTGTGGTCCTTTTTACGATCTTTCTGCTCAAGAACCGTATTCGACCAACTCCGGAAGAACTTGACAAAGTTGGAACTGGCCCAGAACTCAAACACGAGCTCCCTGTATGTCATATTAACCCTTAAATATAAAGAAGACCCTGTTTGCTAATATTCGTCTAGGACGAGAAGAAACTCCAGGGCGATCCAAATAAGAATCGTCTCTCCGACGGTTGGAATAAGAGTTCCCTCTCTGGAGATCAATTCGCTGCTAGCGCTGGAAACATAACCATGTAAGTTCATACGGTCCATATACCTTTTGGGATTCTCTTGACATGCTAACTGGCGCTTGACAGACACCCCGCTGATATGACAGAGAAGGAATGGGAAGTGGTCGTCAAGAACAACATTCTGACGCATGCGTATCGGATTGATGCGTCAGCCCGCTCAGCTGTGGTGGCACGCCGACCATGTATGTTGCACTGGGCTAAGGTTGAATCGTCGTGCAAAGCTGACATTTCGTCGTATGCTAGTATTCAAACTGAAACGCCGAAAGGCAGAGATCTTCGTCGTAGACGATGTACGAGAGCCCCGTTCTGCTGATTTTTACAACACTAACGGTATTGATAGGATGAAGCCGCTGTAGACACGACGATCCCAGAGTTCCAGGTGTTTGATGATTCCTCTGTCTCTGTGGTAGAGATCACGAACGAGGCTCAACAATCGGCCGCTGACAACTCCTTTTCGTCATACAGTGTCAAAGCTTCTGCGTCAGCCATCCCCTTTACTCCTGGCAAGAGCTACAGCTAATGTTATATCTGTAGTTCCGGTGGAATCTTTGGCTACACGGCTGGGGCATCTGCGGGTGTATCTGGTGATCATACGGAGCAAAGCGGGTCTACCATTGGCAAATTCGAATCCGTTATGCGAGTGTCATACAAGGCAGGTAGTCCGGGTTCCATCTTGTTGGGAATGATAACGAGGGAAAATTGTATCCGCGAGATGCTAATTATGCTTCATTGGCGATGTAGTTCCCCCGAGTGATCGTCTATCTTGATCACGAGTCTCTGGAGCCGACAGAAGAGTGCAAAAAGCATTTCGAAGACATTGCTAAACAGACCGATGCCTCCATCAAAGCTGGAAAGATCAAAGCGTTCAAGGCAAAGTACGGTATGTATTTCCAATCATTTATGACTGAGACGGATCGCAAATTACTAATTGCCTCTTTGGACGTGAAGGGGAGGTATTCTCGACAAGCGTTCAGCTCGGAGGATATCTCTACAGCACGAAGCTCACCTCCGCAATAGCTGCATCAAACTCATCTGAGAAGATGGACCGGTTGGCAGTGTCGGCGGGTGTCAACTTCTCCTCGCCGTACGTTTCCGGCTCCGTCTCCACCGAAAACAGTCACGGCACCGGTGAATCTAGCCAAAAATCATCTTCGAGCAAGCACGAGAGTTTAACCTGGACAGCGAAGGGCGGGGACACGCTGCTTTCCTCAAAGTGAGTTATCTTGCTGCACAGATGATCACATTAACAGATAGTTACTGACTATCTTCGCTGCAGCCCTCCAGCCTGGTCAGGTACTGTCGGGAATATATACAATTGGAGAGTTATTGAGGTAAGAAGATGTTCACCTATACTTACATCTTCCCATTTTTCAATATTCATCCAACTCATACTCACATGCTCATGCACAGAGATCTATGCCGCGCACCATAGGTGATGTGCTCCGCGAGATGCACGGATATGAACCTATTGCTGAGATTCTCGGTACGACTAAGAATGGTAAAGTCAGTGGCGGCGGGTTTGATGACGACTAGATGTTGTTGATGTGTCTGGTGGATTGTTGCGCAAGGGGCGAAATTGTCTTCTTGATGCTGTTAGCAAAGTACACGAGTGGAGGCTCTCATGAAAACCAAGCTGAAACATGAAAGCATATACAGTGTATGAGTACTTAGGTGCTCCAAGCACTCGATAGATAGGACAACATGAATCCACCGTCATACTATGAGCGACGATAGTTTACCTATCTTATTATAGTTCCAGTCTTAGCAAACTTTGACAACAGACCTTACTGCCGCTGGAGCCACGTAAGTATTAACAACAGAAGCCATACAACTAAGCTTAGATTAACATGTGTATATCTTGATAACATTGTAAAAGCACCAGGTTTGCGACTATGATGACCGGTTTCATGGCAAACAATACTAACCCCAGTTAACAGAGAGGTCGGTCACACATGGAATAATATTTATACCAGGAGATTGCAGCAGCAAATATTTCGTATACAATCTCTCCATTATAGATTCCATAACAATTGGAATGTCAACTCACGGTTAAACAATGAATTGGTCACACTTTCCTATATGTTTACCACACCTGCCTATACAAAGCTAGGGGTTCGTGGCAATGCTAAAAAGAACGTCTGTTCTTTTTATTCTGCTATATAAGTCTCAATTAACGAAAGTTTTCAGATCCTATCATTTCCTTCCTCCTATTCCCTCCTTCCGAACATCTCATCCATAGTCTGCGATGAACACATTTCGCAAGCTGTAGTGCTTATTAAAATTCCAACCGCCCCCCAAAAATGATCTCTATCGAGATCCCGAAGCCCCATTGGCCTGGTTTCATTGCCCACAGTCCTTCGCGGTAGAATACGTCTCGTTCATGTGGTCCCGTGCGTCGAGACGAATTGTTGAGGGTTGGGCAAGCGTGTCCAGACTAGGCCAGTCCGTTGGCCCAAGAGGATTGCGTCGACTCATCTAGGTGAGCTTTATGAGCAATATGAGCTAGGTAAGCTCTGTCGGCGATCGAGTTCGTTGACTTGGGCTTGGGTTGAGGGGCTGGGGGTGGCTGAGGCTTGGTGAGGCCACACTGGCAGCGTTCCTCATATGCTGAGTTCCAGCGTCCGCACTTGCATTTCCACGAAGATGGCTGAGACATGTTGTTGTTTATGAATTTACTTGTTGTGTCGTTGAGGTTGCTTGTTGTCTTTTCAGTTTCCGGTTTGGTAGAGTGTGTATTGTGTATTGTGAAGGTAGATGAGGAAAATATCCAGTGGAAGAAGGAGGAAAGGAAGTATTTAAATAAAAAAACTGAACTACCTTAGAGCTCATGATGTGTATTTCCTGGCGGGCCAAGGCAAGTGAATGAACTAGTTTAACTGTCAATTTCTTGTGTATGTGACATAGGCCCTTCGTGCTGTCATAGTCATTGCCTACCTAGCTACAGACCTCAGGAGGCCCGTAGGACATGATTGATGGTTGAGGACTGAGATAATACGCAAAAGAATAAACCCCTTAGGTGCCGCTTTAGCATACATCTCGATTAACAGGGGTGAATGTATTTTCACCCCTTACTCGAGAGCTTACAACAGTATTATGAAACATAAAGTTCAAGGAGTCGTTATGACTAACTTAATGACTTCTTAGATGAATGATATAATCGAAAGCTCCAGATATGGAAACTGTAGCTATGAACCGCGTGGAAGGTGGCGTTATTGACGCATAGCCTCCCGATATATTACATCTGCGATAACATGAATTAGGGGGTGTGGAGGTTTAATGCTGAATCCTTCTCTGGTTAATACAGCCATTCCAATGATATTTCGCATGCTGCATGATTCTCGAAATGATTTGATTAATCTATTCTAGTTTTATCTGTGAATGGCCCCTGAGAAGAGACATGAGTAAGTACGGACAAAGACATTGTTTGCTAAAAAAACTTAGACAACAATGCTTAGTGCGGCATTCATTCAATTGACCACATCTTCGACGTTTCGAGACCTTCAGCAAACACGCCAAGCTTACCATCAATGGCAAATCCTTGAGATTCCAACTTCCTCAATTCTTTGTACAAGTCACCCAACGGCACCCAGAAAGTCTCGATGAACTCGCCATCCTCTAGCTGAGGCTTCGGATTTTGATTCTCTTCTTTAGAAGTGTCTACCTTGAGGTGGATAAGAAAGTTCTTCGAGCTACGTGAATGATCAGTTCGTCAATCATCATATGCGAAAATTAGAAACAGAGGACTTTACCCCGAAGATGCAGGAGCTAAGAAATGATTAGCATACGGATTATATTGTTGATACGGCAATTGAACTTACAACTAAATAGAACAGGTCGTTTGCCTCCACGATCCAGCACTACTTCGCCGATGTAGCCCGTTTCCTCTCGTAATTCGCGCAAAGCTGCTTCCTCAGGGGTCTCGCCTTCATCGACGAGACCGGCTGGAAACTCAATGACGATTTTGCCTGCCGGTGCGCGGAATTGCTTCTCTAGAAGAAGTTCTGGGCCGTTGGATTTCTGAGCGATCACGACCATCTGCACAGCATCCACAATACTGTCTTTCGGCCGCCCAGAGCGTTTCATCGCCTCCCACGTGCGGGGTTCGCCATTCTCATCTTCGTATGTAATCCTGTGAAGTTTTAAAGTCAGACACGAGAAAATAAATATTCAATCATTATACAATGGAAGATGGGATATATATTCTGATCACGTAATCTTCGGAGCTATGACTAACTTCACAAGATTGAGCCATTTCGCATCTTTATTGTCCTGACGAAATCCTTAGCGAACCCCTTTATGATTGAATTCGCCTATGCACGTACGAGCAACTCGGTCGATATAACCTTAGCTATACGTCCCGACATCGTGGAAAGTGAGAAGTGTTAGGGTGAGGGGTCGTTGTAGATTGAAAGAATGAACCGAGATCCTCGAATTTTTGGTGAGCTTCAAGAATTTGCACAGCCACATATTGTTGAGGCGTCAGGGGCTTAGCACTCAGTATACCTGAGGACGAGGTTGAAAGGGGCGAAAGGTCAAGGAAGTGGGAATATTTAGATGCAATTATATTAAATAGGTAAACATTGTTACATACGTAGACCAAAGAGAGTCGCGGGCTTCTATCGAGAGAAAAGGGGTGGGATGAGCCCCTATATTAATATGCCAGCCACAGCGCTTCTAGGTTACTATTCCATGGATTACCCCTTTCGGCAACTCACTTAAACTACTAGTAGCGATAGACCAATGATAGACGTAGATGAGGTAATGCAGGAATAACGGGATAGGTAATACGTGAACTCCTGATACCTCGAAGGACTACATGAAAAACGTACGTCACCTCACGAACAATCATTATTAAATATGCATAGGTAGGTAGATATTCAAATTACCATGTTTAATTCAAGCCAACAGCTGGACTAGCATAACGGCGTAATCTTCCCCGTCTTCAACTCCTCCTTAACCAGCGCCGACACCTCATCCCAGCGCTCGAGCGTGTCCGCCTCGGCATCGAAAGCATACAGCCACCTATTGCGCATCTTGACAGACTCGGGGTCGATCTCTACGCCCTCGTCCACATCCTTGAGCGCGTTGTGCCAACGGTCTCTCAAATCTTCCCCGTTCGTCTGGCTGGCCCTGGTCCTTGCGAATCTCAATTTCTCGTAACATCTTGTCTACGCTCAATTAGTCAGACTAGACTTTTCGTAGAAGGTACGATTTTTCTTACCGCTAGTGGAACATTTCCTTTCTCGGCCAACTTTAAGCAAACTGCCAGCACGCCTGCGCTCTCCGTCGCCTGGCTCGCTCCTTGCGCGCTGGTCGGTAGGTGAGGATGACAACTATCTCCTAATAGCGCGATCTTATGACTCTTAGACACCCAAGTCGGTAGCGGGTCTCTATAGCAGATTTTCCAATCCAGACAAGCTTCTGTCTTGTCGACCGCGGCACGTATGCGGGGGTCCAGGTCCTGCAGCGATTTCTTGACCTCGTTCATATTGCCTTCTTGGAACCACGACTCCTTGATCACCATATCCGCCTCGTGCGAGAGCTTGCGCGTCACGATCCAGTTGAACTCGTCGCCGTTTCGAAGCGTGTTCTGGACTAGATGTGTGTCCTTGCCAATCCTGTATTTTAAACTTAAGCTCTTCATTCGCCCATCGATGCCCATATAACCCAAGAATTGAAAAAGGGGCTAGGGAGATGATGCAGACATACCAAATATTAACACAATCATGATCCACAAACTCGCGACACAGCGGATCCTCCCGTAAATGCTTTCCGGGGAAATACGCCCTATAGCACGAGTACCCGCTACTCTTCGGCGCATCCTCGAACCCCAGCACTAGCTCCCTGGCGCGGCTCTTAATGCCATCGGCACCAATCACAATATCCGCAACATCCTCCGCGCCATCCGCGAACAGCACGCTCGGCTTCGTCTCATCGTACGCGACGACCTCCCGACCCATCCTGATCTCGATGCCCGCGTCCTTGACCGCCTGGATGAAGGCCTCGTGGTAATCGCCGCGGTGGCCGATGTACCCCGCCATGTCCATGAGCGGCTGCTGCGCGAGGATCTTGCCGTCGTGCCAGCGCCGGATCTGCATGTCCGGCGCCTGGTTGCCGATGCTCGTCAGCTTGCGGTACAGGTCCGCGCCGCCCCATCGCTCGAGCAGCTTGAGCGCGTTTTCGCCTAGCCCGAGCGAGTCGCCGAGCCGGCGGAAGCCTTTGAGCCGCTCGTACACGACGACCGAGTGCCCGTGGTGCTTGAGGGCGAGCGCGCATGCGCATCCGCCGAGGCCGGCGCCGATGACGATGGCTGTGGGGTTGGCAGGTTTAGTAATGTTTCTTATTTCTCAATGAATGAACAGTCAAATGAATGCATTACTTTACTCACCCTTAATAGGCTCCTTTCCAGCACCGTTTACAGTCATAGCGAGCGACTTCTAATACTGTTACATAAGTTGTTACAAGACGTTTTACTCGAAACTGGACATTTCCCCGAGACATGTCCTCGGGGGTTCTCCAATATTTAGCTGCAGGTTGCGGAGTCCTCGATATTTGTTCATGCCGAAGGAATCCTACATCAGCAGGTCTTCGCCGAGATACATTACCGCCACATACGTATCAAACTAACCTATTTTGCCATGGCAAATAGGCCTGTTGTGACGGTAGATTCTTCTCGACCCACTTCTCCGGATTTTGTCTCCTATTTTGCAGGATTGCCGGGATCACTAAGCTTTGCTAAGGGGCATCTCTGTTCCCAGTGTCCCAGAGTATACGGCACATAACTGCGAGTACATGTCTAAAGATAAAAGAAAAGACGTTTATCGAAGCCGAACGCAGTTGATGGAACTAGACATTGCAATTCAGCCTTATTGATATCATCTGCATCACATACCTCATCTATCACGCGTAGACATGGGTATATATAGCTCACCGGTCAGAGAACCTTGCTCCCTTCGTCTTATATTTAATTATTTTCAATGTCCTAAGGTTAACCGCCTATTAACGGTATGTGACATCGTCTGTAACGTAGACCGGTCCCTAAGGAGTATTAGCTATATAGTCGTAAGGTGTATTGGGTGAGGCGCATATCCTGATTTCAAGACGAGCATGCGGCACACACTATTGTAAGGATAAGAATCTGACATATCACCTTGTTAGAACATTACTAGCATGATCTTCATAAAAACACCAATGAGATACCCCATGGGGGATCATCATTAGCACGGGGTTGCATCTGCCGAAGGTTCCCCAACCTCAACCCCGCCTATAACAACACATTGTCCCGCTTTACACTGGGGAAACTGGGAGCGGAGTAAATGGTAGGAACTATTGATGCTAGAGAAATAGTGAATAAGAAGGTGAAGAAGTTCGTAGACGGTAGGTGTGACTTTGACGATAGAGGAACTTCGGAAGAGCTTAGACAAGTATACTACCACAGCTATCATGACGGCACGAACCATCCCAGTTATCATCCCGTCGTTAAAGGAGAAGCATAGCGGGGCGCCGGCACGACTGAGCCAGGAAGCTAAAGATGCGCATGCTCGCTTGTATTCCAACCGTACGCTCCCAGTCAGTCAGCAGAGGAAGGGTCCGGTTCGGCTGCCGCCAGATGTGTCCCTAGAGAAATTCGAGACCGCGGTCAAGGAGTTGAGGGCAGAAATAGGGGATGAGAATGTTGAAGTTAACGATAAGCCGCTAGTGGATGGGTGGTACATGGAGCACCCAAACACTCACGATGCATTCCATATCGCGGATCAGGAAGAACTCGTCAGTAGCGCGACGGTGTACCCCGGATCGACGGAAGAAGTCCAGGTCACGGTTCGCTGGGCTAACAAGTTCGGTATCCCTATCTATCCTATCTCCATCGGCAGGAATCTAGGCTATGGAGGCGCAGCTCCTCGTATGCCTGGGGCGATAGTCGTCGACCTTGGTAAACGGATGCACCAAGTTGTCAACATCGACGCGGAGAACGCTAGCTGTGTTGTCGAGCCTGGTGTGACGTACTTCAAGCTCTACGAGGAAATACAGAATCGAAAGCTTCCGTTATGGATAGACACTCCCGACCTGGGCGGCGGCAGTGTATTAGGCAATGCTATTGACCGTGGCGTTGGCTATACGCCGTACGGCGACCACTTCGCAAACCATTGCGGAATGGAGCTCGTCCTACCTAACGGTGAAGTATTGCGTACGGGAATGGGCGCAATGCCGGGACCAGATGGAGCGGATAATCCTACCTGGCAATCATTTCAACATGCGTTCGGCCCAGCCATCGACGGTATCTTCTCGCAGAGCAATTTTGGAATCGTGACCAAAATGGGTTTCCATTTGATGCCTGAAACTGGACATCAGTCCTACTGCTTCACTTTCCCGCGCGATGAAGACTTCGAGCACATCGTAGATATCATTCGACCCCTAGCCCAGAAGCGCATACTGGGGAATATTCCTCAATTGCGCCACATTATCCAGGAGCTCGGCGTTACCGGTGGACGTAAGAAAGATTTCCACGATGGGACTGGTCCAATGACTCGTGAAGAGATCCGATCTGCGGCCTCCAAGTTACCTCTTGGCGATTGTTCTTGGGTCTTCTACGGGACTCAATACGGACCGCCGGAGGCCATCGCCGCGCAGCTGGAACTCATTAAGGGAGAGTTCGGAAAGATCGCAGGCTCGCGATTTTTCTTACCCACCGATCTTCCAGCCGATCATTATATACACGCCAGAGCCTCGGTGTGCAGCGGCGTGCCGGTTCTGAGAGATCTAGATTGGCTTAATTGGGTACCTAATGGTGCTCATTTATTCTTCTCGCCAATTGCGCCAACGCGTGGCAAGGATGCTCGCGCGATACATGAGCTAATCGTAGCAGCGCATCAAAAGCACGGTTTCGACTTGTTTCCGACGCTGTGTGTAGCTGGTCGTGAAATCCACGTAAGCATCTCTTCGCCCTTGCCTCTTTCCAGCTTGTATAGACCGCTAATGAGACTCGGATTGGTTAGTATATCACGAATATCATATATGATAGGGCGGACCTTGAAGCTAAAAAACGCGCCATACGTATGTGTCACCTAATAGCCCTCTTTGAAGAAGTGACAGTTGAGGTATTACATACATGCTAACCTGATTTATAGGTCTCATGCGTGAGATGATAGATCAGTGCGCCGCGAGGGGATTTGGTGAATATCGCACGCATCTCCTGTTCGCCGATCAGGTAGCTAGTACATACAACTGGAATAATTCGGCGTTTATGCGTTTCAATGAGACGATTAAGGATGTATTAGACCCGAACGGGATTCTCGCCCCGGGCAGGAACGGCATATGGCCCAAGAGGTTCAGGGGAAAGGGATGGGAGCTGAAAGTTGATGATATTGACTTCACGACGATTGGGCCACGTCCCTAGATATTTGGTATATCAACAATAGAAATTCAGAGTGAAATTAGCAGAATGGGGTATCGGTTGCTTGCCGTCAAAATGCAATTGCTGTTGCTCTAGGGTTCCTAACAATTGCCCAGTCGCTTATTTCCCATCCCAAAGCTTTCTCAGACCTGCCAATCCAATGAATAAAGCCTCATCTGTTCTAATCGTTCTACTTCCCTGTCCCGGCAGGATGTTGACCCAGTGATCGAATAACTCTTTCGTTCTCCCCTTCACAATTCCCATGCCGTTTAACTCTGGGTCGTTTTCTGCTGCATATTCGAGACCTCGAGGACCACCGAAGACAATGAGGAGATGTTGGAAGCTTACGCAGTCCCTTTTCTTCTTATCCGGAAAGGCCTCGGGTATAGAGAGACCGCGTTCTGATGTGCCGATGCTCAGATCATATCCTCCTTCGTAAGCACACTCTTCAAAGACAGTGGCAAGTGAGCCGCAGCGCCTCACAGAGTAGCCCCAATAGTAGCCACCTTCTGTGCGCGGCGCACTAGGATCCACCGGTTCTGCCTTTGACGGGTCGCTCTCGTCGATCTGAACAGTGATACGGGTCTTGGGCGGTACCTCGTGACTAATAGTAACTGGTTCCTTTCTCCCAACGTCGACGAGAGTACCCTTCCCACCCTTTGGCATCCCTGTTGTAGTTACGCCTTCGCAGTAAGGTAACCAGTCAGTTTGATGAGGGTGCGAAGGTATATCCAAGCTCGCCATGAGACCAGCCTGCTTTAAGTTGGGATGTATCGGTAGCAAGGTTCTGCGCATAAAAGGTGGCATCTCTAGATACTGTAGAAGATGATCAATATACCCGCACGGGTCTACATCACCCGTGTAGCTAGCCGGATCGACATTTTTAGCTCGGGTATCTGGATGAGAGTCATCAAAGATGATGACTTCATCTATGCTGAAGACAGCAAGGGCACGTGCTATGTGTGAAATAATGCCAGTGCGTTGGTCATCACGACGACAACTGCAGATGTGATATTTAGTAGATTTCCAGAAAGATAAGGAGAAGAAGAAGAAGAAGATGCATGACATACGTTGATAATACGCTTCCGGGGATAGCTACTGAAAGAGTCCAGTCTCGACCTCTGGATGGCTTGAAGAAAGCAGTCGGCTTTGATGTATCCACGTAATCGCCATCTTTTGTAAGTCGACGTTTCTTTAGACAAATTAGATTAGGACTTAGCAAATCTTAAAATCTGAATGGCTCACCTTTTGCCTATCATTACCATATTCCGCCATCGTAAGTACGTAATAGGAAAAAGTGAGGAAGTTACGAAATGAGCTCAGATGAATCGCATTTCATTTTGGTGGTGAATCTTGAAATCTTTAACTGAAATTGACTTCCGGATGTTTTGCCGGCAGAAACTTACCGCCCCACTCACCACCTTCCACGCTTGTCTAGCCCCATACTAAATGTTTGACTAAGGAATGGTACTAAGGTACATCCTAGGCACATACCTAATGCCAATTTGGACAGCTTTATCCTAAGAACAGCCGTTCGTCATCGGCCGCCATCGTTAGGTCCACTTATAACCTAGAAACCATCCATCTTTCTATCAACGACTTTGACGACTAGGTATTCTACACCTGCTATCAACAAAAACAATAGCCAAGATGACGGTAAACATCAGTTCTTCAAATGAGTGGCAACGTATCTTGGGGTCTTCGACCATCGTGGTCACTGACTGTAAGTCTTCACTTGCCTTGTCGCATCGTCGCGATCTCTCATAGTTGCTTACAAATGACGCTTCTAGTCTATGCCGACTGGTGCGGTCCTTGCAAGATGATCGCTCCCACCTTTGAATCGCTCGCGACGAAGTACACTAAGCCTGGCAAGATCACCTTCTGCAAGGTCAACGTCGACAACCAACAATCCATCGCTCAGTCCCACGGCGTGCGCGCGATGCCCACCTTCCTCATCTTCAAGAACGGTTCCGTTATAGAGACAATACAAGGCGCGAACCCGCCGGCCCTGACGTCTGCTGTAGAGAAGGCTGTTAAGTTAGCCGGTACCAGTGCGCCGGGCGCGTCATTCAAAACCCCTGGACGAACTCTTGGAGGTAGCCCAGCTTCCTCTAGCACACCCGCGAGACGAAGTGGCCAGGCATTCGGTGGCCGACCGTGGAGATTCAGCCCATTTCATTTCTTCAATGCTATCGTGACTTTCTTCGGATTATACTTCGTGTCACTCTTTTCGGTAGGCTTCCTCCTATTTCCAGCTTTCGTCCCGTGGGATATGTCGCATGGTGCTAATGATACAACTCAGTTCGATGCATACAAAGCAGCCGAGAAGTCACAGTTCAACGTCAATAGCCCGAGCGCACCACCGACTTCCGCCCAAGCGAAAGGTGGCCAAAAAGTGGGAGGGCAGGGCGGTTCTGCTCGGCCTGGCGGAGTTAGGACGTTGGCCGACCTTGGGAGGTAGAAGTATAATCCACCAAATTGGTTGTATTAATTATCTGTGAAGTGTAAAGTTAGGTTCTACATAATACATACCTGAATTGACCTCTTGAGATGATCAGCTATATCATTCGTCCTCCATTTTCAATTGTCTTTGCATACAATCCTTATCGTCTTATCAGCGAGGGTATGCGGGTGCATGGTTTCGATGTGGGGGCGGCCAAATTGACAATACCCGCCATTTTAGTGGACAGAGCGACCATGGGTTTTTAGCTAGCACGTTAGCGTCTAAATCTATGAAAAAAAGTTGCCCACCGTGAACATTTGCCATCTCTTCATTCCACCTTCTGCTCTATTCAACTTCTTGAGGTACGGGATATCAAGCCGGTGGCAATCGGGCACAATGTTATCTGCTACGAGGGTCCAAGGAGCTTGCCCCCAATGCAGACTTCGTCTGCTCAACTTGTTTGAAAACGGCTTTGCTGGTTTGCGACCCGATCCACCGCGATCATTATCCCGGCCGATATCCAACGTTAGAAGTCTATCACTCGGGCGGAAGAATAATGTCCGCTTCTTCTCAACAACAAAGCGCAAGCTTCAGGATGTTCAACCTACAGAGACTGAGTCGCAACCAAGTGATATCGAAACCACAGTACGACAGGCAAAGCACGCATTTGGCGATACTTTACCAAAAGGCTATTTGAACGAAGAGGAATACAAGCTTTACGAAAGGCTGTATGGTGCTCCTTTACGAGAGACCCGACCAGAAGATGTAGGAATATCCACTTCTGAGTTCCAAACTGAAGACTTGCCGCGAGACCTGTCACAAAAGGTACTGCTTCGGGAAACAGAGGATGGAACGCTAGAGGAATTCGTATACGAAACGGATGTCCCAATCTCCCCCCCAGAAGAGTCGAGTGAAGAAGCAACGGATCTTTCTCCAGTTGAGGCTGCAGAATTGGACGAGTTACCATCCGAAGCCGGGTTGACTTATATAAATGCCGTGGCTAAGAATGAAAGAGAATATACTGCCTTGTTGAGGCTACAAAAAGATTTTGAAACCTCTAGATTGCGAGCCGCGGAAGAGGACGAAGTCGATGACGAAGAAGAAGATCCGGCAGATGAAGAAGAAATGGAGGAGGAAGAAGATGAATACGAAGACGAGCCAGATGCAAGATTTCAACCTTCGATGAACCGCGTTCACGAGTACACGAGAATAGGTGAATGGGGACCCTATCCTAGTACTCTCCACCTTCCCAAAGCAGATTTTGTAAATCCCATTGGCGAATTACTCAATCGAACAGATATCAAGCATGTCAAAGAAACGGCAGAGAAAGTCTTTGGCGGTGTTGGGCTGCCTCATTCAGTTGCTACTCCCCCGGCGAGGAAGAATGCGCCACAGAATCCAGTAGCTATGGAGGCTAGTCACCACAAGATGAGCGAGATTGAAGCCGATGCTTACATTGCAACAAACTTACCGGGAATGTATGCGTCTGTTATGAGCATACTAGTTGAGATTCGAAAGCGTCTAGGCTCGGAATGGGTTTCTAAACTCATATCTAGAAATAATGGCGAAGGTCCTCGCGTGCTCGATGTCGGTGCAGGTGGAGCTGGTCTGGCAGCCTGGGAGCAAGTTTTGCAAGCTGAATGGGAGATTATGTCCGAAGGGGGGAAGAGACCAAAGCATGGACCACCAGGAAAGAAAACAGTTGTGGTTGGATCTGAACATTTACGCCAACGAATATCGCGATTTCTCGATAATACCACATTTCTCCCTCGGCTACCCGACTATGTGCACTCTGGTCACCAACCCGACCTATTGGACTCTGGCGGCAACCCATTGCCCAAAAAGAAATTCGACGTCATTATCGCTTCTCATCTGATGATGCCCATAAAAAGAGAGTTCCAACGCAAGGCCATGTTGGATAATCTGTGGGAATTTCTGTCGCCTGAAGGCGGTGTCCTGATCGTGATGGAGAAAGGCCATCCACGGGGTTTTGAAGCGGTAGCAGATGTTCGTTCCCGACTGCTCAACGAATTCATTGTCGCGCCCGGCTCTGGTCCTCTCCCCGAGTCTATTGAAACAGAGGACCAACGAGTCCGCGAAGACGGCATGATTATTGCTCCTTGTACCAATCATAAGGCATGTCCCATGTACTTGACACCAGGACTCAGTGGTGGGAGAAAGGATTTCTGCCACTTCAGCCAACGATACATTCGACCAGCGTTTCTCCAGAAGGTGCATGGAAGCACGCATCGTAATCACGAGGATATTAATTTTAGCTTTGTCGCTATTCAACGTGGAAAATTACCTGACATGGAGGCAACCCCCGTCCCTGAGGATGCAGCAGATATGGCTGAGAATGCCTTCAAGGGATACGAGAATGCGACGGAACAGCCCAATCCACTAGCACTCCCTAGAAACATTCTCCCTCCTCTTAAGCGCCGTGGTCATGTGACGCTCGACCTCTGCACACCCCACGGAAAGATCGAGAGATGGACCGTTCCTAAAAGTTTCAGCAAGACGGCATATCACGATGCGCGCAAGGCGCAGTGGGGAGATCTTTGGGCTTTAGGGGCCAAGACCAGAGTCCCTAGGAATATCCGACTCGGAAAAGGAGGCCCGGTACCTAATGACGGCGGCGTACGGGCTCGCGCGGCTCAGGGAGGAAATAAACCAAGAGTCATTCATCTTTCAGCCAACTCGGGCGGTATATACAGCGCTCACGAGAAAGTCAAGGTGCACGGCCCCGCGGAGAGGAGGACTAAAGGAGGGAAGAAGGCGAAGGTACAGAATTTGCTGAAGGAGCTTCGCGAGGATGGATTCAGCTAAACAAGGTCACAATTGTGAAAAGTCAAAGCTTGCGTCAAACCTCCCAGAAATTGTATTATTACTTATAAGTCTCGCCAACGACATGTATATAAGCCGGGAAAGAAGTCTGTTGTAGTCACAACTTAGTCCATTCAGGAATTGCCGTCGAGGAAAACGCAATATCAACCCAGTTAAACTATTCATGCGCATCTAGTATTCGGGTATTTGAACATAAATGAATAGATAATTTACCTGACGCTTGAGACCCCCCTATCACAACCTTCGTACACACGATAATAAGCAAGACTCGTAGATCTCCGATCAGGTTCCGCGGAAGTCGGTCCGCGGCGGTTCAAACTATATGCAAAACGTTGGCTGTGATTGGCCAGTTAGCAAAATAGCGTTATGAGGCGCGATTGCGTCAGAGCTATGCCCCTCCAAAATCTCCCCTCGGACCCGCTAAACTTTTGCTGGAGATGCTAAAATCAACTAAAATGACGGGAATCGGTCGAGACTCTTTAAAGACTTTTCATGCTTCGCAGTAGTTTGCCGCATGGCGACATCGCTTCCAGTCGCAAATAACTTCCTAGCTTACCCAAGTACTAGTTAGATATCCTATTTTATTCGATGCCCTGGACATTTTCCACAGGAAAATGTTTAATATGAATGTTATCTTATTTCCTCCGTGATGTTCTCATCTCCTATCTTTGTATAATCCACCATATCTAAATACTTGAATACTTAAGTGAGACTGAGAAGCGAAGAGAAGGTTTCATGTGTTGTATGCCTCAAAAAGGCATTGACCAACCATGACCACTCACGTATCAATGCTGACGGCAACGGACGCCCGGTCTCATATTCACTTAATCGTCGGCTCGAACCCTCTCGCGGCAGCGCGGTGCGGACAATCGCTAAGCGCTGGGGCATCGCCTATCTTGCTTGTGCCAGAAACGGCTGAGCTACACTATGCGCTACAGAAGCGCATAGACGACGGTGAAGTAAAATGGATAAAAGAAGCCTTCAGGGACGAGCATCTCTTTACTCTCGGACGAGAGGAGATAGACCATGTAGTCGATGCCGTATTCGTAACTTCAGGGCCTAGGGAACCATTGAGTACGGCCCGCTGCTAAATACCACAGTCGTCATTCCGTGAGCTATCCGCTAACAAGAATACAGGCGCTCACATATCAACTGTTTGCAAGCGCAACCGCATCCCCGTAAACGTCGTCGACGCGCCACAACTCTGCACCTTCTCCCTCTTATCCACGCACGTGGACGGCCCACTGCAAATCGGCATAACGACGAACGGGCGCGGGTGCAAGCTAGCATCCCGGATACGCCGCGAGGTCGCGGCGTCGCTACCGCCGAACCTGGGCTCCGCCTTCCTGCGCCTCGGCGACGTGCGGCGCAGGATACAGGAGGAAGACCACCTGCTGCACATGGCGCTCGCCGACGGCGACGACGTCGACGACTCGGTGGACCAGCTCGCCAGCTTCAACAAGCTCGTCACGGAAGCCGACATCGACGCCGCGAAGAACAGGCGCATGCGCTGGCTCGGCCAGATCTGCGAGTACTGGCCGCTGAAGCGGCTCGCCGCCATAACCGACGCCGACGTGTCCAACATCCTGCAATCGTACTCGGACCTCTCCTCATCCCCTTCCCCCCCCTCCTCCCTAAACAGCGCAACCAACAACAACAGCAACAATACGCCAAGCCCGCCGCCAAAACGCGGTCGTATCATCCTAGCCGGCTCCGGCCCCGGACACCCGGACCTGCTGACGCGCGCGACGCACAAGGCGATCCGGGCCGCGGACCTCGTGCTCGCGGACAAGCTGGTGCCGGCGGGGGTGCTGGACCTGGTGCCGCGCCGCACGCCCGTGCGCATCGCGCGCAAGTTCCCCGGCAACGCGGACGCGGCGCAGGCCGAGCTGCACGAGATGGCGGTCCAGGCCGCGCGCGAGGGGAAGACGGTGCTTAGACTTAAGCAGGGCGATCCGTACGTGTATGGGAGGGGGGGTGAGGAGGTGGAGTTTTTTAGGGGGCACGGGTTTGGGTTGGCTGGGGATAGAAATTTGGGTGCAGAGGGGGGTGGGGAGGGGAGCGTGGTGGTGTTGCCCGGCGTGACGAGTGCGCTGAGCGCGCCCCTTTTCGCGGGCATCCCGAGTACCCAGCGTGATGTCGCGGATCAGGTGCTGATCTGCACGGGCACCGGGAAGAAGGGGAAGGCGCCGGTGCCGCCGGAGTACGTGCGCTCGCGAACGGTGGTCTTTCTGATGGCGCTGCACCGCGTTGGCGGGTTGGTGGCGGAGTTGACGGGGTATATGGACTCGGAAATTCGGGATGAGACGGGCGAGAACAGGGAAAAGGAGGTAGGGGAAGCGAAGAAGCGCGTTTTATGGCCGAGAAACACGCCCTGCGCTGTTATTGAGAGAGCCAGCTGTCCCGATCAGCGCGTTATTAGGACGACGCTGGATAGAGTTGTCGAAGCGGTCGAGCAGGAGGGGAGTAGGCCTCCCGGATTGCTGGTCGTCGGCGCGGCGTGCGAGTTCTTGAATAAGCTTGACAAGGGCCAGGCTTGGCGCGTCGAGGAGGGGTTTAGGGGGCTAGATTTTGTGGGTGATGGGTTAGATTTGGGCGAGTAGGGTGGCTGTGGGAAGAGGTGTGACGATTTAAGGTAGGTATGAAAAGATGTTGTGGCGGAAGAGGAGAAGATATAAGGGGGGGGAAGGGAGTATGTGTGAATGGCTGCATTGGCGTTTAGCATTCGAGCGGCGTCTGATATATATGTCCTGAATAAGGTATGATTCATTTTATCAGTTTCAATATCCTGAAAGAAGCTTTTTTGATTCTCAATCTATTATTACGTTTAACCAATCTAAGCAGGAATCATTTCGGGGCGATAAAATAGGAGTTTGCATCCACATTTTTAAGTCGGAACCTGCGGCGGATCCAAATTCTACGAACATGTATCTTACCTATGGATGAGTTAGTGACTAACAACTTATGCATGATATTATGAGACTCTGATTATATTCTTATAGCTGACTTGTATATAATAGTAATTCGTATAATATAGCAATCTACCCTCTGCATTCCTTCACCCGTCATTAAAGCGTACATAAATTTCCTATTGTACACTTTCAAACCACATACATTCCTCTCATCACGATAGTGATTACAGGCAGCAAGCCAGCCACCTTAATCCCGATCATCAGGATGAAAGACCAGCGCGCGAACCTCGATGCTCTCGCGCTTCGGCACGTCGTCCGCGGTGCGCGGGTCCGAGAAGGCGGTGTGCGGGACGCGGCGCGCGCGCCCGTCCGTCTTCGAGTCGAAGCACTTGATCAGCAGCACCTCCCGCGGCGTCAGCCCGCTCTTGTAGTACCACCGGTGCGCCGGCGAGTACCGCACCGCGAACGTCTCGCCCTTGCGGTTCGGGTAGATCAGCGGCACGGGCACGAGCTCGGATTCGCTGACGGAGCCGGCGTCTGCGATGGCGAGGCTGTGCGAGAGTGGGTTAGTTATTTAGTTAGGTTAGGTAGGTAGCTTATCGCCGGCTCGTGTCTCGTCGAAAAGGGGAAGGGGGAAGGATGGGGAGAAGTGTGGGGACGGCTTACGGGTCTCGAAGGACGGTCTTGATGGGCCGCCACACGTTGATGATCTGAACGCGGCCCTTGAGCAGTTCGGCCGCTTCCTCGGCAGGGAGGTGGTGCGGCACACGCGATAGCGACGCGGTATACGTCTGGTCGATGTGGACCCGTTGGACGGGACCGCGTAGCTGCGCGCCACGGTCCGCGGATCGCACGTCGGCGGGCTGACGGCGGATGGTGTGGTCGAAGATGAAGATCTTGGACGCACCGGTTCTGTTCGTATCATAAGTAAGCTGTGCATACTTGTGTAGTTATGTAAGTCCCAATATCCAAAGGCAACCTACACATCCTTGAGCAGCTGCTCGGTCTCCGGATAATACACGGCCTTGATGTGCTCGTCGTCCACGAACTCCGTCTCCTGAGCCACGTGAGGGACGTACTGGAATCCGTTCTTGTCGAGCGTGTACTCGGACTCACGTCCTCGAACATCGGTTATATGGACGGGGTGACTCTCAATAGGACGGTCGTAGGTGCTGGGCCTGTCGGAGTAGGATGGATGTGGAGGAGAGCCGTCCTCGTTGTCCTTGTGGTAATTCAGGATCGTATCGACATCAATTGTCGACTGGCTGGTCGATGACGGCGAGACTTCGCTGGCCGCGAAGGTTGGCGCAGCGCTAGGGAGCTGGACGTCAGGGGAAGCCATTATGTAGGTACTTGGGTATATTGTCGTAAGTATTGTTGCGAGTGTAGTAAGCCGATGTATCTCGATAAGGAATTGAAGGTCGACGGGAGGCGAGCCCTGGTATTCTTATACTCATCTATCTGGGAATAGGTCGCCCTTGTCTTCGCTGGATGCTACCTCATATATACTTATCAGTGATGCAGTGAATGACCTCCCAAGTTAGGTAGACGGCATAATAGCTCTCCAAGCTTCCCCGCAAAAACGGCAGAGCACGCAATACTCCGGTGAGCATTGCGCAAGTACCACGGAGGATTTAATGATAGGACGTCATACGCCCAGCGGTTGATACGAGTGCCGGCATTGACGCATCTAGGCTCCTGTGGGTGGGCACTGATTAGAAATGATATTCTATTTGTAAGCCTGTCCCCTCTTTGCTTTCTGTTTCACGTTCTGTTGCTCCGATCCAGCATGACATTACATCCTTTAGAGTATATGGGGCTTGCAGAGGTAATTACTACTGAGTATTGCGTCCTATCGTCACACATGTATAGTAACGCATGGTACGATTACTCGACCCTTGGCACGCGCGTCAGCACAGTGATAGCCGTCCCATCATCTAACACCTCTTGCTTCTCTTCTAGTGTATATCGTCCGATTCGGGGTAATATAACTGTCCATACTAGCCAGTATAACACTCCGAATAGGAGTCTGTAAGTTTGTCAGCCTCCATGATTAGAAATGCGTACGATGTCGCCATCGGTGCATTGTGTAGGATAGGTTATCACTTACAAACCAACACTAACAACAGCGTACGTCGCATACCAGAGGCCATCGGGTTTCGGGTTTGAAGGCGGGAAAAATGGCGCTGCAAGAAGAGCAAGGCATAACAGTATCCTGAAGACGACGGCCGGAATCCAGGCTTTGAAGGGTCTCTTCAAGTCCGGTCTCTTGTATCGCAGCCAAACGAGACCTACAGAAGTCGCTAGTGCGAATATTTGACCCGGATAACCCTCCACTTCTAATATAAAGGAGTAGACTTCATCTGATGGTGGAAGTATAATAACGAGGACGGAGGGGATATAGTGCACGATGAGGCCGCCTAAGGGTGAGTTGAACGGTTTCGTCGAGGACAAATATCTCGCAAATGGCAAGAATCCGGCACGGGCAATTTCTTGGTTTAGACGAGCCTAGATTTAGTTAGATTCCCAAGTCTGCTCATGGGCCTGATATGTCTTCGACGGAAGTCTTACCACCGCAAATGTGACTACCATCACGTTCCCTACAGCTGAGAGTGCGACAGCTAGGGGTAGAAATCTCTTGCCAATATTTGGGCCGAAAGTGCGTTCGAAAAACAAGGCGGCAACCAGTTGACCACTTTGCTTGATATCGTCGATTGGCACCACAGCGAAATAAGCCAAGTTAGCTAGCAAGTAAAGGAGCAATGCCGTAAAAAGGGCCGTGAGCGAAACAGACTTTAGTGTCCTAACCGGATCTTTGACTTCATTCATAACATTATTTAAATTCGAAAGGCCGGCGTAAGAATAGAAGACTTTGAAGAGCGATGTCGCGATAGTTCCAAGATTCCAGTCGCTTCCCTCCCATAGCCCTTCCCAAGAATGCAGTTTCGTCGGTTGGATATCCGCATCTTCCTGTTCCGGCCTGAATATCACGACGTAGAGAGCTGCGAATACCATGAACAAGACCAATCCCACTTTAATCCAGCCTAGGAAGTTCTGAATACGTATACCAGCCTTATACCAAACGCCGTGAATAATGGTGATGACCGTGATAACCGCAACCGCGAGGGACTTCTTCGAGAAATCGCTAGGCTCGGCGTCGAATACGAAGTGCACATACTGGCTAAATATGATGCAGTTGCTTGCGGTAAACCCTAGAAGCACAGCTTGGACGGCGATCATGGTGGAGGCGAAGAATCGAGGCCAGGGATAGGTAAACTCGAGATATACTTTATCGCCGCCGGACCGAGGCAACATGCAGCCATATTCCAAAGACACTGTAAGTCCACATGCCACTATGATAGCACCCAGGATCCAAATAGAGAGCGAAAGACCTATGCTCCCGACTGAGGTTAGGATTACTCCCGGAACCGCAAAGATGCCGCTGCCAATAACCCTAGATATGGCGATAATATAGGCGCTCTTCCAGTCGATGTTCCGGCCTAGAACGGATTCTTCGGGTAAGACGTCGTCCTCGATATTCCCGTATTCGGGTGGCGATGATGGACCGTCTTCTTCGCCATCATCGGTCGGAGGTTTGAAGATCGAAGACTGTGTCGAGGCGCGATCTATCGCATCTCCTCCTAACAGGGGACTATCTTCGCCGTGAGAAGTAGCCATATTTAGAACTCGAAATGATTTCGTTGCCGGTCGCGTAAACTAAGCGATGAGAATGGTTCTATCATATTCCCTTGATGTAGTTGACTAGTCGATTCTTCAAGGTGGAAGACCAAAATCCATTTCTATCATTTTGGCGATGATCGAAAATGACGCCTTAGAATCCATCTGACTTCGGAATGCGTGATCTGCTGACAAAGGTACGGCTAGAATCGCCGTTGCGCAATCGTGTTGTTTCACTTTTACCACTCAGCCCTGTTGACGTTCTCGCACGCCATATCCCTTACCACTTGCACCACACGCATCACCCACACCGACCCGTGGGGTGCCCGTGCTGATAACCACTGAGCGTCGCCTGAAGTCGCTAGCCAACCGGAAATCCACCTTATCTCTGCCTGAAAGCCCTTCGTGCACCCCCAAGCCAGCCCGATATGCCATCCATCCCTTCATGCACGCACGTCGCCGACATGATATTACTAACAGAGTTATGGATATTGATGTACCTACCTGGTACGTGACGGATCAACCGGGACCAAACGGTGGGCCTCGCACCGATCTAGCTATAATTAATTTACATCAAGGACGAGTGGTAACATTCTCATCGTCTATTGGTTTGATCGACGACTGTTGGTGTTTCTGTGTATTTTTCATTGATTGCAAATTGGCTGTAAGAAGCCTCAGTTGGCCAACATGGAATATATAGGTATGTACCTATCTAATCTCCCAATCGACAGCCACATATACCTAGTACCAACCCATCCATAGGGCTGATAGAAGCCGTTTCTTGGCGCGAACCCGCACAAATTACCGAAGCGTATTAATCCATCAGCCACCCCCTTTTCTACTGCCAGAAACTTACCTGGGTACCTTCCTTATAAATCTACCAATGTAAGAGAAACATGAGAAACAGACATTCATGAACCATTAGCAATTATCGTAACACCGCATCGTAGAATCGTCCCAGGTAATATGCCAGCGAGTGAATGTCCATTAATTGGGTACATAAGTAAGGTGACCTGTTTACCTATCTGGGTTAGGTGCTTAGATGATCTGGAAGACGGAGCTTCGGAGGCCTCTGTCTATTCGGGCTTTCATCTTCTCTTGGTTTTCTGTGATAGTCGCACGTGCAACAATTCGATGTTTTACCGCATCCCTTGATCCACCATCCTCATGCCTCATCTCCCTAAGAATTACATAGCATGGGTATGAACAGATAATGGAGAGGATGTCTCCCTCTTCTACGCGTGCTGTAGCAAGTCCCATGATCCCATCCATTGTCATGAATGCATACGCCCCAGTAAGTGCAAGAAATAGGGAGTCGAGATAATTGCGAAAAATCTCGTGTGTAGGTCCTAGAGCCCATTTCTGTAAAGGTATGCCTAGAGTTAAAAGCGCATCAATCTCATCAAAGGTTGGGAGTTCGGGTCCTGCTTTCCCATCATACGTTAGTTTAGTCTCGACTAGGTTTCTTTTGACATGTGTCATGAGCTAGCTTATATGACAATCCTTACTTAATCTTTCTGTCTCTGTATTGATTGACGGACCTGAATCTCCGGTTCTTCTTGCCGTAATGTCTCTTGTAGTATCTTGCATTTGTCTTTCGAGCCTCAAAATCTTTCGGCCTGCTTGTTCAAGAAAACGTGATGTGAATTGGGTGTAAATTTTAACACCGCCTTCTCTTAAGTCTGGAAACCGCTCCTTGTAATAAACAGTGCTTATAGAAACCCCCGAGCAAAAGAGAGACCTTGGAGTTGCGAAGCATTTAGTCTGCTCACGTGAGACGCCGCATATAGGAGGACCTCTATCTTTAATACGGAGGATGAATCTATGAGGTGTGATTGCATCGGAACAAGCCAAATCGTGAACCCAAGAAGGGCCTAAGGCGCCATCGTCGAGGCTATTATACTGCTCGACGGATAATTTGTAACAGCAGATCGCGGCTCCTGCCGACTGATTCCAGCCTCGAGCTGTGGCGCGTTTGAATACAGCGTCGGTAGATTCGTTATAATCCACGTTCATGAGTCGCCCTATGCTTCTGATTAGGAGAGACTCCAGTGCAAATATTTTATCACGTGGGTCGGTAGCGCGGTAGCTATCGGCTGCTCTAAGGACAAATTGAAATAATCTGTCCTGCGGGTTTGACAGATGCACTTGTTTCCGTTTCTCTGGGCGAAGCATAAGGAGAAATAGATTATCGTATATTTGCCTTTCTCGCCAGTGAATGATTTGGGAGACGAACGCAATATACATGTCATTATCCCCTATTCAATATATTAACTTAAGCTTCCGTGTTGGTTCTATTTCTAGTCAATATCACCAGATCTTTCACTACCGGTGCTCTAAAGAAGAGGGATGATGACATAAAAGAAGGAAACGTGTTTACTTACTATTTGCCGTTATAAAGGTGTCGGGAATTGATTTCCATTCATCGTCTATTTTAGCAGCAGCATCCATGGCCGATATCAAGGTGCCAAACGGGAATTGATAGCCACGGAGATGTATAATTGGTTCATTCGGCGGCAACGCAGCTTCTTGTATCGTCCATACTCTCTCCCACCACTCGTGCATCAAAATGATATTCACACAGCGCATAAGCATTGTGCCCAGTGATAATTGCTTTTCGTCCCAAGCACTAATATCTGTCTGACACTTGAGGTATTCGTCAAGTATACTTGCAATATCGTACTGGTCCACCGAATTTCCGAAGCCTTCGGGCACGGTGGCAACAACATTTAGGGGATCTCTCACGAAGTCTGACTCGGTAATCATTTGCTCGGTGGGCCAGTCGCCCAGCCAGATGCTTGTTTTCTGCGCCTTCGAGTAGATATCTCTCATGAGTCGGACTTGATGGCTTTTCTCTTCGAGATCTGATTGATTTATGCAAATTGCGTCGATCCAGATCTTCCGGGTGACATCTTCGTGGCGTAAGCTCCGGAGGATATCGTTTAGCTTCGTGGTTATGTCAAATGAACTTCCATCGATATCAATAGCCTTATCGAATAAAGGTTTACCCCAGACATAAGACAAAGCCTCTTCAATTATATCGTTATCGAGATTGCGCTCTTCGAGGCTGCATTGTATAGGGCTTTCCTTAGGACCGGGTTGTATGCATAGGACTCTGATGTTCGTCGATTCGAGACGGTTTGGATGTCGGTAACCATCTTCCTTGGGCGGATTCAGAACCGGTTTATTGAGTGGAAATGGCTTGGCTGGCTGTGGTGATAGGGCCTTTGACTTCTCATTCAAAGCTTCCAAGAGTACAACAGCCCTGCTTCGATCTTCCATTACTTCCAGAGCCTGTTGAAGAGTAATGTCAATGTCAAACACATTAAGAAGCTCGTAAATCGCAGTAGTGACGATGTCGTAGAAGATGACCCATAAATAGTTAAAAGGGTTTTCCTGAAATAATAGGCTTGGATATTTTCTCTGGTTGAGGTCCTCAGGCCATCGATCGGGCTCTGGCGAGTTCGAAATGGAAGTTTTCAGCTGCCTTATGACTTGATGCAATCCGAATTCTCCGTAGAGAAACTCGTCATATGACTCTTTAATGAAACGAAACCGAGAATCTCGCTTTGAAAGATCTTCCATAATAGCATCGACAGACTTTAATCGCATATCAACCAGTATTATAGGCTCAAATTGGGGCATAATATCTGGAGTCGACATTGTGTACCTAGGTAAGTAAAGATAGTAACTATTAAGCTGTGAAACAGGGCCTCGATTAGCCACTAAAAGTGTAGGTGATCAAAACATGGGTGCCTAGGTAGGTACCTACCATGAGCGAAGGGGACGTTAAGCTAGATATAGTTGAGAATCATTACGTTAACGCCCGGCTTGCCGTGATACCTCGTGTATTCTGCTACTGAGATTCTGACTGCTGGGGGCTGTGTTAGTGGTAAATATTATTTCAAGATAGCCCTAATAACCTTCATGTATTTGATAAATTCTCCCTGCTTAAAGGATGCGGCGAATGCGATGCCATTCCAAATTCCATTACATCCGTCTTGAGGCGCAAGAGTTCAGCGAAAGTTGACCTGTTAGATATAGTGGGACAGCTGACCCCCTTTCCAAGCCACAATAGCACAGCCGACGGGGGGTGCTGTTCGAAGTGGAAATATTAGATTAAAAAGTGAAGCCGAGAACACACCCAATCAACATCTGTTTGCTATCAAATATCACTATTAGATACTACGATTAAGAGGATGCGTAAGTTTTCTAACTTTGGTGGAGCAATCTCATATTGGTCTACCTAGATAAGTAATCTCCTGTAGGCCTCTACAAAGGGCGCCGCGCAAAACCGATGCCTTTTGTCCCAGATACTCCCGGCTTTGTACCACGGTTCCCTAATCCATATGCTGGAGAATGTAGTAGATTGCTCTCGGACTTCTTAGGAATCCCAGTACCTATCCGATATCATCTAGTGACGATGCCTGCCCCTTCCCCAAGTTGGGGTCTAAAAGCTCCGGCTAACTGCGCCGAAACACGTAAAAGGAAATACCTCCTACAAACACAAGACCCCCCTCCCGCCCCATGACGCCACTAAACCTGCCCAATCTCAGCTCAGTATGTAGCATGTAGCATGCAGCAGAGCCTTCATTTGTGCGAGGTAAAGACGTCATCGTCACCATCCTCCATATCCTCATCCTCATTCTCCTCTTCGCCCACTTCACCCTCCTCCTCTTCCTCCTCCCCTTCAGCCGACACATCGGCATCATTCCCATCGTCATCACCATCAGCAGCAGCAGCAACAGCAGCAAACCCCTCCCGATCCTCCTGCGCCTCCGGCTGCACCACGGGATACGGGCCGATATGCCCCACAACCTGACGCCGGACCGGAGTCGACACATCCACATCCATATCCCCATCCATATCCTCCTCCCCACCCAGCACCCGCGGCGCCGGCGTCCGCGCCCGTCTCGAAGACCGCGTCGGCGTCGCGGGCACGCGCTCGCGCTCGCGCACCCCGAACCGTCTACGGGCCGGCGTAGTCAACCCCTTCGGCAGCGCCAGCGGCCGTCTCGGGACCGACACATTCGCGCCGCTGGTCTTGAACCGCTTCGCGCTCGTCGGGGTGCGAGGGTCGGTACCAGTACCAGTACCAGAGCCGTTATCATTGCCGTTGTTATCGTTATCGTTGTTCGCGCGATTAAGATCCAGCCCCGCGACGCGCGAGCGCAGCGCGTCTACGTCGAGGGGCGCGGGCCGTTTCTTCTTGGCCTCGGACTTGGCCCCGGGAAGGGTGCGCGGGAACCGGCGCGTAGAAGAAGAACCAGAAGCGGAAGCAGCAGCAGAAGCAGAAGAAGGAAGATTGGGGAACGGCGGAGGCAGGTCGAACAGGTGCGAGCGCGAGCCCGGCGTGGACGGGATGCGCAGCCGTTTAGGCGTATGCGGGCTCCGCGGGCCCGACGACGAAGAAGAGCCCCTGATCTGCGCGGCGGCGGCGGCGGCGGCGGCGGCGAGGACCTGGTCCCCGACGCGCCGGGCCTGCTCCCGCGCCTCCGCGACCAGGTCCCGCCGCATGTCCATCTGGTACCGGTCGATGACTCGTCTGCAGCGGTGCCGCCACTGCTCCAGCATCGCCTCCTCGGTCGCGTCGGCGATCTCGGCGAGCGGCGCCCACGGCCGCATGGCCTTTTCGCGGATCGCCGCTACGTCCGGCTCGAAGGCCGTCGTGAACGCTTCGCGCCACCCCAGACGCATGCCGCAGCGCTCGAGCACCCTTCGCCAGGCCGCCTGCAGCTTCTCGACCATGTTGGCGAAGACGAATTCGCGCTGCGGGTCGCTAGGGATCGAGGCGTCCATCTGGTCGGCTAGCTCGTCCACGGACGAAGACCAGCGCCGCTTAGGGGCGCTGGCGCGTCCTTCGCCGAGGCTGGGGTTGCATAGCGTGGACGCTTCGATGGTTGATGAAGTGGTGGTATGGCTGCAGCGAGATGCGGCTGGTGAGGGTTGAACTACGTCGAGGAAGAGTGTTGGTGTCTGATGGTTCTCCGGCTCATCCTGTGAAGCAGCGTCATGGCCTCCAGTTGACTCTTTCTTGGGGGTTGTGGAACTGTCCACATCCATATTATCATCATGATCGTCGGCATGTTTGGGTGGTTCAGGGGAGTATGTTGAGACACGTGCTAGAAATGTGCCGTCATGGTATGCCTTCCGAAGCGGAGCAGTATCTTCCATCTGCAGCTCCTGGTTGGTCGCAGAATCACCCACGACTTGTAGGTCATTTGAGTTGTCGGTATTCATATTAGGTTGGGGAGTTGACATGATAGATGCTGGGGTCTCATCATCGCCAACGTCGTTATTGAGTGAAGGGTCGTTTCTCTCCATTGACACCTCGTTGACTGTATTGTCATCCTCCATAACAGGTAGCTCACTAGAACTATCAGCGTCAATTGGGGGAGATGTCATGACGTGATCAGGTTGGGATTCATCGACAGGATTAACAAGGGAGTCGGGCATCTGAGCGTCCGAATGGTCATGTTGAGACTCCATGGTGCCTTGGCAGTGAGTGGGTATGCAAAGGTAGGTAAAGAAGCAGTGTGTGAATTGACGGTTGAATAGGTACTAAGAAAGGTTTAGGATCGTCAGGTGTGAATCGCTTGCCCTGGTTCTTGACAAGAGAAGGTTAAGAAAGCGGGTAAGCATTTGTTTTGACGAAGAAGCGCAAGTAAATTCAACTGCTAGAAACATTGACCCGCCATCAAAGTCTTCGTTAATTGCCAAACAACTGCCCGTCAAGACCCATCTACGTGGAAACGGTGGCAAAATCTCATGGCTGCTGAGGCACGACTGCATGCTTGGGGGATATCGTGAGTACGATGTCCATAAGATCCACTAGTAGAGACCGCCTAATCAAAACAAAATGAAAAAAAAAAAAAAAATCTGATAAGTACCGCAATAAGAGTTACTGGATCATATAGGTACTGGAATGACACGTCTAGGTAGATATGTTCCAATAGTTAACATACGCCTCTATCAAACCCCTTTAATATCTTGACACACATCATCCTGGAGTTGTATAAGGCAATTAATATTATCATTCGTACGTACAGATCATAGGCTAGATACATATTGGCCTGTTGTAGCTACTGTAAGGACAGTGTATAGCAATACCTCAAACAATTTGAGATAGTTCTGATTCTATCATAGGAGGTACCCAGGTAGGTACCTACTCAGTCATACATCCCTAAGATCTCGCCAACGATGCTCTTGAATATACCCTGAGGATCGAACTTCTCACGCACAGCCTTGAACCGTGCTAAGTGGCTAGGGTCGAGGTTCTTGGTAGCGTTGGCGAATACATCACGGTTGTTCTTGGTCCAATGCGGTCTACATGGGAACTCGTCGATAAGAGCCTTTGTCAACCTGGGGTCTATGTATCGCAATTGCTGTTAGTTGTCTTGAAAATGGATAGCAGGGGGGTATGTAGATAGCTGAGAAACACTTACAAAAGTCTTCGTTGAAACGCTTCCCATCACCAATCATCGGCTTGAAAGTCGGGAAGTCAAACATGATAGCCCCCTTACTCCAATCAGCGCCATCAGACGTGTTATACGTCACCTGGCCTAGGAAATTGTAAAAAGGCTTTCCAAACTTAATATTGATGCCGCTACGATAGGTACTCGTCATAACGATACCCTTCGCAAGCTCGTCATCGAATGCTTGTCTCACGCGCTTGAGCATAGCGTTGGCCTGCGTGATAGGGAACGCGAGCTCAAGGGTCATGCCGTGCAGGCCTTCCTCCCACTCGGGCTTCTGATCCGGATACAGGCCTCCGATCAGCACGTCGTAGTTCCAGCCGTAGACGGGCCAGTCCAGGATCGCTTGCCACGTCGTCTTCTCACGGAAGTTGGGCGCGGACCACAGCGTGAACGCCGTCGTTTCGAAGAACATGTTCGAGGTTGCGAGATACTTCCCGCTCTCAAGAGTTGCTTTGGCGACGGTGGCTTCGGCGTCGGAGATAGAAAACGTGTTTTGGAAGCCTTGCTGGTCGCTGAGTGTTAAAGGCACTTCGTCATAGTACCGCCAGTGGAACTTCCTCATGTATGGCCACCACTATGATACGTCAGAGTGTGAGGTTACGAGATGAACTAGACTGAAGCTTATCGTACCCAGAAGTTGGCAGTAGCGTAGGGAGCAATCATGCCATAGATATCTCCATTCAAAACATCATCTTCATCCAAGCTAGAATTTTCATCAGCCAAGTAACATATATAGGCTAAGGGGGGATAGCACCTACGTCTTCTGTTGCGCGAAAACCTTGAAATCCGGGTAGATCTTGAACTTCATACGAACAATGACACCTAGTAGACCCAATGACGTTGACGCTGCGAGCCAATCGTCGTCATTGTCGTCCCTCACAATTGTCACAATATCGCCATTTCCGTTGACAATATCCATCGACAGCACGCCAGCTGCCACCATCGAGTCCTCTCGGATAGCGGAGCGATGTCCACCCATAGCCACCGCACCCGCCATCGTGATATTCCAATTCACGAGAGTATAGCCCATAGAAGCATTATTGCTATGAAGATAGTCGGAGAATTGTAGGAACGTCACTCCAGCTTCAATATCGACTGTCCCAGACTCGGCGCCTTCCGGAAGCGAGAAGTTCTCGATTTTATTCACGAACTCCGTCCGGACGATAATGGTCTCCGGGTTGTCTGAACACATAGTGTCATACCTTAAAGAGTTTCCAATTAGAACTATCATCTTACAGACTCTTCTAGAAGTTTATCCAAGTATCAAGGCCATACAAAGATAGATCGAGAAACCAGATGTATAGAATGGGATGGATTGATAGACAAGGAGAGAACTCGATATACTCACCACATGTGTCCTTTTCCCGAAGCCCTAATAGGCGTGTTGCTTGCAGAAGCATTCTTCACATAAGCCACAATATCGTCGACGCTGGTAGCATTGTGAACGAGCGCAACATCGTTGCAAGCAGGAAATCCATCGCCGTCGAATGTGTTATACGGCTCCGCCAAGACATTCCCCGCGCCGGTGAGGGCGAGGACAGACAGGAAGACTCGATTCAGAGTCGACATCTTTCAAGAACTTAACCGTCTTGGCAGAGGTCGGACTAAGCTCTGGCTTAATTTGGCTCTAAGCACTTCAGTTCCTGGTTGCCGGGTAAGAGGGCTGGGCGCAACCTCAATCCACGGCACGCGGAAGCCATGGCTCTTTGTATTCATAAAGGAGGAAGCGATGAAGCAACAATAAACCTAGGCATCTGATGTTCGATTTCCTCGTGATGGCGATCCATGTGCGCTTTCCCCTTCCCATCCCAACCTTATCTCCAGCTGCTATAATATGTACGCAATTCTTCATTTCCAACCTCGTGCGTGGTTGCCAGGGTTCCCTGGCCGTCTATTCGAGATTCTGGCGTATTAACAGCCGAGGAAACGGCGAGGATCTGTGCCTGCGGGAGTACAGGGTCTCAACCCGCCCGCCTCCTCGCCGGTGGTGGTATGCCTCGGATGTGACGTGCAGGTTCGGTATCACGAAAGTAACGCCTGTGATGCGATCGTCAATCGCAACGACGGGGCACTTGCCTTGCCCGGCGCCCATGACCGCAGCAATAGCCGTCCACAGATCTCGGCGTGATATCTAACCGTGCCAGGGTCCGCCATACTAACGACCTAGACGGCCTAGTAGATTGACGATCATCTGCCGTCAAAACCCCAGACCCAAGTCCGCCCTCCTTTCTCTCTTAGTGTTAGTGTCGGCGTTAGTGTTATTGGTGTGAGTAGACAACCACCAAGACCATGTATAAAGGAAGCAAGGGACGTTGGTGCCGATGTAACACCCCGCTAATTACGGTAATTGGTTACATAAAAAATACCCCTTTGACTGGCAATTCTCCTCAGCCAGGGATTAAGGGGCAGAGTATAACTTCAGATGACCTGGTGGGCCAGAACTGGAATAAAATGCGAAGGGCATATGATGACATTGCATCTACTTTTACCTTCTATCATATGAATTAGCAGTGCCCTATCTCAATTTTTTTTATAAGCGTTGAAGTATACCTACCTATTTTACCTCCTAACCCCTAGGTACCTAGTTACCTAGGACAACTGTTAAATAGTTAAAGAGATAATGGATTTGACTTACCAGCAATACAGTGACTGTTCAATCCCTGACTGCAGTTATTTGCCAGTTAAGGGGATAACTATGAATGTTTCGAGCTGTTGCTCCTGCGGCCAGATAGACGTTCAATATGATGATGAGATCTTAGGCAAAGCTAGTTTGATACGAAAATGAGCTGTCGTCTGGCCCCGAAATCCAGGGAGATGTTCTATGTCTAGATAGAACAGACGGCCCCTATACACGTTGCCTGAAGATGATGCAGCCCCTATTTCGACCTTGGTGTGCAGAAACCACATATATAATTGGCTAGTGAGACTTTCATGAGGCTGCTACCAGTCTTTCATCTCGCCGCTTCTCTACGATCTTCGATCGTGCCCTTGAAGAATACCTGCCGACAAGATGCGCCGGGTTTACTCACATTTGCTAACTTGCGCCGAGAGCAAAGCCCACTGTTGACCACTCTTGTTCTATATGTGTAACGTAGAAGATCGTAATTCGTTCCCAATATCCAATACCTTGAGTACAGTTAAGGAAGAAACGCCCGTGGTACTGAAGGAGTTTCGACACTCGCTGGGTATACTCGACCGTATAACAAGGCATGCATCTGTGCGGCTGAATGGGGCTAGGGACGGAGGCATCATCTGCTGTTGGAGGATAGTAAGACGGTAGGACGGTAGGTACTAAGACGTTAGGAGGATATTCTCTCGCGGAATGTAAACGTCATTGGCTTAGTCATGCCGTTGGCAAACAGTGTGGCGTCTCAACCGTCGTACGACGTTACACATGAACAGCCCAAGTTTGATACCTCACTTCATCGGCCGTTGCTTCCTGAGACATGATAATCTTCTGTACCGCCCCGATATCTTTAGACTTACTTGACATCCTCCGGATAAATTATCCTTAGGCTAACCCAAGATCTCTCTGGGTTTGAACGAATTCTCCACGTGAAGCTTGACTGCTCCGGAACTCGTGGGTGTTAATTGAATTAGCATGCACATGGTGCTGATTCCCGTCGTTCCCCTTAAGACTGCTTTGGCACCATTGCTAAATAGATACGAGCAAAAGCAGCTGTACTGGTCGATCCTGCTGGCGTCGCAATTATCACTGGAGCTACTAGGGCACCGCTAGGGCTGCCAGCCTTGTACTCTTTTCGCGACTGGGAGTGTTGAAGGTGAGCCCAGTTTGCCCAAGATTGTTTTGATCGAGCTATACAATGTTTCGTTCCTAGGCATCTCGTTAGCATTGATAAACAGACCCCAGAAGACAAGACTTGCCTATTGGTGACGCTTATCAGAGGATGGGCCCGTCGTTGAAGACTGTGTCACAGAGTGAGTGAGAGTAGCAGTTAGCTCGCCTTTGGCTCGCTCATACCTAGGTAGTAAAAAAACTTGATTAACGCCCATCCTCTCCTAAAACCTTTCGGGGCCTTCAGCTCCTTATATATTCGTCCCAGGTATTATATAAGCTGCAGCTAACTCGCTGTTATCCAGCCCCTTGCTCGTAGCTCCTGACAACATTGAAGAAAAGCCGTGAGGCTAAAGGCGAACGGCTGATTACCAGGTCTGACTTTCGATCGTCCTTGGTACTTTTCTATCCGAAGTCTATGGCAGTCCGTGGCGACGGGCATTTGAGACTACCGACCTTAAAGGTGTGATCAGATTTCTGAGTCCGGCATGAACTTGGATCTACATAGCCAGAAGAATATACTTGGCGTTTAACTTCCTCAGAAATTGGAATCGTGGATTGGATCATCTCACGTTGCAAGGTGATGATAATGAATTAGTTTATGTCCATGAGCTACACTGTACCTAGTTGTAACGGCATGGGCGAAAGCAGAGCTATGTTATATCGATATCAATTGACACTGTAAAGCAGAATGTGTCTAAGATGGTGACTTAGGTAGGTACGTATTGAACATTATGGACGTTCAGAGCCTCCTCCATCACCCACCCCAAACTACCGGCCCAGCAAGCCATATAAGGCTTGTGTATATACGCTTTTCAGGTGACCGCCATCGCTCTTATACCTTACGGAAGCATTGTACTAGAATTACGAAGGCGTACCCGCTAGAGAAGCTCCGCCTGTTAGAACTGCATCGATATCCGCAAGGGCTTCTCCGTCTATCTGTATAAAAGTGCCGGCTGCAGTCTAGGTGCGATCATCAACATCTTAATGAGAGTCACGCTAGAGCCTTGTCTGCGGTTGGACGTAGGTAAACTTGCAGACACAGAGAGCTTTGATGTTTTTTGCGAGTGATGGATGAGAACCCTGATAATTCATAGCAAATAGGAACCTTAGGTAGGTGTTCATTGCGATACCGCTTATTACTGATAGTTAAGTCGATAATAAAGTTCTTTTTGTCCTCAAGCTATCAAGCAAGATCTAGCGCTCCCCTGGGTAACGCTCCCTATTGGGGCGTGTTGAACATCATGTCCAATGATGCTGGTCTAGGTAGTTTTAATATGGCCTTCCTCTCCATTCACGGAGTAAACGGCATAGTAGATATCCTTTCGGCAAGGAATAGCGGTCTAAAAAGCACAGGGAGTTCGAATACTTGATCTTAAGAGTATTACCCGACGAAACAAATAATCAATTATGGTATGGATTAAGTCGCAAAATAATGCATGAATCGAGGATATGCACGGATTTCTTGATACCTACCTACCTACCTACCTACCGTTTAGGTAGGTATAGAAACATCGTCTTCCCATAGAGCGAATAGGAATACCTTCGCCAACCACATATCTAGGCCAGAAATTCAATAGAGCGCCAGATCAAACCCTTCAGATAGATCAAAAGGCCTCATTTCCAAGCCCCAAACACTTTCAAACACCAGGCATATCTACCTACCTGCCTAATAGGAAACATCCTCCAAATACGATGACATACGTACCTACCCATCGCAGACTCACCGCCTTACATCATATATATTACCTATTGGGAGGCACATTCGGCTCTCCGGCAAGCCAGCGCCAAGCGAAGCTGTAGCCGTCCGTACCTTGCATACATAATACTACGTAGGTAGGATATACTATAGATGACATACATAAAGTGCCTAGCTTACCAACCAGCCTGCCAGCCAGCCCAGTTAGGCAATAAGCTAAGTCGCATAAAACAGGGGAGCCGCAAGACAGGGGTCCGAGACGCCCCGGGGAACGTCTGGAACGAGGCTTCGGCTCGCTACTGCGAACTCCACGGTTTGAGATTCTGCCATCCCAAAGCTGGGCCTAGGTGGGTTGAAAATTTTCCCCTTTGCTGCTTATCTCGCTTGCGACACGAGAGATCCAAGATTTGCTGGTCTATGTTCCTTCCAGCTCCCAAAGATCTGGTTTTGCTCCATCTCAGCTTGCTTCTCAGATCTCAGGTCTCACGTATGTAGTAATTCAAGTTCAAATTCTAGAAGATCCCATTCACAGAAGACACTAAATATTAGTTTCTGATATATGTGCTTCCCATTCCCTTCTAGCTATTTAGACTACCCACTCCATATCACTTCGATGAAAAAAAGAAAATAGATATGGAAAAAAACCAAGCCTCATTGAAAAATGTACACAGTCGGAGCTTTGGTGGTATGATCATTAAAAAGTATTGTCGTAGCGCCCGACCGCCCCGGGACTCTCTATTCTGCCACACACAGCGTGACATTACATTAACATCGGCCATGAACGTCCGCAGCGAAAACAGAGAGCCATAAGAATCAAAAACAAGTTAGTACCGTCACCCGACAGAGAAACCTGCCGGGATGCCGTTTCATGTCGTTCCCTTCCCCCAGATCACAACTACGCCGCCGCTAAGCAGGCTTGCTGTTGCGCTTGGCAGTCGGAAAGTGTGAAACTAGCACCAGCATTTGCTGCGTCGCTACAAGCATTGTTTTGGATCTACGCCAGTCAGAAAGAAGTCAAGAAACAGGGAAAGAATCTAATACTCACATCGCAGGATCTCTGCTTTGCAGCCGCCTCGTTCACAAACGTGTTCCTAGATAGGAAAGTCAGATACGGTTCGTAGAAAGGTGGAGGAATTATACTGACCCGTTGACAGCAAACGGCCGACTAGCATCTCCAGAGTTTGTCACAGCTGGAGCTGCGCCGCCAAGGTTCTTAGTCTGTTGGGTACTGGTGTTAGCATTACCGCCAGAACTTGTAGTTGTTGTATTCGTTGAATTACTTTGGCCTTTGCCATTTTGTCCCTTGCCTGCGTTTGCACCCGCATTCGCCTTAGCACCGCCGTTGGCATTGTTGCCAGCGTTCGCGTTGTTACCAGCATTGGCGTTGTTTCCGGCATTCGCGTTGTTTCCAGCGTTGGCGTTGTTGTTACCATTACCACCAACTGATACTAGTTAGCTTCCGCATAATTATGCGGTACTATGGGGTAGAAACTTACCAGTGAACTTGTTGCAGTCATCCTGAGCACCACGCTGAGCCACAGGCATGAGCACAGGCTGGTGGTTAGCGGAAGAGAACATAGTGCAGACACGGTAGTTTCCAGCGGGAAGACCACCAGTGACAGTAGCCGACAGAAGACCCTTGCCGTTACCCGCGTCGTTAATACCCTTGAAGAAGACGAATTGGGTAGCGTCGAGGGGTTGAGTAGGGTTCAACGAGTTACCCAAGTCCTGAACAGTAACGTGAGTGTGACCAATGATGTTTCCTTGTTGGTTGAGGTTCTGGGGCGCCGAGTAGTAGGTGTTGTCAGCGTTAGTGAAGGTACCGGCCTGGAAGTTGTCGACTTGGACCTGGATGTTGAAGTCTTGGTTCGCGGCGATGTTGTCGTTGTGCTGAGGGTTAATCAAGATACTGGAGACCATGTTGGTCTGCGCAGGGATTTTACCCATGACTAGTGACTGTTAATCGTGATCCTCAAATCTAAGGATCTATATAATAACTTACCAATACCGTTACAAGAGCCCTGCTTCTGTTGGAGACCGTTGGTCAGGGTCTGACCGGAACAGAAGTTGATGAAGTTGGCGTTGTCGGTGTCCGATGCCGCCTCCCCTTCGGCGGCATCCGGGTTACCGTCCTGCTGCGAGCCAGTCTGAACGGCATTGGCGTCCAACGTCAACGAGGCCTGGGCGTTGTTGTTGCCATTGTTGTTGTTGTTGTTCTGGCCGTTGTTGGCATTGGCATTGGCATTCTGGCCGTTGTTCTGGCCGTTCGCCTTCGCGTTCTGCGCATTCTGAGCGGCATTCTGCCCGTTTTGGGCGTTGTTTTGCGCATTCTGACCAGCGTTTTGACCTGCATTCTGACCATTCTGAGCGTTTTGACCCTGAGCCTGTCCCTGACCTTGACCCTTGCCAAACTGTCGAGTGTTGAGAGCTCGAACGGCTCTTCGGTTCATAATCTGGTCGTACGGGCGGCTGATGGCGGTGGCCTCAGTGATGGCCGTGACGCCGAGAAGGGCGACGAGAACACTCTTGGCATGCATGGTGAATGAGATATACCCTTAAACTGATCGAGCGAGGGGACTAATTCTTTTTCTCTCCGGGTTTCCTTGGTTGAAGAATGGAAATGGTAAGATCCAAAAATGGTTCCAGACCGTTTTCGAATTAGCTGAAAGGAGTGGTCACAGACAACACTGAAGTGAAATGGAGCGGGCAGATCCCAAATGCTGTCGGAAGAAGAGAACGAATGTAAAAAGACACACTACCAGCGCATTCTAAAGTGGAAAGAGAAAGGAATGAAACTCGATAGAGATTCTGAAATAAAGAATTAAAGCTGATGAAGAGGATGGGACAGAAGGATAAATGGCTTGAGGGCCAAGACTTTCCTTATTATATACTCCACCGATGGGAGACAGGCGTCTCGGACGGACTGTGCCTGAATGCTCATGGAATCAAAGGCATCCGCAACGAACACTACATCATCTTCCCTTGCAGGTTCCATCCACAGGAGCTGTATCCACAGTCTCAAAACGCGGACGGGGCATGGGAGGGAAGAGACGATGTCAAGAGTAATGAGAGGAACCCGAGCAGGGCGTGCAAGGTAGTGAGTGTGGTAGCAGGGGTACGGGATGGACATCTGAGGCTTGAGACCTTGGCTAGCCCTGACCCCGGTCTGCCTGGTCCAGCAATGAAGAAAAGATGTGCATGGAATATGTGCATGGGGGAGAAGCTTAAACGATCCTCGTCGAATACGAGTGTACATACACCTTGTATGTATCTTGCCTTGGGCTGCTTAGGGCCTCCCCAGGGTCCTTTCTCACCTCCTCGGAGCGGCTCAAATCTGCGGATGGAGTTGAGGCTGGATTGAGTGAAGGATCTGCAACGGATGTTGTATCCTAGCTATAGTAGCTGACTTGACTAAGGACGTAAGAGGTAATCTCGACGTTTAACTACTTTATATGTTGCCAACCTCTGAGTAATTCAGTATAGGTATTGTAGTAGAATGTACATAGCTTTCCGTGAAGATCTGATGTTACATTCGTCTCTCGACGTCGAGCTGGTCCTATGAGTTGGACCTGTCAGACTTGAGATGACACCTTCATGAGAGTTGAGCATAGACGACTGCGCCTCTTCAAGACGATGATCAACCAATCGATTGTAGATTGGGATATAGAACCGCTTGGACTGTATGTAAGTCATCGTCGCGTGCCAGAAGTGGTGAATGTATTGCAATGGCAATTCCGGGGAAAGTCCCATTAAGGTTGTAGTGGAAGAAGTTGAAGAAGGGGGCGCTAAGGCTTCGGCCAGCTAAGGACCGAAGAAGCTGAAGTGGGTCAGCCAAGCGGCCATTTGGCTTTGCGGCTCGATACGTCGCAGACTCTCCACCTTTTCAAGGATTCGGCCAATGAAAGTCCACCTTTCTGCAGAAGATCAAGCACGCTGAGTTTCGGCCCCCTGGAGCATTCTGAGGCAAAACATCCCGACAAAAAAATTAAGCGCGGATCTGTGCGGCATACTAGCTAGCGCTAATAAAGATACCAGATACCTAAACGATGTACTATAGTCTCCTTTAAGTGATTTTCGGCCAATCATATATGTCGTATATTATTACCAGCGAGATATTACTTCGGACGGCGGACAAATTACCTAGTTGCAATGGTCACTTATCGATTAAGTACAGATGGCAGATCCTTTGGAATGGTATAGCCCATCAAACTCATCCATTGTTTTGACGTTGGATACGAAACGAATAGCTTAGCTCCTCTAAGATCTAGGTAACCTATCTAGGTAGGTAGGTAGGTAGGTAGGTAATATGCTTAATATTCGTGGTTTCTATTAGATGGATATGCGCTATCATGAGAATGAAGACGGTGAGTCCGCATCCAGGTATCAATTGTTGTTGAGTAAGCGGATGATAGGATTCAATCGTTATGAATATGTTACTTAAGCTCATGCATAGGTGACATACGTATGCCCAAGTATGATATAACGAACAGACTGTGTCTATCACCATCGTCCAAACATGGGATCTACTTTCCCTGATCTATCCGGACCCGCTGTGGGTGATGTAAAAAAACAAGCTTAATCGAATAAGTGTACATTATCAAGATGACCTCGAGTATTTGTCACCGTAGTTGGCCTGGGGACGCATAGAAACCCTGCTCCCCTTGGAAGCCCCTTGTCACCCGGCGAGCCATGTTGGAGTCGAGGTTGAGACATTGTGAAGAAACGTCAATGCAAAATAAATCCGATCTAGATGTTGATCTCTTGCCAAGGCCGGATAGAATAGCCACTTTAACAAACCGTTCTTCAGAAGTGCCACCAGAGCGCTTATCCATTCCCAAAATCCCAATTGAGGCTTTTCGATCGACTAAGGAAATAAGAATCTCTTGATCTTGGCATCTTGGTCGTGTTATTATTTCCGGCATCAGAGCGATCTCCACGAACCGTGCGATAATAGATGAGAGCTCAAATCTGTTAGATGCATTGGGTGCTTTACTGGCATAACGAGCTTTGGTATCTGGGAGGATGCGTTTAGCGGAACTCGGCACGCCTCTGTCGAACTTGAAAGTGAAAGTTTTTAGTCGGAGAATTTTGATTCAAAGCTAATGAGGAGGATCGCGAACTTTCGCGATATCAACTCGTATTGGTCTGCCTAACCCCAAAGTTCTTCTAGTAGAGGCCCCTGAAACTGTTGAAGCTTATTCACCTCCTTGATATTGCGGTGTTCTCAACCTCCTAACTACCTACGCGAGCAACGAGCCAACCACTTCGTCGGCAATCTCATCCGAGAATCTTAAATGAAAGATTGGAGGGATTCCCTTACTGGGCTGCGACCCAGATCGCTTAAGCAAGTGGCTGCATCTAACGAGACGCAATAGGCAAAGCGCGCTGAAGAGAAAAAGAATCCCACCTAAAGGCCCAGGCGAAACACCCCTGTAAGCCCCAGCTCCTTATATGTCCCCTGATAATTCTAGAATTTCCTCGGTATCACAAATCCCATTGGTCTGCTTGAGCCTGTTACACCATAGCTCCGTCTTCACGGGGCATTACTACGGGGGGCACAGTCATTAAGGTTGAAAACAGGAGAAACATTCACGAAGAGCCGGAGTTGAGTTGGGATGAAAATGACGTCTCGACTCTAGGCAGTTTGACATGAAGTCCGATTGAAACAAAAGCCTTAGGGACATCATGATAATACCTCACGTTTACTTGGCACAGTCAGTGCCGAAGATCTTCTCGCTCTTGGTAATGAGGATCACTTTAGAGAAGTTAGCGAAGAGCCTCAAACTCCCTCTCTCTGATCTACGACCGGATTCGACTGATCCAAGATTTTGACAGCGCGGCTGCCGGTGCGACATAGCAATCGAATGGTGGTATCGAACGGTATTGCGCATGCTTACTCTTCAGACGAGATTGATCTTCTCTGGCTATACGTTTCCATTTCGTCGGTGACAGCTTCGGCGTGCCGCGTCTCTGTGACTCGGAGTCAGACGAACAACCGGTTCTGGGCGCCTCAAGCGCCGGTTTACTCGGTTTTTCCTGTTTGACTAATCCAAAATGCCAATGAGGGTAAGGGTCGACGGCCGGAGCTGCTAGGCCCTAGGTAACCCGAGTTTGAGGCATGTCCCATAATGCCCTGGTGAAACCCGGCAAGACCCCTGATTCACGATCAAGGCTATCACGTGCAAGCTTCCTTTTGCAGTGCATCGCATAGGATTTTCTGTATGTATTGATCTGTGACCGAGATCGTAAGAAACGCCAAGGCCCGGTGCCGACGAGGACATGGCATATTGAAATGTCGAATTGCCCATTTTGAGGATGCGATCGCAGTCGTCCTGGCCAGCCAAGACTCTTCCTAACTCTATCTTATGTCGCTCTATCTTGGCTTTAAGCCTGAAACCAAACATAGCTGCCTTCCTAATAAGCTCTTATATGACAACTGGAAACCCCAATCTGTCAAATTTCACATCACTGCCTTCGCCAAGAAGTTCGAGAAAGTTTTGTATTCTATATGCCCTGGTCATCATAGGTACCGAGTCTAACGGAATAAGAGGGCTTGAAAGCCAACTGGAACGCCTTTGAAGACACTAGAGGATTTTCGCGGGCCGCACCTAAGACTCGGCTAATGGCATTCACTGCCTGCCTAGTAGATATATTACTTCAAGTACTATCAAAGGTGAGTTCAATCCAGAATTCTCTTAAAACGTGAATGAAATCGAAGTTTCCAAAAAAGTCCATTCCTCATTCCTAATTCCCGCAGACATTGATAACATCTATGCAAACCACAGTTCTAGCATAACAAACCTTCCTAAAGGAATTCGTCTCATAGTTCGTCGACGACCGCACCGGAGAGTTTGTCGGCTATGAGATCTAACCAAGTAGCGAGACGGTACCCTGCCTTAGCCACCTGTATCTCGATCACGGGGGCGGCTTTTTCATAGTAATCGCCCGCGAGCTCCTGGCCGACAATTGCCTTGGGACCTTCTGGGAACACTGCGCGGAATATATCAGCTATTCTGTTGTAACTCGAAACATAAATCGAACAGGGATTGAATTACCATGTGTGCAAACAACAGCGTTGGACTCATTGGCCCATCCCATCGCGGTGCCGATAGGGTCATCTAGACTGATGTTGTCGGCCCAGGATTTACTAGCTAGCTCATACTTGCCGGACTTGATTTGTTCGGTTAGATTGGCAGCCCACGCATATCCCGCCACATAAGGCTTTCTGTGAATACCGCCCAACATCTTTTCGGCGATGCTCGAGTCCCAGACGTGGTGAAGGTTCAGCTCCGACGATTCCCATTTCACGTGAATCCCGTTACCTCCCATAGCGACATTTTCCACATGCAGCGGCTGGTGGATATCACCGACGAAGTGAATCACGAATTTGGCAGCCTGGCTTCTGCGCCACGGAAAGAGGTCCGCATCTAGCAGCTGGGAGGTGTAGTTCTGAATCGAGCTCACGACACAGCCATCCTCCTTGCAATCCCTCTCGAAGTCGACGCCGCAGTAATCGGGCGGGGTGTCCTTCGCATCTATGAAGTGGAAATTCTTACTGAAACGTCCCCATTTTGTGTATCTGATGCTGTCAGCCCAAGTGGCTACTCCGGCAAGATAATGCTCGGTGTCGTTCTTCAAGATATCCTGGAAGTAAGTAGTGGTGCTGTCCTTTACAAAGTTTGACGCAATGTAGGCAACGGTGATGTGACCCAAGCCTGAAAATGAGTTAGCTAGCCATTTGATCGCCTCGGGTATTGTTATCGATGTTTTGTTACTAACTTCCCCATGCTACCGCACCTGGCAGTAAGAATGAGCCCAAGGCCAGAGTAGATTGACTCAGTCTCATGATGACAGAGATCTAAGACAGTTTAGGTATAACAATTAATAATACTTCAAAACTAAAATGATTCTTCTTATTGTTTCATAGATTGTATGTAAAATATGAGTTACAAGAATGAATACAATTGATTGTCACTGGTGATAACTTAACAATGCGCGTCTATTGCATTGTGAGTTTTCGTGGCATGTGCACGAACTTGGTTGTCAAGGGAACACGCATGATCATCGCACCTGATTTGCTGCGTATGGAGGCCGCCTCGTGGGCGACCGGCTGCAGGCGTTTAACGCCCTACATAATCAGACTTCGGCTTAAGACTCAGATAAGGTTACTGCCGTCGGGATATTTTAACCTTGAGTTTTGATTTCTGAATATTAGTTACATATTCGAGATAAATGATAAATTGATTCACTCTGAGGCACATGTTAGGTTTGATGTTTGTCATAGCTTAAATTTATCGGCAATACTTGAGATACAAGATAGTGGAATTACGGGGTATTCCGCAGTTGCACTGGCTGCACTGGTTGAATACAGCGCCACGAATAGGAAATAAAGCAAAAAGCCAACTGCGTCATTGGTCTATCATCTCTATCCGTTGCGGAGTCAGCCCCATACCCCCAGAGACCCTTGGCTTACCTCGGGGCTGCACGGCGGGCGCAGGCACGAACTGTTACTGCACCAGCTCTACTCTGGCGCTAAACCTCATTGGCCAGTAGTATGGCTCGTATGCAGTCCTTATCTTTGTGCGACGCTGCACACTTGGATGGATGCGACTAACGATCGGAGGACACCTGAGATAAGGGAAAAGAAAAGAGGAAAGAGCGAAAAGGGAAAACTCGAAGCCACCACCAACTCGTTGAAACAGACTTCCAGCTGACTCTGACTCTGACCACCTTTCTGGTTTAGCCTACATACATATGCGTACCACCTGATCAAAGCTGACTTCAATGTTCCTCTCTTTAACCTTAATCTCAAAGTTCCAACTGCCCTGCCCGTTTTTCCATCTTTTCATTTAGTTCTTCATTCTTAACTTACTGCGACCATGGAGGCGAACATCGTCGACACGACGCTAACGCATGGCCTCTCTACCAATGAAATCCTGTCAGGAATATTCGGCAGCATTAGTTTGACTGCATGGATTTGCCTACTTGTATGTCTTCTCGTGGCTCTACGACTAGAGACTTATCGCATACTGACTGTATGACGCGATAGCTTCCTCAACTTATCACGAACTACCGATCCAAGAGCGCTGAGGGCCTGTCCATGCTATTTCTGGCTGTCTGGCTTTTTGGTGACATTTCAAACCTCTCGGGTACGGACTTGCGGACTTTCGATATATATGAATATGACCTGTCGCTAATCGTTGTCTCTTATCTCTAGGTGCTCTCGTAACCGGACTCGCGCCCACAGCGTCAGCGCTCGCAGGCTACTTCTGCATCTCCGACGTCATCCTCATCACGCAATCCCTGTACTACAACGTCCTCAACGCCCGCAAGGACCGGAAGGCCCGCCAGCGAACTCGGTCAACCCAATCGGAAGCTTCTGAGGACGAGCCCCTACTACAACCGCGCCGGAGGTCGTCGAGCGGCCTTCCGGGTTCGCACCGTCGCCACTCGATCCACCGAACGGAGTCTGGCTTCGCCCCCATCAAGAGGGTTGTCACAGGCGAGGATGACACCCCCGATAGCAACCCTTGGCTACACAATACCATGAGCGTCGCGGCGATCTGGATTGTCGGCGCCGCTGGCTGGTTTGTGTCGTACAAGGTCGGTGCTTGGGATAAGGATGACGCTCCTGAGGAACCGAGTACCGAAACGCCGGTCGCTATTTTGGGATTGGTGTTAGGTTACGCGAGTGCGATCTGCTATTTATGGTGTGTTTGATTCATTGGTCGCGTGCTCTTTGATATGTGCTAACCCGAATAAAGTGCCCGTATTCCCCAGATCATCAAGAACTATCGAGAGAAGTCTTGCGAGGGCCTTGCTCTCCTTTTCTTCCTACTATCTTTAACCGGTAATCTTACCTACGGCCTAAGCGTCTTCACCTATTCCCCGGAACCGGCGTACATCATCAAGGCCATCCCTTGGCTTCTCGGATCCTTGGGTACTATCGTTGAGGATTGCGTCATCTTTTACCAGTTCAGAATCTATTCGGGAAATACGGCAGCTAAGAGGAATGCTACCGAGGAAACAGCATAGGAGCGTCGATTCGGTCAGCAGCCTTATGCATTTTCATCTCGATTGGAGGATTTATACAAATATTAAGGTCACCATGGCGATTGCATTTACGGCGTTTTGCATCGGGGTTTTACAGTTCACCCGGCTGGTATCTCCATTGAGGGATTGATCTGGGTTCCATATCTTTGGGATGGGTCTATTGCATCAAAAGTCAACAAGTTGGGTTGTCATTTTTCACATCTCGAGTAAGTCTTCTGGTTGCCTTCGGTGGCGGGCGGTCACATTTCAAAGGTCTAGTTGCATGGGCATGATTATTTCTTATCCTGAGGGATGCTCATCAGACAACTAGAGGCTATCATCCATAGACTCATAATAGAAATTTCGAGGATATGTGGAATGAGATAGGTCTATATTTCTTCTCTACGAATAAAATATCATATAATATCATTTGAAGATAAACAATTACATAATTGGTGAAGTTTTAGGTAATTGATTCAAACTGTACGCCGTATGGGTTCGGGTATTCAAATCAGTATGATAGGTACATGGGTACTTTTGACATTCAGACCCCTGTATGCCGGTCCCCCTTTTTGATTGCACTTACCCCTGCACGAAACATCCAATTTCAGCGGGAGGAGCGACTTCATCTTTCTCCTGTTTTCTTATTATCATCGTCACTGTCACCATCAACTAAATTCGTCATTCCCTTTTGCTTTTTCCCGCTGGTTCAGTCGAGCTTCCATTCCTTCGCGTCGGCTCCACCATTTTCACTCTTTTGAACGCCAATTGCTATTTTTTGCGGAACGTGCATACGATAGAAGAGATACCCCCGAAGAAACTACGCGTCTGAAGGATAAATAGTACGGGATTAATTTTTCGAAAAAAGAAACACGATGCGCTTCACCACCATCCTCTCGGCTGCTGTGGCCACTGGCCCTATCGTGGCTTCGGCCGCTGGACAGCTAGGCTTCGCGCTCGGCAACAAGAAGGCGGACGGGACGTGCAAGGCGACTAGCGACTACACGGCTGATTTCGCCGCTCTTTCCAAGGAGACTGGTACCAAGGTCGTTCGCATCTACGCCGCTTCCGACTGCGACGTCGCGAAGCTGATCTTGCCTGCTGCTAAGACGGCCGGCTTCCAGGTTATCCTGGGTATCTGGTATGTTACATTATGCTATTTTCATTATATATGATGCAAGATCAATTATAGCTGTCAGTACAAAAACTAGCCGGGCATCAGTAACTAACAAATCACACCAACAGGCCCGACACCGACGAGTCCTTCCAAGCGGACAAGGCCGCCGTCGTCGCCAACGCGCCCAAGTACAAGGACCAAGTGTACGGCATCACCGTCGGCTCCGAGTCGCTGTACCGCGGCAACTTCACGGGGCCGGAGCTGCTGGAGAAGATCCAAGACGTCAAGTCGGCCACGGGCGGCGCCTTCAAGATCGGCACGGCGGACTCGTGGAACAAGTACGCGGACGGGACGGCGGACGCGATCGTCAGCTCGGGCGACGCGGACATCCTGCTGACGAACGCGTTCTCGTACTGGCAAGGCCAAGTCCTGAGCAACGCCACCGGCTCCTTCTACGACGACATCTTCCAGGCCTTCGGCCACATCCAGGAGAAGGCCGGCGGCACCGACAAGATCGAGCTCTGGGTCGGCGAGACCGGGTGGCCGACGGGCGGCGACAAGTACCAGAACGCGCAGCCGGGCACCAAGCAGGCTTCTACTTTTTATAGCCAGGCCGTCTGCGGCATGGTCGATTGGGGCTTCAACGTCTTCTTCTTCGAGGCCTTCGACGAGAGCTGGAAGCCCAAGGCCGTCGGCGAGGACGGGTCTGTTGCTGATGAGACTTCGTGGGGCGCTATGACGGCCGATCGTACGGCTAAGTACTCGCTTAAGTGCTAGGTTAGTTAAACTTGGTGAATTCGGTTGTTTCTTCCTGCCTGCCGGGGCTGGATGGGTTGAGGTCTTGGGTGTGCGTGTGCGTGGTGGAGGGATGGAAGAGGAAGGAGAAAGGAGAGAGGAGGAAAGGAGGAAAGGAGGAAAGGGGGGGTGGACGTCTTGGAATAGGCGCTGCGCTGCAATGTTTTCTGTCGGTTATAATTTATATCCTGTCATATACCACCAATTACGTACGTCGTAGGAGGGAGATAGTGGACGTGATACCATACAAAGTTGCTCTATAAATATGCTCTTATACAGTGTTATGTTCTGATGCTAAAGTGTTACGAGTTTCAAGTCGATGTGTGAAACTTTAGTGCCTTAGACATACACGCTTATACAGGTGCAGAGACACAGCACATAGATATCAGATCTTTCATTTGAAAGATTAGAAGACGTTGGTATGATCTATGAGTCCGCAGCCAAGTGCGTCATTTAGATTTCTGTTGATGTAGATATAGATGTAGATAGGGATGATATGAACAAGAAACGAAGGCTGAATTTCCCCTCCCCGGTAAACGTAGCGACGTAGAAATAATAATAATCCACCACCCAACAACGTAAACGAACAAACGACTCTTGCTACCAGCGCAGTGGTCTCATCAACCGCCCCCAAGGGTATTAAGCGCCATGTAATTAGACAGACGGGTAAGGAGGCGGTTGACGAGAACAGAGGCTACAATCCCTCTCTTCCTCTTCCTCTTCGTCCGCGGGGATCCACGATGCCCCAACTCAAATTAACCCAACATCAAAGGTTTCCTCCATTTCGTTTCTCTGCGGCGGTAATTAGAGGGCCCGACGTGACCAGGCACGTCGTCCTGCGCCGCTTTCGCCTCTTCCATCCCATCCCATCTCGTCCGGGTCTCATAGTTCATAGCTTGTCATTTGTTCGTTCTGGTCATGGAACAGGCATATTAGACGTTGCGAGATTTTCTTGCGAAAAAGAATCACGATCGGAGAGGGCCGCAGCCGTACGGCGTCGACTTGCCGAAGAAGCAGTCTCCCGCCAGGCTGTCGACGACCTGGTTCTGGCGGATGGGCGTGATGACGACGCCGGCGCTGGCGAGGGTCGCGCACAGGGCGGCTACGAGGGTGGTCGCGATCGCTGAGGTCTTCATCTCGACTTTTGAAAATCTTTTTACTCGAATTAGAGAATTACGGGTGCGTGGACGGCAGCTAGCTCGTAATAGTCGGTTTCTTTGTATATTTAGCTTGTGTTTCTCGTGATAGCGATCGACCGGCCGTGACTTCGGAAGCAAGACCAGCTAGCTCTGTTCGTTTCTCTCGTTTTGTTTGAATGAATGGATCAATTATCTCGTGCGATTAAGACAGCGCTACGGTAAATTGGTGTGGATTTGTGGCCGGAAGGCGGAAGGGAAAAGACAGGATACGATGACCAGATCGCAGGGTAAAATGGATTAGTTTTTTTGAAGATCAAACGTATAGTAAGCAGAAGAATTGAAATGATGGGAAGGGAGAAACCGAAACTTTCACGACGACACGAGGAGGATTGCGGGAAGAGAGAGAGGATGGGCGGGAATCCCGTCATATGATCTAGATTCCTGCTTGGGGCGCTAGGACCGCCGACAAGCCACTTGCCGGTACCCGACCTTGGAGATACAGTGCTGATGCTACGGTACGTGATACCAAGCTTTTGCTAGGCGAGGCTCTCAGACACAAGCTAATTGAAGGGGTTTTGGAGTTAGGAGTTTAGCCCCTGGACAGTGTTGATCTGAGGGAGGCGAGAGAAACACTGTACGTACGCCCCACTCTCGCGTCCGGCGATGCGACGAAGGCAGTCTGACGTCGGAGATCAATCAGTTTCAACAGGGTCAAGCGAAACTCTGCGGTGCTACGAAGATACTGTAAGGGGTGAAGTCGAAAGAAGACTTGCGGCTGATGATAACCTTCATTTTCTTTTATTCTCGATGAGAATAAGAGAAATTCAGTATATCAAGATGAATCATCTAGTTCTCCAATGCTAACAATACTAACAGTATAGGTGTATTTCAGAGATATTATAATCAATCATGTATCTTGACTTTTCCAATCGTAAGTGCCTAGAGATTAATAGTCGTCGTGCTTCAGTTGTTATGTATCTACTGTGTTATGCGGCCATAGGTGAAACTGGAGACTGCGCTGGCGCAGAAAGGGGTAGCCATCGTAAGACAACTAGTCCCCCGTGGTACGACGTGGGACTACATCGTCAGTGGACGACACCTGTGCGGCCCAAAACTCAAGAAGAATTAAGTCTGTTCACGGTTGGTATTAGACATCAAGTAGAATATAAAAAGAACTTAGGATGAGGCTCATTTGGCAACTCTTGACGATAAAATAGAATACACTATCAATCGACTTACAAGACGAACTCTTCCACGGATTTCAGGATCACGAACTTTCGACAATGCTATTAGGCGTGTACAGGCCTACAACAGATTTGGGGTTGGAGTGAGGATGGTGGCTGCTGTGGGCGGAGGAGAGGACCCTATCACCAGAGTGGACGAACGATTCGGCATTTGTCCCCTTTCAGCATGGTCCCGCAGAGTACAGGATAACCGATAACAAGGACGACTGCAAAGTGCCGATATGCCGAATACTTCGAGGGCTTACGCGAGTGTAGACGTATTCGACACGGATGAATTTTGGTTGAGATAGAAGTCTAACACGTTGGATCGTCATCAAAGTCATGGCTGCTCTAACACCGAATATATCCATGGAAATACCGACCCTGGCTTCAACGCATAGCCTCATGGCCCCGATAGACATTGGCTTAGCCGGCATGCCTCTATATTCGGGAAGAGCAGCAATTATCGTAACTATATTGGATTTAGAGACGATAATTGCGGTCTTGCAAGACGGTATAGCAAGCACACAACTCGGTTCAGAACTTCCTCAAGGATTTTGGAGTTTGTCGATCTTACCAATAGGACAAAAAATCTGCCCTTGAGGAATAATTCAAGAAAAGGTGCAGATAAAGGTAAGCAAGTTGAGTCACATGTGTTCCCAACCCCATGTCCGCTATCTATTGGCATCATTACCCTTGGTCATGTCCTAGAGGTAATTCTATGGACAGATTGGGAAATCCATGACGGTTTCTAAGCTACTTGTATTGGTTTCTTGAATTTGAGCGTCGCTTATGCCTTCTAAGTCTGTAGACGGTTGAACAAGGACAAAGGACTAATCTTAGATGAATCTATCTATTTCTTCCTCATGGTCTATACAGCTAGAACCTCGCGAGTATGATGCTATACAGGAAAAGATACATATACAGTTTCGTTCAGAAGCCTTCGTTGACTAAGTAGGATTTGTGCATACGCCACAGTATTCGTCCATTACTTCCTAGCGTCCAAATTCCAGATAGGTCCATGCATGTTTCTTGTTGGGGAGGCTCGTTCTTCGACAGGACACATTTATCTAGCACCTAGCGGAAGACCGTAGTCCTAAATTAAGTTAATAGTAGTTCGGAGGTCAGTGTTATCGCAATGATCTTCATGTCTCGATCTATTATGAATGCCCATCACTGACTTGGTAATTATCTGCTGCCACACCTATGGGGGCTGTTCGACGAGCAAACACTACCTACCTACCTGGTACGAGAGGTCGTCAATACCAAAGTGAACAAGATAGGTATTGATAGACTTTAACTAGTCGTATAAGTGAATTGATGTCGGATCTACCGGCGGATTCTACAGGGAATCCCCCATAAGTAAGATCTCTTCCAAGGGGCTCGTTTCCCTAATAAGACGCCTTGAGCATCTCGAAATGAGGTGGATTGATATTGGACGTGGGAATTTCTACTTATCTAGGTAATGACTGAGCGATTACTTGTGTGCAACATCATAGCTGGCTGAGGTGTCGTGTTCTATATTTCGGTGGTATGACTGAAGACCTTGTATGGCAGGGAAAATATCATTTAGGGTACTAACGCAGATCATGCTCTCATTTTTCCGTTTGTACTGAGTAGTACAAAAAAAACTTCATCTATGCAAACGGCAGTCTTCACTTCACGGCCAATCATACTAGCATCGCGGTCCTCAAGTCACAATAACAAGCATCATCAAGCAGCATGTCGAAAAGCTAAAAGCCTCATCAAGATTGAACTATTCCCACAACTATCGCAAGATCGTCATGTTCTAACATAAGAGAGGAAGGGGGCCACGTGCACCTACACCGCAGGGCATCGGGCAGCCTTCTCTCCCAGGTATCATTTTTTTTATTTCCTCCCTAGTCGCCAGCTCGAACACCGATCAGCGGTGGGCAGCGGTAATGTACATTAGCTTTAGGAAGAGGTTAATGTTTCCTGATCATTCTGCGCGGTTCCACCGATACAAATATCTGTCTGATACAGACGTTCCCACCGTTTTAACAACTAGGAATGATAATTCCCAAACCAAACCAACTCCGTAAGGGCGCATCGCGTTCGGTCATATCTTCGGAACAGGCCTCCATGTGTCAACGAATAGGCTGGTTTCGCGTGGGGGTTACAGTTCATTCCGCCTCCGATGCAGAAAACGTAAGGAAATTACAAAAACAAGGGTGTCATGAAGGGTAAAAGAGAACGCCAGCAGGTGAACCCACGAGCCAGTATAGTAATAAGGCTCCAAAAAGGATGTCCTAAGATTGTTCATAAGGACAGGATGGAATCGAAGGGATTGAATCGTAAGTAATTGGATATGCGTTAATACATCGGTGCCGTTACAGGAATCACGCGCAGAATGTACAAATGTTTTGATGAGAGAAATGATGGCGACGGGGATGTTGTTTACGTTCCGAGTATTCACGAGGCATGATTACTCTTGGCGGTGCCTATTTTGTCATGCTCTTCCGTGTCTAGTCGTTTTCTCCAGTCAGCTAAACTCTCGCTAAGACCAAGGCCGACACCATCGTCATCCTTCTTGGTGCCTATTCCCTCGAAGTCGAAGGTATTTGAGAGTCTATAATTCTTATTAGTGGCCTCCCAATGTGATCGTAGCAGATCAAGTTCATTGGCTAGATTGTCCAGGGCAGTGCTGTTTCTAGCATTGTCAAAGCCGCCGTACGTACTTTCAGCCTCAGAACTTTCCTGACGGGCATGACCCATGCCGCCGCCATTTGCGCTCGGGGTGCTGGTGATCATCTGATCTGTGCTCATGCGACTGCGTCTTCGGTAGTTATCGACGGAGCTCTCTACCTGGTCCAGCAACAAATTGACCTTCTCTTCAGCTTCCTGTACTCGCTTCTCAAGTAGGGCGTTCTCTTGTTGCATTTGCTCGAGCTCCTTTTCTCTCGCGGCTAGTCGCTCCGCGGCATCGTTGCGGGACTTGAGTGTGCTGTCCCGTTCTTGCTGAGTAGCATCTAGCTTACTTCGCAGGTCTACTAGCTGTCGTTCAAGCTGCCCAGATGTAAGCTTCACCTGTTCCTGGAGACTCTCAATCTTCTTCTCTAGCGATGAACGTTCTGCTTCCCAATCAGCAGGCGCGGCATTGTCACGAGAGATAGAGCGCTCTTCTAGCTCAAGATTTTCGTTCTTCAAGCGGCCGTTCTCGTTTTGAGCTTGCGCAAGCTCCTGCTTCATCTTCTTCAGCATCTTCTCTGTGCCCTTAACATAATGAACAGCTGATTGATAATCATTCTCCAATTGGACTATTCTGTTGCGATAAGCAGCCTCGGATTCCTGAAATTGTGTAGCGAAAGTCTGTTTCGTCTCCTCGTGGGCAGCAACAGCTTGTGCAAGTTGTCGTTCAAGCTCGCCGGCTCTGGTGGGGTCAGGGGAATTAGTCCTGGAGCCCATGCCTCGAACTCGGGCAAGGTTAGTCGGGCTAATGCCCCTTTCGGCCAATATATCCTTCAGGGTGTTGTGCTGAACAGTTATGGCATTAGTCTCGAGTTGCTGGTTTGCGAGTTGATTCTTGAGGTCCGTGTTCAAGGCTTGAAGTGACTGGGTCTCCCTCAAGGCGGATTGCAATTGTCGACGGATCGATACACCTTCCCTGCTGGACTGCTCCTGGTATGCCTCAAGTCCGGCGATCCGTTCTTCAGCGCTTCGAAGTTTATCCGAAGCAATATCAGCTTCCTGTCGGTACTTCTTAACGAGTAGATTTGCTGCTTCAATTTGACCTTGGAGGATTGCAACACGGTCTGAGTTGACCTGACTGGCTTTGCTTGGGTCTTTGGTGATCTTTTCTAATCCAGAAATTAGTGCCAGTCGATGGGTATTTGCTTCCGCTGCATGTCGCTCAGCGAGTTCTTCCGCATCCCGCAACCGTTGAGTGAGGGACTCCAATTCTGAAGCATGTGCTTCGTGTTCTGCCTTGAGCTTATTGAATTTGGATTCGATTGCTGCTCTCTGGGATCGTTCCTCGTCAAGCTTGCGCTCCAGGTGAGCGCGCATATCCGCTGATGAAACCACAGCCTCTCGAAGGGATTCTAAAGTCTCGTTATGTTCTTTGGAGCTGCCGACGGCTTCGTTATATTTGCTCTCAAAATCATCCTTCTCGACGCGCAGAAGCTGCAAAGATGCGAGAGCCTCGGCACTAGCAACGGATTGTTCTCGTGCTTCGCGCTGGACCATGTGTAACTCGGCTCGCAATTGTTCCACTTCAGAAGATGTGCGCTGTTTGTACGATTCTAGTTCGGCTATACGCTTTTGAGTAGCGCTGAGAGTTTCGTCTGATAATTGTCTAGATCGCTTCTCGGCCTCGAGTTCTGCTGCAGCTCGAGCAAGGCTGTTTTGCAAATCTCTTTGAACATTCAGCGCAGCCGCCAGCTTCTTGTTGAGATCAGCAGAGCGGTCACCATTATCGATCTCCTTTTCGCTGTCTAGCTGTGGTGTGCTAGCAGCGCTCCCAGTCTGTGCTGCCATCTTGGCCTTAGCATAGACAGCTTCACGAACTGCAGCGTCGCGCTGTCGCTCGACTTCAGCAATCTGTTTCGCTGCTAGGATTGCTTGCTTATCAACGGCACTTTGCACATTAGCTAACTCTTGCTTCATTGCCAAGAGCGATTCAATGAGCCGCTTGTCATCGTCATCGAACGTCTCTGCAGCTCGGGACTCCAGAGTTGGACTAAGAGTTGCATTAGACATATACCCAGCTTTACGAGCTAACTCTAGCTCTGAAGCATACCACGCATTCCGATTGCGGGCGGCATCGAGCTCCTTCAAGAGGGCAACAGTCTGTGAGTTCCTGTTTGACCCTCTTCTTGACAGAGGGTTACTAGGTTGCCTAGTCGGTGGAGGCGGAGAAGCTGGGCGGACAGCTACGCTCTTCAGAGTTGGCTCTGTATTGCTGTCAACGGAGCCCTGGCCACGAGTTTGCCGTGTCTGCTTGGGTTTGGGCTCATCTCTCGGCGCATTCTCTGACCTAGAAGCACTTCTAGCGGTCTGCTGGTTAGGTGTTCGTCTTCCATTAGCGACTGGAACTTCTTCCTTAATCGGTTCCCGCGATATAGGGGATTGGTTTTGGCTGTTGATGCCAGACGACCCAGTACCAATGGCTTCCCTCTCTATCCGCTCGATAGATGTATTCCTTGTACGGCGGCTAGTCGCACTTGTGTCGATATTGGGCTTGGGGAGCTGACCCTGCGGTGGAGGTCCTGAAGGAGTAGAGGTTCCTGCAGCTCTTGGAAGCTTTGATATCCCGTTGCTGATGGGAGGAGGCCCATTAACGTCCATACCCGTACCGCCTTTGCCGGAGCTATTTGTTGGACTATTAGGGCTGGCCACGCGCTTCGGATCCGGCCCAGCAGAGCCCTCACGGGATGGAGCTTGTCTATGGCCGATAGCATTTTCACTGCCACTCGGCCGCCTTGCCTGCTGCACTTTCTGAGTATTTGACTGGATCTGTGCGTCATTGGGGTATCGAATTTTGGTAGTGTCTAGAACATAGACGATCCCTAGGTCGTTCACCTGGCTGGTAGTCGAACTAGGCTCACCTCCAACGACGACGACCGACTTTCCCACGGATGTCATACTGTGACCAGAGCGTGGTGACGGGGACGGGCCCATGTTCTGAAAGGTATACCAACGGCGAGATGGGATCCGGAATGCGGCCAAGTCACCCAAGTCAGCGCCCTCTTCGGTACGACCACCAAAAACGTACATAACGTCGTCGACAAGCGAAGCGGCATGTCCTTCTCTGGGGACAGGAATGTATCCAATAGAGTCTAACTGAACCCATTTGTTGGCTGCCGGTTCATAACACCATACATCATTGAACCATTGAAACCCGTTGGTGCCGCCAAACCTGTAATAGTGAGCTTTGGGAACTTATGATCGCAACATTATTTCCTTTCAAACTTACAGGTACATCTTGTCATTAAAGGTAATCATAGAATGGTTGGTTCTGGCAGGCGGGACCTTGCCTTGCATTGCTCCTCCGGGGTCGATATTCTCGCTAAGAATTTCCCACCGGTTGTTGGGCATTTGCAGCTGGTTAAGGTCGAAAGCTGCTAGGTCATTCATGAAATACCCTTCTACTTGACCACCAAAGATATAGATCTTCGACCCGATAATGTTCAGAGAGTGCCCATAGCGACCCGACGGCCTTGGACCGGCCGGCAGAGCTCTTGACCATTGTCGCGTGGCTGAAAAGCCCGGTTAGCCAATGATGGTAAAAATGGGATGTGGCGGGTCACAATGTCTTACAAGTGTTGAGAAGATAGAGGGTTTCGTCTAGGACATCCGTCTCGTCGATCTTTGTATCGCCACCGTATACGATGAACGCATTGCCTACTAGGAGAGAGGCGTGTCCAACTCTTGGTCCGGGACCTTCAGCTGCAGTGACGAGCGGATAGCACGACATGTTTCCTCCAGCTTCGATCATCCATAGATCACCCTTGACGGTTGAACTATTGATTAAACCGCCCATGACGTAGATATCTCCTTCCTTAGAGGAAACCGAGTTGACTGCTGCTCCATATCTAGGAAAAGGGCTAGGTGTGCCAGGATTAAGTATTAAGCGTCGTTGCGACCAAGGATATAATGAGGCATTCACATTTTGCTGTGGGGGAGCATTGCGAAACTTTTGAGTGACGATCGTTAGTATAATTCTTCTGGTATGTGCTGGGTGGGTGCTGGATGTCGCGTCTAGTCAAAGAGGACTAGGATAGAAATCAAATAGAAGGAAGAACTTACAGGCAAGTCGCTCACTTGTTGAGGTTGCTGAGCCTGTGATGGATCCTGGCCACGGCGAACAGCGTACTTCTCACCATCTGGGCGAGTAGCATACTTTTCAGCATCTGGGCTTGGTGTTCCTTCATCAAAGGAATTCAAACTGCCTGTTGGGGTTGATCGGGAGCCCTTCTCCTCTCTAACGATGCGCCCAGCTGCGCTTTGCACTTGGGGTGCCGATCCAGGAGGTCCATCTCGACTATTGACGTTCCTCTCCTGATTCTTCTTAGATTTAAAGAGAAAAGCCATGACGAGTTACAGCCAGACACCCTCGTAAGGAGTGCTTAGACTATACTGCCGCCGCTGCGACAAACTGATAAAATCGTGGGTTCGTCGATGCGATGTTCGGATAGATTGGATGTGTGCGCGACGGATCAATAGGTTCGTCAGGCCGGGAGGCAAATGTAACGGAATCGGGGATTATGCGAAGGATGGAGGTATGAAAGGTTCGTCGTGGTAAGAATCGACGTTCGAGATGGCTGGGGTTGAAAGCATGAGGTTGGAAATATCGTTGATGGGTCCTCAATCGAAATTGCGCCGATTGCTCGTAACTTGCGCAGCCCCTCGACTTTTTTTATTACCCCCTTCTAAGCCTCCGTCTTCCTTTTTTTCACAGTACCTAACAAGGTAGTAATTGTAACTTGGGAATACCAAGTCGAGAACAGGTGCACACCGGAAAAGAAAAAGGCACTGGAATAGAACTACCGTGTTGTCGCACTTGTAAACCGGAATGACAGAAAATGAAGGGTTTACAAATCGAATGTTGCGACGAGTTCGTTCGTTTGTTCGGTGCTTATGGTGGGTATCCCCTCAAGATTATCCAGGGTTGTTTTAAAAAAAAAAAGTTATTGTACAAGACGCGGACAAATAAAGGAGGGCTAGAACATTAGTAATTTGTCACTTTACTAAATATTATTCGAGCCTAACGCCGGCAGCGACGAAGCGGCTGGCAATTGGAACAAGGTCGTGAAGAAAGGGCGATAAAAAATTAATGAGCGGCAAGGAAAAGGCGAATTGGGTTGATGGAGGAAGAACGATGAACGATGTCAAGTTCGTAATGTCCAGTTCAGTTCAGAGTTCAGGGACGACGCATGCACCAAATTTCCAGAAAAAAAAATCTCGAGAAGTTCCCCCCAGGACCCCAAGATGCCCAGGGCAGTCACCACCTAGCACCACCAAGCACCGGGGCACCTGCAGGGTCGGCTTATGAGGGGCCGTGCTATGCTAGGTAATGCCTGATTAGTACTGGTGTTCACTTATGCAGCACCTTAACTGCAGGTTACAATTGGATAAGAGGAGCCTAATTTGGAGGGATATCCATTTCTCCAAGGGGGTTAGCGGCACGATTAAAATAAATGCCTTCTATTGGATTGTACTAATACATCACCCATCGTAGCTATTGGATGGGAAAGACTAGGGGATTTCAGGGAGTTAGCTCCTGAATATTAACCAGGTAACTGCTAATATCACAACAATCACACTATCTAGCACTACAATATGCTGGTTTGTTGTCATTATTGACTTTTAGAATGAATATTTGCCGATTTTGAGTCCCTGACTATTCCTGCAGGAGCAACGCGTACAGATATAAAAGCTACATTATATCATCAAAGGGCACCTCAACCAGCCTGCCAGCCTAACCTATCTAGGTAGCCATTTGTTTCTTTGGATGTGAGTGAGCACTAGGCGCATCAGTTAGCTAAATTATCGTTGAAACAAGTTAGCCTAACTCTATCAAATCTACTGGTTGACCGAGATCTTTCTCGATTTGATTCTACCCGGTATTCATCAATGTCCACGTGGATGAGATGCTATAAATAGGGTGAGGACTAAACGATACGATTCAATGTTTTGTATCGTCTGTGAGTTTAGGAATATTCCAATCTTCCATATGACCTACATACCTAAAAGGCCTACTTAGGTGGGTACCTGGTAGGCAACCGGGTAGGTAATCCAGGGGGGCCACATGTTTGTTTGATTTAATAGGATCTATTGTTATAAACCATGAGTATCACATCGGGAGAATTGTCTATCACACATCGGAAGCAGCATAAGAATCCAATGTAATGAATAAGCCGAGAAGATACACAAATTCTCGACCTCAGTTGTTTCAATACGGCCTTGTAAATCTTTGGTCGTGGTTGGTGTGGTGTGTGGTATGTGTAAGTGGTAACCATATAAGTCGGACTTACTATGCAGCAATGTGACAGCATGAAAAATATCCACACGTCTTCAAATTTGCTTAATGTGTTATCTAAAGCATCGCAACAGGATGCAGCGCAATTTTGAAGTGTGGTGAGACGCCCCTTTTTCTTATGCATAGGCTAACAGTTATGTCTTTGCTTCTCTTTCGAAGCTGCATATCAGTCCCCAGACGGCCAGACACTGATGAATGGCCCTACTGTACAGTACTACTACGTCTCCCGAGGTCAGGCAGAGCGATAATCGATTAGATAGCCGTTACATACCACCTAAGCTTCAAATGGATAGATCCCCGGACAAGGCTGGCAGGCAGGCTAATGGTGAGGAGGGCTAAGTGGGCACGAAATATATTTGGGGATGCGTCGATCACTTAGCGAAACGGGCAACCTGAAACACGGCCAATTATCCAGCACGTGAACGATACAACGCATCGGTAGCACGGCTGGACAGTAGGACTCGTCTAGCCATATAAAACAACTATCACACCCCCCACCTCCTGCTACTTCTGGCCTATCGCGGTGTCGATGTCCAACAGTTCAGGTGCTCGCCGTACTTACGTGCTTAGCAGCTTAGGTGATGATGCGAGTACGACGAAGCATTTACCGATAGGTATCAGGCTTTGCCCGACGTACATATGTACGCTGTATATCTCTGTACAGCCTTCGTTGATCCCATTTCCAAGTCTCCGATTTTATCCGAGAGGAACCTTGAAGCAGACGTCGAATTATCGTGGAGTCGTGGACAGACAAACAGGAAGATGCGGCTGATAGGTCGTGGCTGAAAACGTGTAATGTGGCAATCCTTGAAGTTTTAAGAACGACGTCTTGGCTTGCTTGGTATTGGAACGGAACAAATGCCGTGCATTCAGCAGCCGAGGTTTATCTTGGCCTCGTGCTTCTCTCAACTTGACTGCTTGACTAAGGTTTGCCCAACGAATCGATTCGATCATGTTTAAAAGACAAGGAGTTCATTGCATTCTACATTCTACGCAGCAATGCAATGTTGGGATGGATATGTCAGTAAAGTTGTGGAGCAGTCTGGAGCTTCGCTGCAATCCAGAGGGGATATTAATAGTTTGTCGCTAGCAAACACCCACAGTATTGTTTCAAAAACATGAAGAGCTTCAGAATTTTTCAATTTGTTAGGAAGGGAATGAGGAGAACTTGATTCCTAGGATGGATGAAAATAGCTCATAGCTGGCGCAGGTAGGTTGCAACGAGGCGAATGGTGATAAAAAGGGGTAATCTTTTTTCTTCGGGATCTTGGGGTCTTCGCTCATTGAGGTGCACTGAGATGTACATGTACGTACTGTAGCTGTCAGCATCAATTGAGAAACCAGGGCTGGGAAGTTGGGGGCCGTCGTGGTCAATTTCGTCACTGGCTTGACTGACTTGACTGACCTCGGGTGGTACAGACCGTATGTACATGGCTTTTTAGCTTTGGGGTACTTAGGTACCTCTCCCCACCGCCTTTCCGCCGCTTGCCCGCTTGTACTTACCAACCAGAGTAGACCCGATTAAGACCGCAAGCTTCTTTCGCAAACGTTGACCTTGAAGTCAGAACGCAGAAGCCACAGCTCGCAGGTAGAGAAAGCTAGGTCTTAGCGTCTAGCGCCCATCGCATATCCACGCATCCACTCATCCAAACCGTCGAATTATCAACTTCTCCGATTTCTAAGCCTCATCACCAAACCACATCAAAACCACCTCATCCTAACCCCACGGAACCGGCTATTCCATTTCTGCTTCGCCGGAATTCTACAGCCGTGTTCCTGTGTGCGTTGGATGGTTTGGACCTGGACTTAACGTGCATCAAAAATGTACTACAAACACCATGACTGCCGTCACGTTCTCTTCCCGTAGCGCGTACACTTCTGGGCAGCATTCGACCCATCAGATTCCAACCATTTCGTCGCCGCACTCTCGCCTTAATCTCCTTACAGCCGATTCCAACTCTACTTCCCTCCGCGACCACCCAACCGAGGCGACTAATCCTCCCATAACTAATGGTACTTCTACAAATATGCCTTCACGACTAGGCACAGGCGGCTCAATTTATGCGGCACGAGATTCCGAGCCGGTGAACGGCCGTCCGCGCACAGCAACAGAGGAGAGAGAGACGGTAGACCTCGACCGACGCCCTTTGACTGCTCCCGGAAACAAGCACAATATTTCCCTTAACATACCCCAAGATGATTCCGATCACGATAGACCCAGTAGGAGAGTAATTTCCAAGCCACCGCTGCTAAGGTCGAAGAGCGAGCACGTGGTAAGACGCGAAGATGCAGACCAGGTAGACGAGGAGATCTACGAATGGGGCGCGCGACATGGGTTTGAGGACCATTACCAGTCTGAGGATATTATCTCCCAGCTGGCACAAGTGAGTGAAGCCTTGATTCCTACGATACCCACTATTCCACCCCAACGCGCCTATATTTGTGTTGCGACGTCAATGCCGGGTAGCCTCAAACAAGAGGTAGACTAACTCAAGTATGTAGAATTGGTACATGTACTATACAGAGAAACGACACGAGACTACGGGACAACCCGAGTCGCCTAACTATGCGATCGAAGATTGGCGTATGCGAGATCGCTTAAAAACTGTCTCAGCTGCTCTTGCGGTTTGCCTTAACATAGGTGTTGAGCCCCCGGATCAGCTGAAGACGAACCCCGGAGCGAAGCTTGAAGCATGGCAGGATCCATTCGTACCTCCCGCGGCAAAAGCCCTCGAGCAGATTGGAAAGTCTCTGCAAGCGCAGTATGAGAACATATCGTTGCGAACAAGGTATAAGCAGTACTTGGACCCCTCGGTTGAAGAGACCAAGAGGTTCTGTCAGTCTTTACGGAGAAACGCAAAAGACGAACGTGTTCTCCTGCACTACAACGGTCATGGAGTTCCAAAACCGACGGCGTCGGGAGAGATTTGGGTTTTTAACAAAACTTTCACCCAATACATTCCGATCTCGTTATACGATCTCCAACACTGGCTTCAGGCGCCTACCATCTTCGTTTGGGATTGTTCCGAAGCTGGAAATATTCTGAACAACTACCACCGATTCGTAGAGAAACACGAGGAAGAGGAGGACGCGGCGGCTGCTGCTGACCCGAACTATGAGAAGACTAAATATCGATCATACCTTCACCTTGCAGCATGCGCCGTCAAGGAAAACCTCCCAACCAACCCGCGTCTTCCGGCAGATCTTTTTACGGCGTGCCTAACTACACCGATAGAGATGGCATTGTGGTTTTTCGTCTTGCAGAACCCGCTTAAGACTAGCATTTCGCCGGAGAGGGCCAAGAAACTCCCTGGCAGACTGCAGGAACGGAGAACACCACTTGGCGAACTCAACTGGATCTTTACGGCAATCACTGATACTATTGCCTGGACCTCCTTACCTCGGCAACTGTTCCGTAAATTCTTTAGGCAGGATCTCATGGTAGCTGCTCTCTTCCGTAACTTCATCCTAGCCCAGCGAATTATGATGGTCTATGGATGTCATCCACAGTCATACCCAGAACTGCCCGACACTCACCAGCATCCCCTATGGGAAAGTTGGGATTTGGCCGTAGATTTGGCACTGGCGCAGCTCCCTATGATGGAACGGAAAGAGAATGAGGGGATCGAATACGAATATCAAAGCTCGTCATTTTTCGCAGAACAGTTGACCGCTTTCGAAGTCTACCTTGCACGAGGAGATGCTATGCAACAGAAGCCGCCCGAGCAGCTTCCTGTTGTTCTTCAGGTCTTGCTTAGCCAACAGCATCGAGTCCGAGCTCTAATCTTGCTAGGCAGATTCTTAGACTTAGGTCCCTGGGCGGTTCATCTAGCCCTAAGCATCGGTATCTTCCCATACGTGCTGAAACTCCTGCAGTCCGCTGCCGCTGAGTTGAAGCCTGTCATGGTATTCATATGGACCCGGGTTCTCGCCGTTGATGTCTCTTGCCAGCCTGATCTAATCAAGGACAGCGGCTACAACTACTTTTCTTCGATCTTGAATCCATCCGAGGTCCTTGCTGTCAATAACAGCGATGAACATAAAGCGATGTGCGCATTTGTGCTCTCGATGTTATGTAAAGGTTACCGGCCTGGCCAGGCTGTATGCAATCAATCACCTATCATGACGTTCTGTTTGGCACACCTGAGGAATCAGGACAACGTATTACTTCGTCAATGGGCGTGCCTTTGTATTAGCCAGCTATGGCAAGATCTACCAGAAGCGAAGTGGAGGGGTATCAGGGAGAACGCGCCCATGAAGCTGTCAAGTCTGACAAAAGACCATGCTTGCGAAGTACGTGCAGCTGTCATTCACGCCATGACGACATTCCTAGGAATTCCAGATCTTACGGATGAAGTAGCCAGAATTGAAGAGTCCATAGCGTGGACATTGTTAGACATGGCGAACGATGGTAGCCCGCTCGTTCGCAAAGAGCTACTCGTCTTCATTTCTCATTTTGTTCTTCGGTACGAGAATAAGTTTATTGTTGCCGCCTACGAACAACTTGTTGAAGAGAAGGAGTATTTACTTTTCCCACCCACGGATGACGGTCTGGAACATAAAATGGGCTTACACTATGCTCGCCCTGAGAATCGTAACACAGATGGCACAATCAAGGCCTCTGCTCAAGGGCTATCTTCTAACACAGTATTTGCAGCTTGTTGGAAGCATATCTTAGTCTTGAACGTTGACCCTCACCCTGAGGTCCAGCGTGATGCAACAATGGTCGTTGATTATGTGCACAACGCACTCCTATCTTCGTCAGCTGGTTTGCAGGCTCAAAACCTAATGGATGAGATTCAAAGGCGCGTGCAACGGTCCCGAGGCCACAAGAAGCAGCCCTCTACTTCACGAAATGGCCTTATGACATCACAATCCGAACTTTCTCCCCCAGAACCGTCGCCTGGTCTGCTTAAGCGGACCGCCAGCTTACTATTCCAGATACCAAGTATGTGGGGCGGCGACTCGATCAGCTCTACACCGTTGCCCTCTCCTGGACTTACGAGGAATGCCTCTCAACGGAGTAGACTTACTCCAGATTGGGCTACTCCCCCTGAGCAAATCGACCAAGCTAACGCCCCGGCACACTATAACACAGCTAGTGAGCCCGTATCGGGGAAATTCAAAGAACGACAACTTGATCAAGCGCCCACCCTACCACTTCCAAGCACGTTCTTAGACTGGTCAATAGAATACTTCCGGGAACCACAAATGCACCCTAGCGAGGCCGAGGAGCCGGGAAGTACCGAGTACAACGAACGGCTGTGGAGAAGAGCTCGAAATGAGAACATACTTCGAGAGACTCAGCCGCAGAAACAATATGCTGGTAGTCACAAGTGGAATAATCAACTGTGCATTATGAACAACGGTGCTCAACCGGCAAAAATGACGTTTCACCAATATGAAGATCATCTCGCAGTTGCCGATGACGGCAACACAGTTTATATCTGGGACTGGAAGAAGCAGGCCAGATTGAACCGATTCTCTAATGGCAACCCCGAGGGCTCGAAGATCAGTGATATGACATTCATCAACGAGGATGATACAGCATTCTTAATGACTGGTTCTTCGGATGGTGTGCTCCGGGTTTATCGAAACTACGATTCTCCAAAGAAGACCGAGTTAGCATCGGCGTGGCGAGCATTAACCCATATGGTTCCTAGCAATGTCAACTCCGGAATGGTGTTCGACTGGCAACAGGTGACGGGCAACGTTCTCGTCGCAGGAGATGTTCGAGTTATCCGGGTCTGGGCTGCGGCACATGAAACATGTATTATGGACATACCCGCACGTTCAGGATCATGCGTTACGTCACTCACGTCAGACCAAATGACTGGTAATATCTTTGTGGCTGGCTTCGGCGATGGTGCAGTTCGTGTGTTTGATACTCGTCTGCGGCCACAGGAGTCCATGGTAAAGAAGTGGAAAGACGATTCTGATCGACAATGGATTCGGAACGTTCACATGCAGCGTGGGGGCCAGCGTGAGTTGCTCTCCGCAAGCCGAAACGGGAAAGTTAAGCTTTGGGATATTCGTATGGAATCGCCACTCCGTGTCATCCAAGCGACACGTGATACACTCCGAACAGCGAGCACCCACGAACACCTTCCGGTATTCTCAGTGTAAGTTTTGAGTTAACATTATGTTTATGCAGTGTCTTTGCTAACATAATTTCAGTGGCACATCCGCGCACACTGTCAAGGTATTCAACTTTGACGGCCACGAACTCTCCCGGATGGAACCGTATTCCAGCTTCTTGCAGCAGAACCGCGGCGCGCCTATCTCCGCTACCGCATTCCACCCCCACCGCATGATTCTCGGCTGCGCAGCACGCGGAGACCAGCACATCAACCTCTTCACATGCGCCAATCAAAAGCCGGAAGGCTTCATCGACTCGTTGTAAATTCTTACCTCGGCCACGACTCATAACCCACAACCAGCATGTCCTACATGTTTCTACTGCATTTACGTTGCTACCAAACGGGGGACGGTAACGATCGCAGAACCTTTTTCAACGTTACGACTGACTAGACGCAATCCCAACTTGCTCTCACATACAGCAGCGAAAGAGAAGGGGCTTAGACGATGGGGTTTGCTAATTTTTATTATTTGATATCTCTCAACGGAAAGGGCTGGTAAGGCATGCATAAGGCGATATGTGTGCTCTAGGACGGCGCCGGGTCGTCTTCAGGTGGGCTGGCTTTTGCATTGTTGGGTTAGTTCCAGTGCGTAGGCGGGTAATTAAAGGAGGGAGGACTAGATCATACATCTACATATGCTGGAGGCAGCTAACCTACTACTCTTAATAATACACCGATTGATGACTTCTGTGATGTTGGATAAAGAGGTGATGGTCTGATGATGTTATTGTTATTGCCGGTCCTGTGAACTTTTATCTTGCTGTGATTACATGAAGTGGCCCTTTCGTCAGGTGAATAGCAGGTTGACTCACGCGGATGTTTTATATTCATAGTGAAAGCTATCTATTTCTTTGGGGAATGCGGGGAATATATTCTCATATACAATACGTTTTATCCCTTTGAATTTCCCTGGATGATAGCCATTGCCTTTCGTCAATGACTACGAAAATGGTGATGTGGGCGAGATGTGTAACGCTTAGTACGGACTAGATAAATAGACTCTAAACATAAAGACCTCATTCAACCCCCTAGTTATCCCATACAAACCTCCCCCAGCTCAATCGGCTCCTCTTCAAAATCTGCCTCAATATCACATCCCACGAGGTTACCAACGCGAATGACCTATCGAGTATCCCCTCTACAAACGACCTCCCACGCTAGTAGGACCCCATTCTTAACCTCTCGCAAATCGCGATGACCTTTTTTTCCGCCATTGCTTGGCCGCTGTGGATGACATAGCGACATATGATCGTGTGAGACCGAATATGGTCCGGGGCGCGCTCGGGACGTGGACTGGCGAGGAGTTGAGGCACAACTCGGCTAAGGGGCCTGTTTCGCATACTGGAGGACGAGTCGTAGAACGCTCCGAGGAAGTAGGGGGTGATAATACCGCTTATGGTTGGGAGCGCGGTTGGGACTACTTCGCCGGCGCGCGGCGCATTTTCTTCCTCGTGGTGGACGACCTCGGCCTAGAGTCGCTCGACAACACGGCTAGCCGCCCCGTAGTGAAGCTCGTCTGCGATGAATTTTCGTCGTCATCTCGAGACGACGACGGAGGAAGGACGGTAGGCTTTGACGAGGAAAAAAGAGGAGTCGGGCTATTCCGTTGGTTCTTGGGAAGACGGCGTCATGGGTCACGAGGAGAATGACGTGGGCTGGGTGAATATGCCTGTTGATGAATATGTCGAATATTATGACGAGTTGTGTGATGCGGATAATCGGTACGAGTGCTATGTGCGCCCGCCTTTGGCTTTTGATGATAGGGGTGTTGGGGAGTACGGTTGGATGTCGGAGGACGAAAGGGAATAGCCTAAGCAACGCGAGCGGAAGTTAGTGGGTTGTTTGTATATCCAGATGTAGGTGTAACACTCAGTTTTATAAGTAATGCTGCATCAGGCGAGGAGTCAACCGGGACAAATCATTCTTTGAGTCGCATGTGGCGTGAGGGATGCCATTCTCAGATACTTACTCAACCTTCCATTCCTTGAAGCTTCTATGCCCGGTACCTACCTCGTATCATTTGTGCCTGTGCAAAATGTCTCTCAACACCACATCATTATCAAATTAGGTGGAGGTTGTCTATCATGATAGCTTCAACGTTCGGTGCGGCCAATGGGGAGGGTTGTAGTCACAAGACGCTCCCATATCCTACCCCGTATGATTAGATCGTTTTCAATTACACATCAACTCGAATACCATATCAACCAAACGTAATTATCAGTTGCTTTAGTAGAGAATCAGTAATATACAATACGAACCTACCACCAATTAGAAAGGCATGAAGTAGAGAGGAAGAGCAAAACAATAGGTGGTAACATTAAACCAAAAAGAAGAAAAAGTGAATTGGCCGCTGGAGGAATTGAACCCCCAGACCTAGCAGTAAAGCAGTAGATCCGACAGTTAGCAAAGCGTTCCAAACATGCTCCGCTAGGCCACACCAGTCCAGCCCTCAGTATGGAGAACTCATCCATAATTGATTGGTACCACAACTGAGTTTAAACTAGCCTATATGTCCTTTGGTCGTGATGATGTCGTTATTGGCGATTGTTTAGTCAGCTTAGTCGTCGATGAGTCGTCGATGGGTCGTGGTCTTTGGAATTGGTTGGGTAAAGGTGGGTGATGGTGAAAAAGGGGGGAAACGGGGCCAATGATGGCTTTGGATGTAGTCACGTTACCCAACAGGTTATCTCTCTGATCACTGTGTGATGGGAGTTGGGTGTGATTCAAGCACGCTATCCAGTCGGTAAATGGGTGGCTCAATGCTCAAAGATGTTGGTTGGTACCTATCTTTCAACCAGATCAACAATATGTAGGTAAGTAGATACCTACATACCTAGGTAAAGGGAAATAATAAGGAGGCAGAGTAATTCCTAAAACCTCAACCACGTAGACTGCAGTACATAAACGAGATAGGAGACAATTTCAATGTAACAAGTCGTCAAACTCCATCGACAAATGGCTGGCGTCGAACATTTAATCAAAGCTTCATGGCGTAATGGAAGCGCACTAGGTTCTCAATTCAAGTCACCTGAAGGTCCTTTGATCAAAACAGGGTGAGGCTAGCATTTCCTTTGATATCTATTATGTACAGGTTTTCACTTCTGATAACTTCATAGTCACAGTTTAATTGACCATTTGTATAAGGAACGGTATCCACGTCGCTTCTAAATAATCAACTGTCTACCTATAAGTACAGACTACCTACGCTGTCAGTCTAACAATGTTCATTTCCTTCCAACTTCACGATAACAGCTACCCATCGTGAAAGCTTAAGCCAATTATATCCGTATTGAATACTGTGTAAAAAGATTGCACCCCCTCCCAACCTTTAGGGAAATTCGCTGATCCATCGAGGTACCTACCGAAACATATTAGATTATCATCTCAAAACGTAGAATGGCGGGATTATGAGCACTTACACAAGACAGCGTAATAGCACGACATAAAGTACAAAAGATACCGCTTCACCACCAATAGATACCCAGTTGCGTTACCTTGGAGGTCTAGGCTGTTTAGGTGTATGCTGAGAGGAGCTATTGGAAGGGGGATCCTCGGGTAGGGGATCTTCGGGTAAGGGATGCCCGGGGAAAGATTCCGGAGAACGCTGCGATCCCTGTGTTTCCGAAGTCGCCGCGGAGTCTCTCATGGTTAGCGTTGCTATTCTTGAAGACCTTTCTTGCAATCGGTGATGTCGTTCCTCTGCTTGTGCCCGCATCCTGTCACGATCCCCAGACAGGCGAGCACGATCTTCCTCTGAAATCGGTGGGGCGGAAAGCCAAGAAGTGCGCGTACCCCGAGGGAGCGACGGATTCTCGGTCGTGGCGGTGGCCCTCATATCTCCCATTGGCGAGTGTAGGAGTGAGGGTCCCTCAGTTGGATGCTGTCCTGAAGGAGTCCAGAGTCTAGGTCCTTCGGTATTGTCGTCTCCAGAATCAGTCAAGATTTCTATTCCATAGGCACTCAATGGGTTTGAAATCAGAGGGGAGGTGGCCGTCTCCGTAGAAGAATGACGTTCTTCTCGTAATGGGTTCTCGTAGTTATGGCCATAACGGTAGTTCAAAGGTCGGAGCGGGAGCTGATCCACTTGCGCTGGGGTGTCTTCCCGTTCCTGGCGAGGATTCCAATCGGGAGGTAGGATTGCGTCCCTTCGTTGTCGAGGTGGTCGCGCAGGTGGAAGATTCTCCTGCATGGCCGAAAGTATCTCTTGCGCGTCACGCCCTCCATCTCCTTCGACATTTAGACCAAGTCTTTCTATAAATTCATCATCGGCCAAATCACGAAGATCTTCTTCCCACTCCGTACAGTTGCAGGTTTTCCATGCCTGACCACAAACGTAACAGAACCGCATACCGCACACACACCTACACAGACCGAGGGGTCCTAGTCAGTGATTATGTTTAGTATGTTCAGCGGGATGGGTTTGAGTCACAGCAGCCGTCATTTTACAAGACAAGAAGTATGCTCACCTTATACGAGGACATCCGTCACTTCGAGAGACCATTCGGCGGCAATTCGGGCATTGCTGCCACCGGTTTTCCGCAGCTAATTCCTTCAGCTCAGGATCTAAACTTGGCTCTTTACACTCCGCATTGGAAGTGCCGTGTGCAGGTTGCTTGCATTTCTTGCAGGTTGCGGTACCGCACTTTTCGCAAGTCACGACGCCGCTTTCTTCTTCCACCTTTTCATCGCTTAATGGAGCGCTGCATTGCGGCCTGGAGCAGTAGAGACGGTGCTCCACACCCCTTTCCGCTTCCCTGTACAGTTCTTGAAATGCGAACAACATGCCCTCGTCTAGCCAGGCCGCGTCATCCTCCGTGCTATCGATCTCGCAACATTGAGGTGGCCAACGTAATCCAAGGTCTACATTGACCGCGAAGAAGGCGTATAAACAATCTGCACAGTAGTAACACCCACATGGAAGCTGTCGTGCCCTGTGGACTCGTTCGATACAGGCCGTGCAGATAAATGAAGGCGAGTTGGAGTCCTCCATGCTGTGAATAGATATATCCTCTCGCGTCAATGCCCTGGTTGGTCTCTACTTTATTGGTATGACTGGATTCGGATTGTAACCTGAGCCGCGTTGTGTATCCCTTAGGAGGCAGAAACTTGTTGATAGCGTATCTTAGGGCGATAATACTTGAAAGAGTGGCAAGTATAAAGAACGCTGAGCTAATATATGTGATATATACCTGGTCTATAGGATGTCGAGTAATATCATAGAGAGATGAAAATGACTGTCGTAGATAAGTAGCTGCAAAACAGATAGAAGTTGAAAAGTGTAATGACAAGGTTGATGTTCATCAGTCGTAAAATACATAGATACCTACTGAACCAACAGGATGGGACGGCAACGCACCTTCCATTCACCTGCTTATGATGGCATCCATGTTAACATCATAAACCTACCTATGAGGTTAGATCTCTCTTGCTTGAATGAATAAAGTTGAACATTGTATTGTAACTCCCTTCCCGAGCATAGCAAGTGCTTGTTGGAAGGCTTACAGGGATGATGACCAATTTTAAGGGAAGCTTCAAACGTTGCACAGATCTGGCTCTTCTCATTGGTTCGGATGGGGACCCGTTTCCTAAAACGGAAATAGTTCAGGACTAGGGTATCAGCAGTTGATGAAAAGCATGCCCAACTGTTGTTTCTAGATATAATATAATATACATAAAAGAATCATTATAACAATGAATCTTTCCTGAAAATATTAGATATTTGATATCTTGAATGAATATAAGTGATGGTTGAATTAGTCACCCGGTCGCGATAGGTAGAATTTAGCGCGATCAGACTAAACGCATATGGACTGACTACCGGTACGTATCTAGATACCTAGCCATTTGACTGTTGGTGGTCGAAATCTATCTAGCAATTCACCCCAGGCTAGAATCTCTGCATAATTCAATGTTTTACGCTGGTTTCTCGTAATTATATGTATTAATATGACTATAGGTGCTCGATAATGGCGCCACGAAGACGACCTTTAGGTAAAGCGCAAGGCGAATTTAGATCACCATTCGTCTATTTCGGGGAAGGTTGGACTACGCCACTACTCGTCTAGCTGCAGCTGAATCGTCGATATTATCGATGAAGCAATGGCCAGACCATGATTATAGCGCGTGTGATAGATCACGACACAATGGAACCGCGGTAGCTCCCGGAAAGAGTAGATAGGTCCGAGCTGAAAGCTGAATAGTTCCGACCAGTGGACACGGAGGACTTATTTAACTACACCGTCCGTTCCCTCGATCAATTTCATGGAAATTTACTCAAAAGCTGTACCCGAGACATATTATTAGGTCTGCTAACATGGGCGCCGCAATTTCAGCTGTGTATACTGGTATCTCCGACGCCGATGAGCAGGAGAGCCGGCGAACGAAACAAGACCTTGAGGTTCTTCAAAGAGCCGTCGAGTACAAACTGGATCAATTCGATTCCAAATTAACTGAGTAGGACAATTCACATATAATGCTGTTCATAGTAGCTAACAGTTTGTCTTCCAGGATGTTTCTGAATTCGGAATCTTCATCGAGGATCCAGGTTCCTGGGCTTCGTGCCTTGCGCAAGTCAAGGTTTACGAGCGTTGGTATTAGAGGAACTGTGAGTACGGGAGGATCGCCTTACCAAGAAATTATACTTACCTACTTCTGTAGCCTAGTGAGAATGTGTCGAAAGCAATTGATGATTACCTCAGCACGGGAAGTGCTAAGCCTGGCACTGGGGAGGACATCAAAAACGGCTTCAAGGTAAACAGAACACCAGTACTGATAGATATAGCGACCTGACGTTCCCTTCGTCTAGAAAATTGTGTCCAGTGCACTCGATAGAATTCTATCAACTACGAGCGCCGGAGAGCACGAACTGCACAGGTTTTTTGTCTACGTGCAACACAACGCTATCATACGCCTCGATGTTATGGTACGTAAGAATAATGGTATCCAGTTGGTGATAGTGATAGAGTACAGACTGATAAACTCCAACAGCTTTGGCGCTGGAACTTTACCGGAAAAGGCTTCAGCGACAAATATGAGAATGCGCTAGGTTGTGAGTCAGCACCTAATAATCAGTTTTGACTTCGACAAAACTACCAAGACTAAATATTTTATACAGATTTAATTTGCACCTCCGTCGTAGATGTCAGCGCTCTGAAGACGGCTGAATTTGTATACTTGATTAGCGAATATGCTGGTAGGTTTATGATATCTTTTCTACCTTGTTACAGGCAACTAATAATTTGTAGGTGATTCGGACGAAGACGTTATAAGATATGTTAAGGCAATGGAAGATCTTTATAGCCGGAGTCGGAAGTTGAAACTAAGCCAACAGCACCCATCTCAACTAGAGGATGATGATTAGCAAGATATATTAATTCTAGGTGATCATACACCCAGATAGAGATTGAAGATTTACTACTTGAAACTACGAAGACTCCTATCTACAGTATTATGTACATTCACCAGCTTAGGATTTATGTACCTATACTATATTGTAGATCGGTATCCAGTGAAAATTCCTTAGTAATAGTGAAGTCATTAGGTAGAACTATGGTGTGGCATGTTTAAAAAGGCCTACTATAGCAAGTTAGCATATGGCAAGATTATTGGACCTCGTAATAGACAAACCTAGCATGACTAAGCCCAGTCTCCTCTTCTGTTGTCTGCCTAGCTTCCCCTTTATCAACAATTCTTGCTGGATTGCCGCGAACTTCAGCATATGCGGGGATATTGTCTAGGACTACTGCTCCTGCTGAGATTATAGCCCCCTCCCCGATAGTGACGCCAGGGCCGATCACTGCTGAGGCACCAACCCAGACACCGTCACCAATTGTGACTGGTTCACCCATGAGCTCACGACGCCCTCTTGCTAATTTATCTATATTTATTCTTGTAGGAGGAGGCGCAGCAGAAACAATACAGACGTTTGGCCCTATGCTGACGTACTTTCCAATCTTGATGTCGGCAACGGGTGTATCAACGATCTTACAATCACGATCGATGAATGCAGTGTCGTGTATGAATACGCACAGGCCATAATCCATATAAAAAGGGGTTTGTACTTTCGTCGGTGCCGCGTGATGTAGTGCACTTCGTGATAGGATATTCTTGAACCTATTGCCCCTTTCTAGAGAACTAGCGTTCTCACTAATAGTGTTGTACTCGGTACAAGCTTTGACGCATCTCATACGTGCTTCTCGCAACTCATCATCGTCTGGGTTAAAGGCGACTACAATCTTGCTTGAACGGTGGGGTGTCAAGCCAGGGCCAGTAATCATTGAAGACATGGATGATCGTACTTGTTTAGAGAGCTCAGCTAAGATGAAGATTTGACAATTTACCCAACTAACATGTATAAGCTTCCCACCAATTTCCAGCAACAACTTGGCTTCGGAAAAGATTCCTGTAAAAATTAGCCCTTGGAGTTAGTTATATGTCTAGCTAGAGACAAGTACTAAGGGGTAGAGGGCTCCTCATGAAGAATTGTAAGGCTACTGTTTGTTTCATATAAAGGATTATGCTGCAAATGAAGACAGGACCTACACTATCTCTTTTGCGTTAATTGACCAAGACAAAGGAAATAAGAATTGATAAGATGTGTATACGAGGGATCTTTGTCCCTTTCTTCAATGAGTAGTACTCTCCTTTATGCCTTGGCAGACACTTAGACTGGGTTTGTGAGGAAGCAATTGCAATGTGTACCTAGGTATGTACATACATACACTTATGGATCCTTTTAGCAGCAGCTAAACACGTCGAGACGGAACATGGCCTCTAACCAGAATTTCGTATGAATTTCGGAGCTTCAGGACGATGATTGTAATTCCATCATATTTAATTCTCTATTTATTCTGATGCTGAGGTAATAGGGGGTATGTATACTTGTATATGCTCTGATACCCCACCGAGTCCATCAAGTTGCTCTTTCCTCAGAAAGCCAAAGTACCAAATAAAAGTCTCCTGTTTCCACCAGTATTATGGTACGACTGCGAACCCCATAAAGGTCAGGTGCGTCGAATTATGAGCAGGATTCATTTGATGATGACTCAAGTTCATCTTAAATAGCTCAATATTCCTCAAGTGAACAACATCTTGACATAACTACCTTCTTCTTATGAAGCCTGCGTGGAGTAGTGGTCTAACTCACCGGACTCCGACTTTCATAGCCAGAGCAAGCCGGGAACCCGGGTTCGATCCCCGGCGCAGGTGTATCTCCTTTTTTACTTCTCCTATCTTTCCCTCACTTTTGACACTTTTGGACAATGACTTTTATATTCGGATAGGTACTGTAGTACCAATAGTCCACAATAGTTGCCTTGCATATAAATGATTAGATATAGGTTTTATGTGTTCATGTCGTTTGTGTGATTTACCACTTTTCCGTCCATATAATACTCACCGGGCCCTACTTCCGTTAGTTCAGTAAGTAAGGAAGCAATACTTATAAGGGGTAAAACCTAATACACGTCAAATATACTGGAGAGCATAGAACGAGCTAACATACATTATCTTCCAGTTGGAAAAGCACATGACCAACATCGATACGGAGGGGGGCACCACCATTCCTTTAGCCCTCGAAATCAAGAAGAATTAGCTAGTATTCTCGCACACCTTCAAGTGGAATGAGGGCCACAAGACACAGTAGTCTCAAGATATCTAGGCTGAGAAGACGTACAAGATTAGTATGGAGATCTTTGCCAAGGCAGATGGCGGCCACGCCAAGCTCTGGCTCGTTACTTCTAAGTCCACGACCCTAACCGGCAACATGTTCCCCACGTAATAGGAAAAGGGGTCACCTGTGCATCGTAACCAGGGCAAATACACTCATTAGCATATTGATCAATGTATATATCCCTCATAAGGAAAATACAGTTCCTCTAACTCCAGTAGACAGCGGATTCTATATCGAACCCCGCCCTCCTCTAAACAGTATGTAAGACTAAAACTCCGAGAGACATCGGACTCTAACACCCTGCACAATGCACATCGCAAGTTCCCCAGTTCACTATAGGGCAGGAAGCAGTTTACCGTTGAGTTATCCAAGGATTTACGCGCTATTAGACACTAATACGGCTAGAGCCACTCGCATTACTCAGCACAAAACCCCCGATTCAAACCCCGAAACATGACTCCTTGGTGATCTTCGCTTCACCCTTGGTCTCCCGAACATCGTGCCGGCGACTCGGTTCCGAGCTATATTAATATTGCGGCTTATATATTACTATCGCATTTCTATTAGTATAACTACTACGCCTCCCTTCTTACACACATGTTCTCTATCATGCCTTAGCCCATCAAACTACCTTCCAACCATAACAAATATACTTATATATACTCTCTTTCTACCGCCGACAATGTCTACCGCACCCTCTTCCCCGCCAACCCGCTTCGCCGTAGCCCTGTTCCCAGGCTTCCAAGCCCTCGACGTCTTCGGGCCCCTCGACATCCTCAACACTTTGTCCACGCAAGTCCCCCTCTCCCTCACCATCCTCTCCACCTCCCTCGCCCCGGTATCAACCGCAACACCCGCCGCCGGCGGCCCCAGCACCGCGCAATCCGTCGTCCCGACGCGTACGTACGCGGACGCGAACGTGGATGTGGATGTGGAGGTGCTGCTCGTGCCGGGCGGCGCCGGGACCCGGGACCCGGCCAACGTGGCGCAGGTCGAGGACTACGTGAGGCGCGCGTACCCGAAGCTGAGGTACCTGCTCACGGTGTGCACGGGCAGCGCGCTGGTGGCGCGGACGGGGGTGCTGGATGGGCGGCGGGCTACTTCGAATAAGCGGGCTTGGGAATGGGTAGGTTCGCTGACCTCGCTACGTTTTAAACACATCTTATCCCTCCCTCGTCTCTCTTTCACCCCCTTAAGCATGTTAGCCTCGCTTCAAAACCTACCTACCTAGGTAGGTAGGTAGGTAGGTGTCTTATAACAAAGCTTTACTAACAGGCTAATCAAGGCAACGGCCCAAGGCCCGCGCGTAAATTGGGTGCCCCGCGCGCGCTGGGTGACGGACGGCAACGTGTGGACGTCGTCGGGCATCTCGGCCGGCATCGACATGATGTACGCCTTCGTCGCGGACCAGTTCGGCGAGGACGTCGCGCAGACCCTGGCGGACGATGCCGAGTACGTGCGGAACACGGATCCGGATGATGATCCGTTCGCTGCTGGGGAGGGGAAGAATGGAGTTGCGAAGTAGGATGAGGGGAGGTGGGTGGAAGTTGGTAACTTATGTGCCTATGGAGAGAGGTACCGCCTGGACAAGCTGAAAAAGGCAGGAAGATAGAGGACCAGTGTTTCTGTCTGTTAAGAAGGATGTTGATGGTGGGAGGGAGCGAGCGAGTTGATGGGGAGTCTGAGGAGTGGTGTGAGTACATGTATGATACCGCTAACGCGTACCTACATTATAAATTGGTCCTTATACGTTGGTGTCCTCAGACCTCACGAAGTAGGCGAAATTTCTGAGCGATGATCTAGAGTGCTATCTCAATTCGTTTAACTATATCCCGGCCATTGGTACTTGGCTGAGGTAAGAATATCAAGGACAATGGGACTAGTACGAGAGATAGATCACGATACTCAACATCACTCACCGTGATCTTCGTTTTAGAATTTTAGGCTCTAAGCACTTATGTTTAAGGCGTCAGAGAAATGCTATAAACGATTTACTCGTAATATACTCACTACAAGGTGTGGATAGGCTCTTCGGGATTTAAGCTACAAGATATGTCCCTGGTCAAATTTCATTTTCAAGTAAATCTCATAATCCCACGCCAGAAACGAGGGGACAATCTATCTGCTTAGTACTTGAGGCCGGACCTAACATAAGATTCTGTTGCTGAGGCTGAACATCGGTCCTCGCCCTTAGAAACCCCCTCAAAAGTTGCGAGAGGCTCGGACTTCGAATAAGAACTGTAGTGGCGGATTTGGATATATGGATTGGATGATAGCATCCTATAGTTGAATAACTGAGGTTTGATAGAAATTAAAAGTGAGCAAGGAATAGGACACGGAGGACTACGCTTCCTAGATTATTTCTTGTGCTATCTCGTGGCTGGGTGCCGGTGATTCTTGTTGCCACTTACTTACTGGCGCGATAATCTTATGCCGGAGTGGTAGATCGCCGTGGTCATTACGCGTCGTTGCATTGCATGCTGCATTGAAGCCTCTCGGGGTGTTATAGATGGGATTCGATAGGGAACTGATTATAGCTCAACGTAAGATCTGAGATATCTAATTAATCCAATACGCTGTGCGGAATGGTGGTCAATAAGATGGCGTTCGGACGCGTACTACGTTGGTGTGGCGTTCGGCGTATTGGCCGACCGCGAAAAGGGGCTACATCAATGCTAATACCCTTCACCGTCTGTTATAGATTCGGCCGACTAAAGCCTTTCCAGGTATTAGATCCCATTGAAGAACTCATCCGGTGTGGGCGGTGGCTTAAGATGTCTGGACTCTTCGTGATTAGAGAATAATATAACGTGAATGGGACTTCCTAGGCAATTACAAGCCATATAGACAAAAGTGATTAGACGGCGGACATCAATCACATTGCCGCCGTTCTGTTCGATGCCTTCCACTACGTGTGTCACAGCTAAATTGTTCCGAAGTCATAGGGCTTGAGCGTCAACAGAAATAAAGGATCTAATTGGCTAAGGACCGGGCATTGCAGTCCTGCGTCTGCGGGCGCTGACATACCGCAGGGTATCTGACTTGGTCATTTCGGATCTCGGGTCCGTACTGGGAATCCGAACACGAAACGGAAGGCATGGGTGCATCTCTTCAGTTGCTAAGGCTGGCATGGAATTCCGTTGTCGTGATATCTTTGAAGATTGTATCGACTTGGAAGGCTGTGGGGGTAGACTTCGGCGGTTGTATTCGGAGGACTAGCTCTTTACCATTGGGACGATAGCCCATGTAAATGTCGATCTGATGGAACGCAGGCCCTCTAGATAAGGCTGGAATACCCCAGTTGAAAAAGCAGGTTTTGTTACCCCTGCGAATGCAGCCGTTTCCTGCCAATTGCCACGGTATCTTGCCTTGGCACGTATTCTGGGATGCAGTTTGAGTTCCTGACTTGAACAGGTGTGTTGTGTAACACAACTGCAATTTGCTAATAGTTAGAAATCATCAGAAAGATTATGAGGGATTGGTTGCCAGACGCCCAAGACAATATGAGATTGGCTTCCTTTGCGACCTAGAAGAAGGCTTGAATAGAATAGAGTAGACGATGGTTTGTGGTTGGTTCCTACGAAATACCGTACTGCGCTAAGGAAGTTGTGGGCGGCTTCTCGAGGTTCCGATCAAAACGGGACTTGTTAGATAGCTGCATTCTAGCTTTCCTCCCGGGTTGTTTTTGGTGGCTTGAGTTGTAAATTGTAAGGAAGAGAGGCTGAAATATATTTTATAGGTGGGCAGATAGTCTTCGAGGTGATAGACGAGGCTAGTATAAAACCCGCGCATATGGCAAGCCCAGGTACGAGTCAAACTTCTGATCGGATAGTTTCTGATCAAGCCGCGTACCGTTCACCGGTATCTGCCCGGGGTAGCTTACCTTTGGTTAAACGCGTTGATTAGCTGCGACGTTTCTGGGATTAAAAATTGAGCCGCGGTATAGCATTATGGAGGCTTTTGAGGTCTATTCTAATGACCTTCCCCTTGACACGTTTAGAAAGCTGTGATGACCCTGTAAGGATGCGAAATTTGATTCGAGGTTGCTGAGTAGATCTCGCAATTCGGATACATGGAAGCCTGATTGGGTCGGAGTATTTCTCCCGCACATCACATCGAAAAAGCTTTTTAAAATTGCCAGCGGTGTATTGATTGTTGATCTGGCCGTTAGGCGGCCCGAGTGTGCCTGAGTAAAGGATGACGTCGATTGGTGAATTGGCGACCGGGTCTCATAAACTCATACATATCTCATATAACTGACCGCCTGTGTTGTTCAGGTCGAGGAGCCATTCGATTGAGTGAAATACGCGAAATACGCGAAATCTTCATCGTGGTCTAAGAGAAGTAAGGGTAGATCCCTTGCCGTAGCGACGTGGCCGAGATGCTTTTTTTTGGGCTTGCCTGTATGCGGCCTGCTGCAGCATAGCTAAAGTAGCCACCGGATAGTCACCGGCATTTGGGGACTCTCTTTACGCCAGATGGGTCATCGTGGGTTGAAACCTCGGGAGACTTTCCCACAACGTTGGTGTTTATGTTTATGGCTTAGTATAGAGTTAAACATTCAAATTTCAAACAGGTCAGATGTTCAATGAGCATAGATACATCCATGTGTACATAATGCTAGAATTGGGCAGGTGGGATCTTGGAGGGGAAAGCATGATGAACCGTGCTCCAAATCGCGATTTCTCAGTCGCGTGGAATTCTCGCTGCAGGTCCATCGTGCCAAGAAATCTTTTAGTATCCTTTTTTTCCCAGCTTGCCAGCAAGACCCGGGGAGCTACGGTGGGTCCTGACAGCCCAAGTATCTAATTATAACCATCAGTAGTTGTCTTCATTAAGATATCTGCAGGTCCTGCTCGTGACTAAGGGTCATATATACTATTATGCATGAGGACATATAATGGTTCCCAAGGTCGTGTAACGGGGAAGGGCATCATATGGAGAGATTTGCGTCAGGTACCCTGATTGTCTTGGATGAAGTGACATTTCAAGGTTTATCTTGAATGAAATCTCAAGAATGTGTGCAAGTACTTTAGCGTGAATGTATACGTCATCTTCGAACAGATAGTGGTTTGGGCGGTTTCCAATAGTCAGGGAAACTTTAAAATCGTGCCTGGGCAGTATCGGCCGACCCTTTTTGGGTAAGATACAACTAGCCTTGAACGGGTTTAATCAGAGATCACTTTACGAATGAAGAAGGGCAACCGCGGTATCGCTATCAAACTGCTTAAGGATGTATCTACTAGTAGAGGTACGTGGTAGCTTGATAGCTTGGTAGGTAGCTTACCTATTGACACATGCCGGGGCTCTGTAAGCTCTTCCATTTCTTAGAATCACAACTTACAAATGCACCTAGAAGAGCAATTGAGAGGGCTAGATCTTGGGCTCTTTCATGAAGGGATTTCTCGATTTCAAATCGAGATAAAGGATGATGCGAACAATCCCGTATTTTAATTTCCCCTTTCAAGTTTTCGATATCCCACCATCCTTGCTTACACATGAGATGCGCCTCTCAGCCACTTCAAGGAACTACCCCTGGTTCATATTCATCTATAAGCATGTAATTAATTTATACCGTTGATTGGACATTTCGATTGTGCACTTCTTGCATAGGAACTGAGAGATTTGTACATCCCGTCAGTCAAACATCAATTGTAGATGATTCACAAAAGTAACAAAATTGGACATTGACAACATTGAAGCTTCGATGTTGAACCTCGGTTGACCTCATGTTTCTTTTAGCTAACAAGACACTAGATAGCTTCTATGAATCTACGAAAGTCTAGACACCGAATCCTTAAGGTCTTGTAGGGCCCATAAGCAAGAAATTTCATCGAGATTACGATGGATGGATCGGATCGTGCGGGTTAGCAACCTCTGCATGTGAGAACATAAAAATTCGGATGAACCCGCGTTTTGGCCATATGTACCTGGTGTACGGTGAATCCATCGCGGCCACTACCAATCATAGCTCATTTATGAAATTTCATTCCTTTTTCTGTTTTCCTTAGAAAAGACATATCTTGCCTTATTAGTATTGGTCTTATCGGGATATACATACCTATCTACGTACCTTTGGATGTAGAAAACACTACATAACAGGTACAAGGCAATTAGTATGAACTAGGGGAATTGCCCCGAACAATATCTTCCGTTGAATGCTCAACCTCTAGTTGATAATGAGTCGGATAGCGAACCAGTGCCCAACTATAATATTTTTGTAGAAAACGCCGATGTCTCGCTTGTTGTTATGCGCGTGGCGTTTCGTTGGGATCACAAGAGGTTGCGATTGAATTTTCAAGCTCTACTAAGCTTAGCTTGACAGCTACATGCTTGTGTGCCGTCGTGTCGATATATAGTGTATATGTAGCTCCGCCTGTGGTAACTGAATACGAAGACCAACAGACTGGAAACCAACAAACCATCTGCAGTCAAAAGGAGGTCCATACAATACGTAGATGTATTGCGCGGTATCACCGGAGATACGTACTCGAGATCACGTAGTCTTATACGAACCCCTTTGCAAAATGTACAGTATGAACAAGAAAAGGGCGCTAATCAACTGCACAGCCTCATCGTCCCATGCATTTTGGACCTGTTCCGGCCATACCAGCCGTTCTTAATTCTGCCATCGGATGGACTGATCAGACTGATTTACTAGAATTATCCACGTTGCTATGTGGTAGATTTGGAGATTTGGGCAAATCCTCATTCTAGAATGACGGCACACGCAGCGATCACATCGCCCCTTACCCTTTTCGTGAGCTCTTATTACCAGTGACGCATCAACGTGTGGAGTTTTGGACTTATCGAGCAAACAGTATGTAGCTTAGGCAAATAACACCTAGCCTAGGGTTGAAGTAAGTAAACAGTTATTAAGAACTGCAACGGCTTTATACCGGTTAATGTAATAGACTTACATAAGTTATCAGCACCCACAGCTTGTTGTTATCCTCCAAGATGTCGAGTTTTTGTCACTTACATGTAACTTGTAAACTGCAAGAATCCATTTATTTTGGA